CGTACCTTTAGCCTCCCCGGGCCCTGATTCTGCAAAGACTTATGTACATGCTTAATGTTACACACTGTACGTCATTCCTTTCACTTCAATAGGACTACTGAAAAGGAGAAATCCTGGCCCTATTGTAGGCCAAGGGAGTTTTGCTGTTGACTTCAGTGGAGCTAGGATTTCACTCATAGTGTGTCAAGCTAAGCACGTGCATAAGTCCTTGTAGAACTGCAGTCCACATTTGCAAATCTTGCCCTAAGCGCCTTACCAAAATTCTCCACAGAAGTAGGACCAGCTTCACATTCAGAGTGGCACAGCTCAGAAGGGAGGGAGGCAGAGGCCATCCCAGCCGTGCAGCAGCAGGGCCACCAGCTCCAATTTGCTCCTCCACCAGTTTGCCACCAAAACCTCCTGTATGCCAGAGTGCAGCATACGCGGTGCGGAGTTGTGTTCTGCCGTGCACAGGATGTGTGACGATGACTCACTGAGTTCTCATTCAGTGGAGTGATCTCAATTCCACTTCATTCGGGGTCCTCCACAGTCACAGAAAAGAAAGGCAGTTTTCTCATCAGAGAGAACAAATACCTTGCCTTCGGTGAACACCTTTTCTCTCTTTCGAAGACATCTTGTTCTTGTAGCTAACAGTACCGTATTGGATACCATTAGAGCTGGGTGAAACCTTTTTGTGGGGGGTGAAAAAAACAGATTGGGCAACACCAAAACGTTTCATGGATTGGTGTCAGTTTAGCTGAATTGTTTTGGGAGGAAAAAAAAATCCCCCCCCCCCCCCAAAAAAATTTCATTTCAACATTTTTGAAATGCAACATTTATAATTTTTGATGTGAAATGACTTTGTGTTTCAAAATTTTCTTTACATTTATTTTTAAATTTTTTAAAAAAATGTTTAAAAGGTCAAAATCTAAATGAAATGCTTCAATTCAGGTCAACTGAAACATTTTGTTCAACCTGAAATGAATTTTTTTTCAATTTGTTGGAATTGCCAGTGAACCAAAAAATCCATTATTCACCCAGCTCAAGATGCCATCCATCATGATGTCTTTTAAAATCAGTTTGGGTAGCCTTCTTTCTTTTTGTGTGTTTGGTTCGGGTTTTTTGTCTGGTGCATGTTATCTTAATAACACTCTCATTGAAAAGATTTGCACCAATGACTTTCCAATCCCAGCCAGGAGCTTGGTGGCACAATGGTTTACTTCTTCCCATGTTCACCTTTAGAGACATGAGTTCTAATGTCATTATGGTTACAAATGAAAACACGTTTTGTGGTTTCATGCTTTTCCTTAGTAGATATTTCCTTTAAAAATAGCCTATAAAGTCAGCCTAACTGATAAACTGCATATGTGGGAAGCCCAGGGATGACATAGCAATGGATGCAACAAGACAGGGTTGATATTCTTTTGAAAAGTTCTGTGAGAGATTATTTACAATAAGTCTGAACTGCTGGGTTGTGATATTTTCAGCTTCTCATTTTCATGAGCATCAAAATTCAATAAGGAAACAGTGATTTGGGTTTGTTTGGGGGATTGTACTCTGCTGTGTTTTTCATCTGGTCTGGTGAACTGAACTCAACCCTGGAAATTAAAAACATAATTAAAAGAAGTAAACACATGTCTTCCTCATATTTTCCATGAGCTGCTGATTCCTATATATTCCCATCTATCCGCTTTCTTCTATAATGAATGTGGCATCCTTATCCCTGGCACATTTCAGTTAAACTGCTGATAATGCTAACTCTTAACACCCGTATTCCACACACAACTCCCAAGCACACTAGAACAGTAAAGTAATTATTTACAAAAGTTTTCAGCATTTACCCAGCAGTCACTAATTATAGTGCTGTAATAGATCATGAATGTATCGGTTCTCACAACTATTATATCTCAATACTACAATGATTAGACAAAGCTAATAACTTCTTAGGAAGCAATTTATTTGACTGGCTTGAACCTAAAAACAGCACACTTGCTTTGATAGTTTATTTTATCACTCTGCAGTGCTCCAACTACTTCACCTCTCTCATTAAACATAATAGTTCAATTATAACCCATTTGCTGATTATTTTCATTTAACGAATGCAAAATTTTCGGGGATATTTCTGCTCCCATGACTTGAGACTTATAACTGAATTGGTGTTTGGGCTTGTATAGCTTCTGCATGATAATTGGTTGTGATGATTTAGAGAATCTGCACAGCTTATGAATTCTGGATGATGTTTATGAAGTTGTTCTGAAATGTGTCTAAGTGACACAGTCTCTAGCTCATACTCACTAGAGTAGGGACAATGGAGAGTCATGAAATTTAACAACTGTGCTCTGCACTGAACAATGGGTATGCTAAGGAGGGTGTCCAAGTTGAGAAACCAGGTCGACCAAGTGTCTCTGCAAGGGGCTGGTGAAGTGGAGAGAGTGGAAAAGTCCCAAACGGACAAAGACAGAAGTGAGAAAGCAAGAGCTTTAAAAGGGACCCACAGGAGGAAGGCTTTATGTGGGACAGCAAACTTTGGGCAGGAGAGAAGGGGTGAGCATGCTTTTGCAGCAGTGGGGTGAGGGTTGGTTTAGCTGTGGGACCAACCAAGGTCAAAGCAACCCAACTTGGAGGGAGGAGGCTCCATAGTTCAGAAGACAAGCCATGTGCTGCAAGACAAGGATCTTGGATAAGCCAGATGACTCTGTCCCCAATTCAAAGAATACTCCAGAGTGGTGAGTATACTGAGGCAGGGAAATGTGGGTGGAGTTTATTATTTTAGTCTAGATCTGCATATTTCTCATGCTACTAAGAGCAATGGTGTTTTAGAAACCTGTCCGAAGTATGGCTGTGCTTTATGTGTTTCACCTATCACATGTCCCTGAAGAGGTAGACTGGAAACGCAGAACATCCACACACTGGAGTTCTGGGAGAGGATGGGTTTAAGATAGGGGATTCATCACTTGTCACGGGGGCTCAGCAGTTGGACTGCAAGGTCTCAGTTCTTAGGAGGGAGTGCTAGACAGAGGAGCTGCCTAGAGGCCCCAAACCGGGGGCAGTGTCAGGACTGTGTTCAGACTCTGAGGCTTAAAGCCCATGGGGATTGAGCATGGGGATCTCCTCACAGCACACTGAGTGTCCAAGAGGGGAAGCTCAGCTAGATCTGTGACAGCCTGGTATAACTTCTTCATGATGATTGGTTCACCTGAAATATGGATACCTCAAAACATGACTGCAAGGCCAATGCGACAAGTGGCTTTACACCCAAGAACTCAGGTGATGGGATTCCATCTGTGGTTCATCAGGTCTTACCTGTGATAGGGCATTATGATAGTTATATAGTTGGGCAAGCCGATTAATGTGTGGCTCTGGCTTGGTTCTCCAAGTCAAGCACTGGCTGATGACTGGAGCCAAAATACAAGCATATGAAAAAGAAAATGGGCATCATGACAGAAATATTCCCCATGACCACTAGGAAGCAGAGCCCAAAACATTCTCAATGCTCTTCATTGGTGTTTTCCCTTCTATAGAGTCATTCAAGCTGCAGACATGGTGCTCCATTTCAGCCTGGATCAAGCTTTTCATTGGTCTGTTAACTAGGATGATCTGATGGTTAACTGACAGATGAGTCATCATCTTCTATCTGAAAGAGACACAAGGTGGGGCAGATAATATCTTTTTTTGGACCAACTAATGTTGGTGAGAGAGACAAACTTTTGAGCCACACAGAGCTCTTCCTGAGGTCCAACGGAATGAGTCTACTGAATTATCTTCATTGCCCACTAAATGATCTTTACAATGCCAGATTCTCAGTACTGTTATTGGCATCACCACCACAACCTTCTGCAGCCACAACAACACTGGCCTTGCTGCTCCAGGTGTTTGTCTCTGATGCATCACCGTTTGACAAAGCAGGGCCCTACTCCATCCCAGGAAGTAACCAGCTTTGCTGTACCTATGTGGCCAGCTATTCAAAAGCAGCCATGCAAATGTGTGCATTCACTTTTAAGCACATCCGGCATAGGCTCACACCTACCCTGATCTGCACACACTCTGTATCAAGGTTTGCAAGTGCCTAAATGAGGTTCATGCATTTGTAAGAAATCTGCCCCACTTTTTACAATGAGGGTTAGTGTGTGAGGTGCTGGCTGTCATTTTGCCGTCACCTACTTCAGGTTTAGTGCCTGCTTCTTGTTCTCCTGTAGTTTGTGATTTGGTTTGGTTTTTTAGGGTGAGTAATAAAGACAATGTTCTGGGGACATCCACACCAGATTCTTGACCGGAACGTTGGAACAACCAAACATGATTGGCCTCCAGAGATTCCACTGCCAGTTTTACGTGGAGCCTGTTGGGTAGACTGGGCTATACAGATACTCATGCAGTGCAGATTTGATCAATAATGACGATCATCAATAAAACTCAAAACCACCAAGTCTCAGGGCCTTGATTTAGGCGCTCCCACGAATTACTGTAGTGAAACAACACATTTCTCTTGTCCTCCTTTAACTAGATCAACCCAAATGCTCTGACCCTTTTTTCATTATTCTTTTTTGTGGGCGAAAGCAGTAGATTTCAAACAGAGCTCTGAATTCACTGAGACAGTCTTCTTGGCCCCAAGTTCAAAAGTATTTAGTTGCCTAACTATCCTTTATTAATAATCTTTGAGGATCTGGGCCCTCCTGCTCTTTGCTCTCCACCCAGCCAAGTGTTCCTCCCTGGCTAACAAAGCTGGCATACACTGATTATCTTGCTGCTTCCTCTATGAACCTGAACCAAATCCCATTGTAGTCAAGAGGAATTTTTCCAGCGCTTTCACTGAGCTTTGAATAATGCCCTATGAGAGCCTTTCCAACGGAGTGAGATAATGTTTCTCCTTTCTTTATGCTTTTTTGTTAATGGAGAGACAATATATGAGAAAACTGACCAGAGCTATAGAACCTGTGTGACCAACACCTGCAGAGACATAATTCCCTCTGAAGAGACCCCATGGTGAAATAATCAGGACGGCTGCAAGACATCACAATTCACAATTAAAATTCAGTAGCATTTATTTGGTTCATTCTTAGTCACACTCAACTCTGATGTACCCAGACTGTCAGGCTTCTGCTGGGGGGTTGGGAGAAATAACAGGTTTCAAGCTTTGGATACATTCATTTTCTGAAAATGCTAAAATGGTTTCCAGACATTCTCCTTTGAATGGCATCTGTTGTAGTTTTCAAGTTAGAGAGATCAGAACTTAAAAATACAGTGGCAAAATTTGAAGAATTGAAAGCTTCTCTTTGCAGTAGCCTCCATTTTTTGCACACTTAAAATGGCCTGATTCTTTAAAACACTGAGGATATGGCCTGGTCTACACTTAAAACGTACACCACCAGCATAGCTCTCTTGGTCAGGTGAGTGAAAGAAACACATACGCTAGCAACATAGCAAGGCCAGCAAAAAAGGCCTTCTGTCTGCATAGCTAATAGAAAAGGAGTACTTGTGGCACCTTAGAGACTAACCAATTTATTTGAGCATGAGCTTTCGTGAGCTCACGAAAGCTCATGCTCAAATAAATTGGTTAGTCTCTAAGGTGCCACAAGTACTCCTTTTCTTTTTGCGAATACAGACTAACACGGCTGTTACTCTGAAACCTGCATAGCTAATGTCATTCAGGGAGGTGATGTTCCGATACCGTCAGAACTCCTTCTGTCAGCATATGCTGCATCCACACAAGGGGGCGATGGAGTGTGGACATAGGGTATGTCTACACTGAGCTCAGAGGTGTGACCAAAGCATGTGTATACATACCTGAGCTACCTTTGATCTAGCTAACTCAAAGAACAATAGAAGCAAAGCTACGGCAGCAGGGACAGCAGCGCACACTGATCAAGCCCACCTGGGACCCTGGGTATGTACTCTAGTGGCCTTGCTGTAGCCACACTGCTCTGGCCAGGCCAACACTTAAAATGTAGATCAGTGTAGCTACTGTGCTCAGGGGGTGTAACAAATCCAGAACCCTGAATGCCATAGCTATGCCGATCTAACCCCCAGCGTAGACACTGCTATGTCAATGAAAGAATGCGTCTGTCAATCTAGCTACCGCATTTTGGGGAGATGATGTTCCTCCACTGATGGAAAAAACCCTCTTGTTGCTGTAGGCTGATCTACGTTTAAAATTTAGGTTGATGTAGCTACATTGCTGAGGGGTGTGAAAACACACACCCTGAGCACCATAGCTACACTGACCTAACCTCCTGTGTAGAGGCAACAAGGGCAATGGAAGAATGCTTCCGTCGATCTAGCTACCGTCACTTGGGGTGGTTGTGTGCCTACACTGACAGAAAAACCCCTTCTTGTTGCTGTAGGCTGCAGCTACACTACAGGGTTATGCCAGCATAGCTCTGGACCCATAGCTATCCCAATATTGTCCCCATAGCGTAGATATGGCCCAAGTGGCATGCTTTAGTTCAAAAGGATGCATGTGACATGCCTTTAATAGTCATTCGCACAACACATACAAAATTCTTCAGTATTCAAAAACGAAGCTCTTATTTTGTTAAAAGTATGAGCACATGGTGTTCTAAACATGTGACAGAAATAGCTGTAGCCATATTGCTCACCCCAGAAAGCTGATGCTTCTAAAGAGGATGCCAAATGCTAGGCATATTTCTGAGTTTTTCAAACTGAGAACTCTTACGAAATGTCAAACTGCACTGTCCTGTTTCTCCTAAGGAATCTAACCTACTTCTGCAAAATGCGGAGTACACTCAGCTCCCACTAAAGTCAATTGGAATTTTGCTTTCGATTTGATCAGGAGAAAGATTGGGCTCTAAAAAGGTAGGGGGAAATTGTGAGAATTATGGTTGTCCTACATTGCCAATGTCTGTTTAAAAATATTAGATTCAAGACCTCATAGGGGAAGGAGGGGGGGCACATCTGTCAATAGGGAAAAAAACTGTCCAAAATTAGAAATTCTAAATCTGGTCATAATCAATAAAATGGCTATGCACAATGTTGTTATGGCCTCATAAATGTTTCTCAGAAGCTTTGAAATAGCCCAGAAAGTGTAAATACAAATACAAAGAAATAAAATTATCTTCCATTAAAATAGAAGTAAAGACTTGAATACACAAACCCTTTCTCTCAAATTACATTTTTTTAAAAAAATTGTGTTGTTATACTTTCAGAGGTAGCCACACATTTTTCAAGTACACACAGCTCTGTGTTTCAAATGTCATCAGAACTTAATGACATAAAAATTGCTATCTAGACTGACACAATGATTCCCGCTTCATAATAGTCTTTAAGCAGAAGAACAATTTGACACATTTAGAAAGCTGAATAGTATCTTAACTGAGCTAGGTATTTCATGAAGATTTTTAAAAATAACAAACCGACTCCTGGAAAACTTTGAAAAACATTCAGTTGCGGAACAATTCTGTTACTCTATAATTTATTTGCCTTTATTTCTTCATTTTTTTACTCCTTGGAACGTATGTATGAAAACAAGACTTTGTTGCTCAGGAACTTATTTGCTTCTGCTGTTTAGTCATCACATGAATTCATAATCCTTTTTGTAGTTCCACTCGACGATTTGGCAGCAGCAAAGATCAAATCGACAGATTAGAACAGATCTGGAGCCAAATTAGTTTAAGGCTCAAGATCAGGGGTGGAGTTTGAATCAGGACAAGAGTACTAAGTTGGGTTCAAGTACACCAAAATCTTGTGAACTGTTGATGCATGATTTTAGATCAAAATGGTGAAATCAGTGTGAAATCACAGCTCTCCAGTGGTTGATGCACTATAATAACTATATTGATACAGAGAGGGTGATGGGCGGATTAGATATCTCAGGAGATTTTCACCATCTTAAAGAGTGAAAATCTCATGGGGAAAAATTGTTCTTGCAAGATTTCTGCCATTCTGGGTTGAGAGCTCACAGAAATAGGTGTTCTTGAGGGATTTCAATAGCATCTGCAACTGGGAAAATAGGCCCCTTCCATCTTGAAATCCTACCCAGAATCCAGACTGAAATGAGGAACTGGATCCAGGGGTTCAAATCCAAAAACCCCTTCTACCCAATATTCAAAAGAGTGTAGATTTGAGGTTCTGGTTTTGACCCACCTCTAAATGTTTTATCTAATCCTTTAATATTTTTTAGGTTTGTATAGAGTATCAGTCGCCATTGTAACAAAGGTTAGTTGAGCTGGACAGTTCTTGACAATCAGACACAGTGAGCACTCATGGAAACGGAAACTTTCTATTGTGGAATACTTTTTATGATAAACTCATAAGTTTTTTCTCCATAGTTTTTATTACTAGGGTAATTTACTAGGGCCTTTGTGCTTGTGAATATCTGCTCCTGCGGTTTATTATTCACATGAAATAGTAATCCTGTGTTTGTGACCACAGTTATTTGCTGTGGAAATTATTTTAATGTCACAAAGAGGATTAAGATTTCAAGAGAGAAATAAGCAGCAGGAAGACCTACCTGATCACCTTAGCAACAGAGAGGCTGTTTCATGCCTGTATACCTAATAATAAAAAGGAGAAAAGACAACACAGAAGGGATGATATATTATCACATTTTCCTGAATGGAATGTTTTGGGTAACAACTGTCTCACGAGGCAACAGTGGCCTCCCCTTTCAGAATTCTCGGCAGCTAAGCAGTTCCTTCATTTTAAGTGTATTTCAAAATGTATCAGCTGCAGGTGTGACACTTCAATTCTATCTGAACTGTTATTCTGATACTTTATTCCTTACCTAGTGCTAACAGACCATACCCATCCCTAGTGTAACTTTGGATTTAACTAGTATCTTGTATCAAAAGACATCTGAGTGCTTTAGAAATATTAACTTGCACAATATGGGGAGCTGTGTGATCTAGTTAAAACAGCATTGATCTGTGACTCTGGAGAACTGGGATCTATTCCCACCTCTGCCACTAACCTGCATGGTGATCTTGGAGTAGTCACTTCACTTCTCTGCTTCACCTGCATCCTTTGTCTGTCTTGTCTATCTAAAATGTAAGCTCTTTGGTGAAGGGACGGTCTCTTACTATGTATGTGCACAGCACCTAACACCAGCACCTTCAACTGGGGCCTCTCAGTTCTACTGGAATACAAATAATGATAATATTGTACCCCTTATAGAAACATCTGATAAAAATGAATAGGGATGAACATTGTAGGGTTCTATAGAAACTACTCTAAAAAATTGTGGAATTTAATAGAGAATGAGAACACATCTATAGATATCTTTATACCAGCCTATTGAAGAGAGAGAATTTTGTATAGTAAAATCTTTATGCTGGTTCAAAAAACCTCTAGGAAAGTTATTTTCTATTAAATTAATTAGGACTTCCCATAAGTGGGCTCAGAGGTAGTGAAACTATTAATTATCCCCATCTTAATTTGCAAAATCAGATATAAGATTTGCAATAAAAATAAGATAAAAATAAAAAAATAATAATAAAAAATAAGATTTGCAAAGAGACAGAGAGACTAAGGCCTGGTCTAGGCTTAAAATTAGATCGACCTAGCTACATTGCTTACGGCTGTGAAAAATTTTGCTTCCTGAGCACCTAGTTAGGTCGACCTAACCCCCACTGTAGATGCAGCTAGGTCGAGGAAGCATTCAGAGTGCAGCCATGCTACTGTATTGTAGACAGGGTGAAAGACCAAGATTCTCAGCTGTGCCCACTGGTCTGAGCTTGGTTTTGGTGCCCAACTTGACATAGCCTGGGGCTGGGTTTCAGAAATCCCAAGGCCTGTGATCAAGAGACAGGCCTGAACCAGACCCCATAGGTCTGATGTGCACCGAGGGCATCGAAGAGAGATGTCCCCCACCCCAATCTCTCCAGTACCTCAGGAACCCCAGGGCTTGCACCCCAAGAGGGGGCTAGCTCTGAGAAGGCAGCCAGACTGGCCCCCTCACCCTCTCCTGGAGGATCTAAGCTCCCTGGCTGGGACTCAGGCCCATTTATAGACCCCAGGTGTGGAGAGCCCAAGGCAGCCACCAGAAATGAGGGGCAAGAAGAGATGCCAGGGGGAAGCAGCGCTGAGCCCCCATTGCAGGGATCAGAGTAGCCACCAGAGATGAGGGGCAAGGAGTACCTGCCAGGTGGAAGCAGCGCTGAACCCCCCTTGCAGGGATCGGGGCAGCCACCTGGGGGCACCAAGACTGAGAAGCAGGGAGCAGCCGCTGACCCCCCCCATTGCAGGGATCAAGGCGGCCGCCAGGGGGCACCAGAGCTGATGGGCAGGGAGCAGCTGCTGACCCTACCCCTGCCCCCCCATTGCAGGGATTGGGGCAGCTGCCAGGGGGCACTAGGGCTGAGGAGCAGGGAACAGCCAGTGAACCCCCCCATTGCAGGCATCGAGGTGGCCGCCAGGGGGCACCAGATCTGAGGGGCAGGGAGCAGCCGCTGACCCCCTCCCATTGCAGGGCTCAAGGTGGCCGCCAGGGGGCACCAGGGCTGAAGGGCAGGGAGCAGCCGCCGACCCCCCCCCCATTGCAGGGCTCGAGGTGGCCGCCAGGGGCACCAGGGCTGAAGGGCAGGGGCAGCCGCTGACCCCCCCTCCATTGCAGGGCTCAAGGTGGCCGCCAGGGGGCACAGGGCTGAAGGGCAGGGGGCAGCCGCTGACCCCCCGCCATTGCAGGGATCGAGGTGGCCGCCAGGGGGCACCAGGGCTGAAGGGCAGGGAGCAGCCGCTGATCCCCCCTCCATTGCAGGGCTCGAGGTGGCCGCCAGCGGGCACCAGGGCTGAAGGGCAGGGGGCAGCCGCTGACCCCCCGCCATTGCAGGGATCGAGGTGGCCGCCAGGGGGCACCAGGGCTGAAGGGCAGGGGGCAGCCGCTGACCCCCCTCCATTGCAGGGCTCGAGGTGGCTGCCAGGGGGCACCAGGGCTGAAGGGCAGGGGGCAGCCGCTGACCCCCCGCCATTGCAGGGCTCGAGGTGGCCGCCAGGGGGCACCAGGGCTGAAGGGCAGGGAGCAGCCGCTGACTCCCCCTCCATTGCAGGGCTCGAGGTGGCCGCCAGGGGGCACCAGGGCTGAAGGGCAGGGAGCAGCCGCTGACTCCCCCTCCATTGCAGGGCTCGAGGTGGCCGCCAGGGGGCACCAAGCTGAAGGGCAGGGGGCAGCCACTGACCCCCCGCCACTGCAGGGCTCGAGGTGGCCGCCAGGGGGCACCAGGGCTGAAGGGCAGGGGGCAGCCGCTGACCCCCCTCCATTGCAGGGATCGAGGTGGCCGCCAGGGGGCACCAGGGCTGAAGGGCAGGGGGCAGCCGCTGACCCCCCGCCACTGCAGGGCTCGAGGTGGCCGCCAGGGGGCACCAGGGCTGAAGGGCAGGGGCAGCCACTGACCCCCCGCCATTGCAGGGATCGGGGCGGCCGCCAGGGGGCGCTGCGGCGCCGTGCAGCCGTGGCCGCGGCGGCGCTTCCGGGGCCGCGCGGGGCGATGGGCGAGGCGGAGGGCGGCTCGGCCGGCGGCGCGGAGAAGCCCCCCGTGCCCGCGGGCGGGGCGGCCCCGGAGCCCGGCGCGCCGGCCGAGGAGGCGGTGGTGTGGAGTCCCGAGGTGGAGGTCTGCCTCTTCCACGCCATGCTGGGCCACAAGCCCGTAGGTGAGAGAAGGCCCCGGCCAGACCCCGGCCTCGAGTAGCGATGCCGGCCGGGGAGGAGAACCGGGGCTGGCGGAGGCCAGGGACCGGCGTGGCTCAGGGCCCCGCGCTGCTGTGCCGCCCCTAGTGGCCTCCCGCGGGCAGCGCCGGGGGAGGATGGGTCTGTTCATCCCCCGGCTCCCACTCCCGCGCCTGCCCCCGAGCCCCAATCCTCCCCCACGGCGCTTTTCCCCCGGCCACCGCCCCTCCTTTGGGGGGGGCCTGTAAGTGGGTGGGGGCCTCCCCTGCGGCTGGCCCCGTGGGGCACTGCCCCCACCTCCAGCCATGAGCCGTCTTCATGGGGGAGGGAAATCTGCCCTTACAGCAGCAGAGGACAAGTCCCAACCTTGTCCTTTTATAGGCGGGGCCTGAAACAAGCCCTGCCCCCAGGGGGTAGGGATTTTTACATGCAAAAATATGGGTAGGGCAGGAATTATGAACACAGGGAAAACTTAGCAAGGCAGGGGACTACTGCTGGGGTTTCCTTTCCCTCCCTATCTTTGGCTAGAAGGGAGTGCAAGGAAGTGTGGGAGAAAGGGGTCAGGTCTTCTCCCCATCCGTTGTTCCTTGTTAAGGGGACCTAGAGGCAATGAGGCATCATCTCTGTAGCCTTGGGGGGGTGGGGGTTGTTAGGTGCAAGTGAAAAATCCAGAAAAAAGTTTACTTACTGTTTATCAACCTGTCCTTTCCAAATTACTTGTTTGTAGCTTCCACTGTTCCTTGCCTCTGGCCTACCTGTGCCTGTGCCCTAAGCATGGGAGAAGACCCATACTACACAGCCTGGATTTTAACAACTAGACCTGCACAGATCTGTCGTAGTTACTTATTCTGTGGCGTGATACACGTACATCTTAGTGAATGTTGTTGATGGCGCTTTTTCCTGCCTTCTTTCAGGTGTGAATCGCCACTTTCACATGATCTGTATCCGAGATAAATTCAGTCAGAATATCGGACGTCAGATTTCCTCCAGAGTGATTTGGGATCATTTGAGCACCATGTACGACATGCAAGCACTAGTGAGTATAGAAGATTGGCATTGGGGAATCCTGATTTCCAGTAGATTTCAGCAGCTTTGATATGTCATACTCGTTGGGCCTGATTCTTACATTGGTGTAAATTAGGTGACTCCTCTGAGGTCAGTGGTGTTTCACCTGTGTAAAACTAGTATCGGAGAGAGGAAAATTAAGCCCATTATTTCTTCTATCCTAAGCTCTTGGTTTGATATAAAATTTCTAGTTCTGTAGGCCCTGATCCAGTAAATACTTAAGCACATGCTTAACTTTATACATTCAAGTAGTCTTATTGACATGTATAAAGTTAAGAATGCACAAGTGTTTGCAAGATCAGGGCTGAGAAATGCATTGTCACCCTCACATCCTATATCTTGTCCTTCGATAACCCTTATGGAACTCCTGACCTCAGACTCAGATATGCTATTATGAATTATTTGATCTTTTCCTGTGTATGAAATTACTCAGGCGTTTGTTTAGAAAATCTGAGCTGATAGTTCTAACAAAATCATACAAAATAAATTTTTCTTTTCTTTTAAAGCATGAATCTGAGATTCTGCCCTTCCCTAATTCAGAGAAAAACTTCATCCTGCCTGAGGAAATTATCCAAGAAGTGAAAGAAGGTGAGATCTGATACTAGCTTTTACATTGGGATGCTCTAATCAAGTGTAGGTATGATTAGCCAACTTTAACTCCAGAAGAAGGGAAGAAGTAATGATGTACCGACCTGATGCTAGTGTTTCACATCACTGGATTGTGGTAATAATCAGGGGCATGGAAAACAGTAGAAAGTTTAACATAGATGGGATCTTTGATACACAGACATTCTATTTATACTATTTAAATCCAACTCTCCCTTTGATTGAGTACACAGGTCTCCCACCTACTGCAGGGGAGCGGGGGCTGCTATGTGTTGCAAGGAGGTCAAAATTTGGCCCTTTGGAATCATATGCAGGTGGTTAAAGGTTTATTCATTTTGGGGGTGGGGCGAAGTTGCATGCTTTAGTAAGACTACCATTAGTAGTAAGCACTATGTCTGACTGTGTTTGCCAGGATAGATCCTTTGTGTTTAAAATGATGGTCACGGAGTTTACACTCAGTTAAACATGTTTAGCTTGTGTAAACAAAGATGTTTAGCTTGTGATCCACTCTGACCCCCAGAGCCCTTTCCGCAGTATTCCTTCCTAGGCAGTCATTTCCCATTTTGTATGTGTGCAGCTGATTGTTCCTTCCTAAGTGGAGTACTTTGCATTTGTCCTTATTGAATTTCATCCTATTTACTTCAGACCATTTCTCCAGTTTGTCCAGATCATTTTGAATTTTAATCCTGTCCTTCATTTAATGTTTCTCCATAATTCTTTGACTGCCTAATTTCAAAACTTCTTTATTCTTAGAGCTCCTCTCTGTGTAATCTGATCTAGCAGAAATCTCTACTGATACGTAGCCCACCGACAAAAAAAAATCTGTTTTAAAAAAAAAAAAAAAAGACAGTCAAACTTGGAAGATCCAGTTTGTCATCAGGTACCCAGTGCTGTTATCCAGGATAGGAACTTGGAAGTTCAGATGTCTACCTCTGAAAAAGGATAGTAGTGCTTACGAGATTTTAAACTACACCGGAATGCCTCTCAACTACTAGCTGCAATAAATATTCCATTCGGTATTTATAAAAGGCAGCATCAGTCCAAGCCATTGCAACATATTTTGCCCAGTTACTATTATATTTGTTCCTATTAAGAAAAAATTAATTGGAATCTGTGTTTTGGTGACATCTGCCCTGCTAATTGTTTCCATAACTCTACCTTATATTTGATGTCAGCAGTGATTATGGCTCAATTGTTCTTTCCATCCATCTGTTTTTTGGCAACAAGTAACATTTTTACTTGAGTCAGTGTTGACTATTACAGTGACCAGTTTTGAACACTGTGCACTTACAGTTGATCCTGAGGTGCCGAACACAGGAAAAGATCAATTATACTTCTATCAAACAACAATCATCATCTGCTTAATAACTCTTTTTACAGGAAAAGTAATGATTGAAGAAGAGGTGAAAGAAGAAATAAAAGAAGAGCTGGAACCTCATGCAGGCCCCGAAGAAGGTACATCTGTAATTTTTATACTTCATAGCTACACTTATCTGGAAGGCAACAGCAGTTCTGAATGGATTTCATCAAGTGGTGTAGGCCCAAAATTTGACTTACCTTAAACTTAAAATTGGCATGATATGGTACAGAATCATTAAAGAACAAAAGAGCATCAGTCCATTGCCAAGAACTAAAATACTTTTAAAATGCACAGAAACCACTGTCTTTCTGGAAATCAGCAAATTTGAATTCCTCTACTGGTTCTGCAATTGTACTGAACAGTGCCAAAGTCCGCAAACAGTTGATTTGAGCTCTGGGAGAGGATAAAGGGCCATAGCTGATTCCTATTAAAGCCAGAGATAAAACTCCCACTGCAGTAATCCAGCCTCAAGAGGACAAAGAAATAGATCACACTTGCAAGGTCCACATTCAAAAGAAATGGTCACAATCTTCTGGCTAGGTGCAGATGGAAAATATATTCCTTGTGTCTTCTGCTATATGACCCTCTAGCAGTAGCTGTGGATATAACAGGTTTCAGAGTAACAGCCGTGTTAGTCTGTATTCGCAAAAAGAAAAGGAGTACTTGTGGCACCTTAGAGACTAACCAATTTATTTGAGCATAGGCTTTCGTGAGCTACAGCTCACTTCAGCTCACGAAAGCCTATGCTCAAATAAATTGGTTAGTCTCTAAGGTGCCACAAGTACTCCTTTTCTTTTTGTGGGTATAACAGTATCCCTAGTTTGTGAAACTGAAACAGATGGCGGGCACTACATCATCAATGGGAGGAATCCTTGCAGTACCAGATTAGTTGGTTCACCTATTTTGGCATCCTGCTTGCAGCAGTTGCCAGTATCTGATATTTCAAAGAGGAATTACCTTTTGCTCCAGCCTTAGTTGTGAAGTGCCGTACAGTGCTGAAGCAGGGGAACTCCATTCTGATCTCTGAAGGTGACCAGCTTCCTCCCAGACATCCGAGATGTGATTTCTCTCATCACTTTATATTGGACCTTGTATTACTGCAAGGATTTTGAGGATTTTTCTGTTCATGTTAATAAGAGCAAGATCAAGCCCATTGTTAGTGCTCATGAAATTATCCAGTTATATCATAATTGTTTAATTTTAAAATCCAGCTACAATATTTACCTCAATGACCTTCAATGACAATGAATTTCACAGGTTGACTAGGTGCCCTGTAAAGTAGAAGTTCATTAGAATAAACAAAAATTATTGCAATATAATCTAGGTTAGTGGATTATACTACTATTTTTATCAGTGTGTGCAGCATTTTAAGGACAAATCATGAAAGGAAGGTATTCATTTTACATAACTTTTTTCTCCGTAAAATGCAGAGAATACCTGCATACTTACAAGGATGTTGTGAGGCTTAATCAGTTTGAAAATTGCTATATAGTATAAAAAAGTTGTTCATATGAGCCCGATTTGGAGTCATTGCTTTGATCCCTTTTCAGTTTATGCACCTTCAGGAAACTTGGGAAAAGCAGCTGAAAAACCAAGCAGCAAAGACAAAGAAAGGAGTTCATCAGATTCTGGGTCCAAAGAAGGAGCTGATAAAAGGAAACGTAACAGAGTCACTGAAAAGGTGTTAAATGCAAACAGCAATCCCTCCAGTCCAAGTGCTGCAAAACGGCGTAGAACATAGAGAATACAGTGAAAGACAGGTGCTTTTAACTATAGAATCAGGGAAGGGAACAGTAGAATGAAATAGGAGAGAAAGAAAGTTGTTATAAAGATTTGTTAGGTGGAGAAAAAAGTATTTGACCCAGATATTAAAAGCTTCAGCACATTGTCATTGTGTGTGGACGTGGGTTTGCGTCTCTTCTCTCATAACGAGTTGCTTGCTGGTCGGTATTGCATAGCTAATTGATGGCCACGTTCTCAGGATACTGAAGGAGAGAGTTGGCAGCTTTACAAGCAGCATGTGTGTACTTAAGTCAAGTGGTGGCATTTTAAAATATTGGTAATGTGCGCACACACACACACACAGTTTGTGAAATAAGCTCTTGGCAGAACAAGGAGCCTCAGTTCTTGAAAAGCTTAGGTCATTTATTTAAAGTTTGGATCCCTTTCCTGTCCTGTTTGTATTGCTTTCTTTGGTGACTGTTATGTCCCCTTGGTGGGTTACTGTTCTTAGGACATTTTACTGGTAGCATGTAATAGCAAGAACACCTTTTCCTATTAAATGTCTGGCTTTGTTGGTCCAGTAAAACTGAAAGCTAGCACATTAAATATCGCTCTAAAGTGAAGCATTCTTTGTTACTGTTCTGTTTGACTGAGGGGAAAAGTAAACCCCCTGTCTCTTGGAGACTTAATGTGGTATAATTTATTTTTCAGCCTTTAAGTACATACTGTAAATAAAGGAAGATGTTAAATGTTTCTAGACAGAAGTCCTCATAAGTGGCTTAAACTAACATGTCCAGTAGTGTCACACAGTATGAAAGGGATCCACTGCGCTATGCAAGAACCTGGAGATACTGCCTCATCCAGTTGCACTGTAATAGTGTACATAACAGTTGTTTTCGTATTTCACTATTTAAGTCAATTTTTTTTAAAAAGCTATTTTTACAAAGAGCTGTTAAATTGAAATAATATTGTAAAACCTTAATCTTGTGCTGTTGTTATACTTTCCTGGAGTAGTTTTAGTTCAGACTCCTACTGGGGTATTTTGAAACTTATTTTCAGTCTTATATGCTAGAGTATTGAGAATTGGTAGCAGTTACTATTTTTTGAATTGTCAGAAAATGATCAATTCCCCCATTTTCTCCTTTCCCTCTTCCTGACATACTGATTTTAACAAGTGCATGTTAAACTGCTGAAGGAAGCAGTCTGAAATGTTATTGGGTTATATCTTCACAGTATGAACTTTACTGTTAAATAAAAAAATAGCCCAACACTTTTGTCATGCAGCATTGTCATCTACTTGAAGAAGTGCGACTCTCACAGTTTGGCTTGTGTTTTATTAGTTGATCATTGTGAAAACTAGATAAAAAAAACAGGCTTAAGACTGTTATTTAAAATATACTTAGGTGCCTAGAGGACTTTCAGAAGTGTCTTTATGTTGGAAATTGTGGATCCTCCTCCCTTTCCCGTTTTAAACAATGGAGAAATGGAAGTGGCTTGTTTTGGTTAAACAGTGGCACCAATAACTGGTATGTGGTCCTGTATCAAAACGTCTTTGCCTTTACTGAGATCCATGGATGAGCCAATTGCAGAGCTCTGGCAATCCGTGTTCATTTGGTATACTGCTGCTAAACAGGCAGCAGAGACAGCACATCACATGCTTTGCCCATCATTTGTGTTTAAGTGACTACATGGTAGATATAAAATCCAGAGCACATGCCTTATTCATGAGGCTATTTTAATCTCTTAGTTTCTAGATCTCTACTCCCAAGTTTCTGCCTTCCTGTCTCAGATTCCTATGCCCAGCCCAGGCAGCTGGACTGAAAAAAACAAATCCTGCTGCTTTTCTTGCTCCAGGTCAATGGAGTTTCCTGCTAGAGCAGTGGTTCTCAACTGTGGTCCACCGCTTGTTCAGGGAAAGCCCCAGGAGGGCCGGGCCGGTTTGTTTACCTGCCATGTCCGCAGGTTTGGTCGATCGCGGCTCCCAGTGGCCTTGGTTCGCTGCTCCAGGCCAATGGGAACTGCTGGAAGCTGCGTGGGCCGAGGGACGTACTGGCCGCTGCTTCCAGCAGCTCCCATTGGCCTGGAACAGCGAACCGCAGCCACTGGGAGCCGCGATCGGCCGAACCTGCAGACGCGGCAGGTAAACAAACCGGCCTGGCACGCCAGAGGCTTTCCCTGAACAAGCAGTGGACCACAGTTGAGAACCAATGTGCTAGAGGGTTTGCTAGAGGCCTGTCTTCTGCTGGCCTTCACTACTCCCCACACTGGCCTCCACAGACAAGAGCGCAGCAAGAAGAGCCTCAGCTCATCCTGAAGAGAGAGGAGAGGGATCTGGCACAGGAAAAATGGAAGGGCACTCCCACGGTAGGGAGTGACAATAGAGACGGGGGTGAAGAGTGGAAATATGGCCCAGGATGATGCCTGACAAGCCTACTGGTTGCCCTCAGTCAAACCAGATGAGGTATAGCAGGCAGCTAGCTTTCACCATGAGAAAGAAGCTGCAGGAAACTGGGACCTGTTTAAGGGAAGGTGGGGGATGAGTGGGAGAGGGCCTAGTTGGTGTACAGTAACTCCTCACTTAACGTTCTCCTGCTTAACGTTGTTTCAAAGTTACGCTGTTGCTCAGTTAGGGAACATGCTCGTTTAAAGTAGTGCAATGCTCCCTTATAACGTCGTTTGGCTGCTCTGTCCACTGCTTGTAAGATTTTGTGGAAGAGCAGGAACTCTACAAGGGAGCATTGCACAAATTCCTCTTCTCCGCCTCCTCCCCCTCCTTCCCAGCACTTCCCCCACCGCCAAACAGCTGTTTGGTGGCACTTAGGACTTTCTGGGAGGGATGGGGAGGAGCGGGGAAGCGCTGCATCTCCACTCCTCCCCCTCCCTCCCAGAAAGTCTTAAGTGCTGCCAAACAGCTGTTTGGCGGTGCTTAGGACTTTCTGGGCAGGGGAAGGAGCGAGGATGCAGCATGCTCCGGAGAGGAGGTGGAGTGGGGGTGGGAAGAGGTGGGCCTGAAGCATCCCCTGGCAAAGTCGGCGCCTGTTCTTCTCCAGGGAAGCTGCCGGTGCTGCAGCAAAGGTGCTTCCTAGTGTCCTTGCCTGCAGCGGGCTGGGCCTGTGTGGGGTAAGCCAGGGGCACTTCCTAACAGTACAGTACTGTATAGTGTATAATGCCTTTTGTCTGCCCCCAAAAAATGTCCTTGGAACCTAACCCCCTGCATTTACATTAAATCTTGTGGGAAAATTGGATTTGTTTAACATCATCTCACTTAAAGTTGCATTTTTCAGTACATAACTACAATGTTAAGTGAGGAGTTACTGTATTCATAGATCAGGGAACCATCCAAACTTTGAGGGATCTCTCACTAGTGTCGTATAATAGGAATAATAATTCATACTTCTACAGTGCTTTCCATCTGAGGATCTCAAACCTCTCTATGAATATGTATTAGTGTTAGGTAGGAAAGTATAATTATTGTCACTGTTCAGGTGGGGAAACAGGAACACAATTTAAATGAAATACCTGATGTGTCTCACACAAGACCAGCTTCAGCCCTGATGCAGAACATGGCAGAGTCCTCAAGGTCAGGCTTCAACTGTGCTTAGATTGTGATGGCACAAAGAAGCAGGGTTTCCCCTCCACCAGGCAGCATGCACAGCCCAAAGGTCTACATTACTTTTTAGGGGAGTGGGTGTTGTCAAGACAACCAGGGGATGCACTGAAGCGCAAAAACCCTGATGGAAGATGATGGTGGCAAAATCATAGAATCATAGAATATAAGGGTTGGAAGGGACCCCAGAAGGTCATCTAGTCCAACCCCCTGCTCGAAGCAGGACCAATTCCCAGTTAAATCATCCCAGCCAGGGCTTTGTCAAGCCTGACCTTAAAAACCTCTAAGGAAGGAGATTCTACCACCTCCCTAGGTAACGCATTCCAGTGTTTCACCACCCTCTTAGTGAAAAAGTTTTTCCTAATATCCAATCTAAACCTCCCCCACTGCAGCTTGAGACCATTACTCCTCGTTCTGTCATCTGATACCATTGAGAACAGTCTAGAGCCATCCTCTTTGGAACCCCCTTTCAGGTAGTTGAAAGCAGCTATCAAATCCCCCCTCATTCTTCTCTTCTGCAGGCTAAACAATCCCAGCTCCCTCAGCCTCTCCTCATAACTCATGTGTTCCAGACCCCTAATCATTTTTGTTGCCCTTCGCTGGACTCTCTCCAATTTATCTACATCCTTCTTGAAGTGTGGGGCCCAAAACTGGACACAGTACTCCAGATGAGGCCTCACCAATGTCGAATAGAGGGGAACGATCACGTCCCTCGATCTGCTCGCTATGCCCCTACTTATACATCCCAAAATGCCATTGGCCTTCTTGGCAACAAGGGCACACTGCTGACTCATATCCAACTTCTCGTCCACTGTCACCCCTAGGTCCTTTTCCGCAGAACTGCTGCCTAGCCATTCGGTCCCTAGTCTGTAGCTGTGCATTGGGTTCTTCCGTCCTAAGTGCAGGACCCTGCACTTATCCTTATTGAACCTCATCAGATTTCTTTTGGCCCAATCCTCCAATTTGTCTAGGTCCTTCTGTATCCTATCCCTCCCCTCCAGCGTATCTACCACTCCTCCCAGTTTAGTATCATCCGCAAATTTGCTGAGAGTGCAATCCACACCATCCTCCAGATCATTTATGAAGATATTGAACAAAACCGGCCCCAGGACTGACCCTTGGGGCACTCCACTTGATACCGGCTGCCAACTAGACATGGAGCCATTGATCACTACCCGTTGAGCCCGACAATCTAGCCAGCTTTCTACCCACCTTGTAGTGCATTCATCCAGCCCATACTTCCTTAACTTGCTGACAAGAATACTGTGGGAGACCGTGTCAAAAGCTTTGCTAAAATCAAGAAACAATACATCCACTGCTTTCCCTTCATCTACAGAACCAGTAATCTCATCATAGAAGGCGATTAGATTAGTCAGGCATGACCTTCCCTTGGTGAATCCATGCTGGCTGTTCCTGATCACTTTCCTCTCATGCAAGTGCTTCAGGATTGATTCTTTGAGGACCTGCTCCATGATTTTTCCAGGGACTGAAGTGAGGCTGACTGGCCTGTAGTTCCCAGGATCCTCCTTCTTCCCTTTTTTAAAGATTGGCACTACATTAGCCTTTTTCCAGTCATCCGGGACTTCCCCGGTTCGCCACGAGTTTTCAAAGATAATGGCCAATGGCTCTGCAATCACAGCCGCCAGTTCCTTCAGCACTCTCGGATGCAACTCGTCCGGCCCCATGGACTTGTGCACGTCCAGCTTTTCTAAATAGTCCCTAACCACCTCTATCTCCACAGAGGGCTGTCCATCTCTTCCCCATTTTGTGATGCCCAGCGTAGCAGTCTGGGAGCTGACCTTGTTAGTGAAAACAGAGGCAAAAAAAGCATTGAGTACATTAGCTTTTTCCACATCCTCTGTCACTAGTTTGCCTCCCTCATTCAGTAAGGGGCCCACACATTCCTTGGCTTTCTTCTTGTTGCCAACATACCTGAAGAAACCCTTCTTGTTACTCTTGACATCTCTGGCTAGCTGCAGCTCCAGGTGCGATTTGGCCCTCCTGATATCATTCCTACATGCCCGAGCAATATTTTTATACTCTTCCCTGGTCATATGTCCAACCTTCCACTTCTTGTAAGCTTCTTTTTTATGTTTAAGATCCGCTAAGATTTCACCATTAAGATTACAAATCTTGTAATCTTGTGGAGAATCCCTTTGGGGTGTTGTCCTGTGCATTAACCACAAGACTATCCTTCCAAAAAAAGGTATTTTTGCTATGTTGATCACAGGGTTTGCCAGCTCTTATGTTTTTGCAAAGCTGCGTGATTGTGACAGGACATCACCACGTGGTGATGCAACATTTCACTGCAATACCTAAGACTGGATGGAGGTGTAAGGTTTGCTGGATTTTCTGATTTTTGCTTGTTTGAGCTGGTAGAATGGATATTTAAGAGTAACCTGAAAACTACCCATTTTGAGGTTAATTCAGAATGGAAATCTGCCTTAAAAATACCAAAATATTCTGCAATATTCTTCCCCCCATCTTCATGAAGCTCTGGCTTCTTTGCAACATTGTCCCTTAATTTTATTCCTCCCCCCACCCCCTTCAAACAGGACGATGAGTAGTTGATCAAATTCAAATCTGGGGGTCTGGTACCTCCTTACCCCTGATCCTGCAGAGAGGTACTCACGTGTTTACACTTACGCACTATTAAACTCGAACAAACCTTTGCAGGATTGGATTTTACAGCCTCCTATTGACGCGGGCAGCGGGGCCCAGAAAGGTGGCGAGCGCTGGGGCCCTCCTGGCTGGCTGGCTGCTCTCTGCCAGGGCCCCTGCAAGGCATCTTTATGGGAGACCCTCCCCTCCCCGAGCTGTCAGGCTGACCGGGCTGCGCGCTGGAAAAGGCTCGCTCTCGCCGCGGGAAGGGTTTTGCAGCCTGCGTGTGTCTCAGTCGTTGACGGGTAACGAGCAGCCTGGCCGCCAGCCGGCGTGGCCAGCTCCCCAGCTAGGGGTGGAACGCGGAGACACCGCCGACGTTCCAGCGGCGCTCCTCGGCCAATGGGGTGGGCCGGGCTGCAGAGCAGGGAGGCGGAGCCCGCTGTGCCGCACGCCTCCCGGAAGTCAATAAGGCCACTCACGTGGCTGGCTTTGTAGCCTGCCCCTCCCAGCTGCTAACGCAGCGCCTCTTTCGGTTTCCTTTCCTGTCGGCCGGGGGCCCTGATGGCGGCGTGGATGAGGTTCGGGGGGCTGGAGGATGGCGAGAAGAAAGAGTGGTGCTCCTGGGAGTACGACTCCACCTGGGAAAGCGAGGAGGAGGAGGAGGAAGAAGAAGAAGAAGGGAAGGAGCCGCAGGAGGCCCGAGCCGACAGAGAGGAAGAGGAGTCCTTGCCAGGGTGGTTGAGAGTCTCCCACCAGGCCAGCGGCGTACAGGTGACTCCTCTGACTGGGCTTTCTGTATGTGAAAGAGGTGGGGAGACCTGGTAGGGAGGCTGGGGGTTATTTCGGCAGGGCGGTGGGAGAGGTGTTATTCTTCCAGTGTGCTCGGGGGAGTTGGGGTTAGGGGAGAGCCCCTCAGTATAAGATCTGTGTACGTGGGGGAGAAATATTAATTTGCCTCTCCTTCCAAACTGCCTTTCTCCTCGTCCTGAAAGGTTAGTGGTAAATAATCTCTCCTCCCCCCCCCCCCCCCTTTAAGCAAGCTATGGTCTGACTTCAAAATCTCCACCAACTCCCTACTGCAAGACAAACGTTTTTCTTCAGCTAAGTAGTTTTCTTTGACTTTGCATTACTGTTTGTTAAATGTGTTACGATCTGAGGTTGCATAATTTATTCTGTTGCTTCGAAAGCTACAGCTTCCACACGGTGTAATGTCACACACAAGTTGTTACATGGGTAACTGATCCACAGTGTCTTGGAGCCTCTTCTGTCGAGTTCCTGTGTTTGCAACTAGGGACAGGAGCAGCTTGAAGTAGCTTCAGAGAGTTCCATGTCCCCCTCCTCATGGGATCACTAGCATATTATTTTGCCATGATCTTAATGAACCATATTTCCAGATGCCTCAAAGAAAGGGGACACAAGCTCACTGCTAATGCATTTTGCAATAGGTGGGTATTCGGGGCAGGGGTGTGCTGGTGGGGTTACAGCTCAATGGAAAAATTAAAATAAACATCTGTGGTTTTATGTTCCACTAAAGCGTCATGAAATTGCCACGTGCTGTTTCTGAATATCTTTCCCAGCATTCCGGGTAAGCAGGATAATTTTGTTATAAATCAACTTTCCATCTTGTAGACTCAGTTGACTCCACTTTCCTGAGTCTATGATGATGAATTCTGTTTTTTAACATCATAGCTCAGAATTGTTGACACTGAGAATCTTCTGTTGCTGTAAATGCTCCAGCCAGTTTCTTTTTTTGGGGGGTGACCTTTTATTGGTATCCCTAAGGGACGTTACTCTTAAGATTATCAAGTACCATCAAGCAATGTTTCTTCTCTTTTAAGAATGAAATAAAATTTACTAGGTTTTCACAAAGCTACTTAAAGAAGCGGCGATATGGTTCTGCAGTGAACCTGAAAAAGACCACCTGTGAATGGCATACAGCACTTTAAAAAATCCTTACGGGGCTGCAAAATGTGATTATTTAACTCTGATGCTGTAAAATGTTAGTGTTGGATAACTCCGTACTTTAAGTCTCTTGTAAAGTTTCTCACTGTCCTCATCAGTGAGTGTTAATAACAATCCCAGAATATTACTTAAACAGATCTTTTGTTTTGCTTTTGTCTTTGTTTTATGAAAGAGAAAATCTTTAAAGCTCATTAGTTTGTTTTTTTTTAATCTAACTCCTCCTATCTTGGGGAAAAGGAAACTAATCCTTGGGTTCAGTTTCACTTTGGTGACTCAGGACAATGCAATTTTAAGGTTAGGAGGCTGCACATCTTAGTTATTCACTTTTTTTTTAAGGGAGGTTATATTTTTAAATTATGTGTAGAAGCACATTGGGGGTGTTCAGTAAAACAGCTTTTTGATGTTTATTTTAAAGCACAAAATAATGCTTGATTCTTCAAGGGCACAGACTTAGTAATAAGTTTGCAAACAAAACTAAGATATAGATCCTGTAAATGAATCTGCCCATGCCTACCCCAGCAGCACAATGGAGTTCTGTTGTCTTCACTGAGATTCTGCTTGTGCAGATCCATTTGCAGAATCTAGTTCCAGGACTTTAAGTCTCAAGTGCCTGTAGTATTTCATGAAATGCCATGTGCAGAGATAAGGGTGTCCTTGTGGAAGAACTTTGCTGAACTGGTGCTGTATAGTGTATATAGTTTAAATGGAAGCGGAGGCAAAGACAACCAGTTTTCAGCACCAATGAATGGATTTTTCAAGGCCTGCTTTAAAGGGACGTTGAGGCTTCTTACCCCCAAAACATCAGCACCCTGCTTCTAAAAATGCTAACTCTTCCTTTATAAATGTATTCCCATCGCTCTCAAGTAAAGTCTGCAATAGTCTTTGAGGAGAGTGGGAGAACTCTTATACAAAAAAGAAACCAGTTTTCTCACCATTCATATATTACACACATCTACAACTGCAAAGAGCTCTGATCAGTTTGCAAAACAAGTACCTATTTTTGCTCCTATTAAACTAACTTAGATTCCTTTCTCTTCAGTCTAGATGGTATTGTTTATTCAGGACGACCTATATGTTTTTGAGGAAAGTTCTTTCACATCTTAATCTTTCAGATGCCCAGGTTAGAGATTTTTTTTTTAATTTTATTTTAAATAAGTACTTTCGAACAACGGGCTGCAACCAAATCCTAAATCGCATATGTCTTTTGTACATCATTATAAAAACGCTGTTTGTTCATAACTGGAAATAGCCGTGGACATGTTTTCAGATAATTTTTATCACATTTATCTTCCCCTATAAAACAATATGCATTTTTTTTGTAATAAAAATCTTGGGTTTTGTTCTAATTTTTTTAAACACCTGCTTATTTTACTGTAGAATAGCAGGCTTCGTGTTCCGTTGCACCAACTTCCCTCTCTAACAACAAAACTGACCTTGCATTGTCCCATCCTCAAATAATTTTGTGAGGATGAAACCTCTGTTTGCTTAGGCTACTCTTCCTAGAATGTTGGCCACATTCTCTTTACACGAGTCTTGCGGTTATCTGCACCTTCCTTTCTTTCTTGCCACTGGTTGCTAGCTCTTGTTCACACCGCTCTACCCTCCTCCAGCTTTGTTCTCTACTTTTCTCACACACTTCATGCAATAGTGTAATGGGTTGGGATGCTGGATGGACACACATGCCAAAAATAGCTTAATAGCAGAAGAGTCTGAAACGCAAATAAGACAGTTGGGGTGAAATCCTGGTCCCAGTGAAATCAATAGCAAAATTCCTATTGACCTCAGAGGAGTCAGGATTTCACTCCTGGATTTCGAACATCATATAGTCAAGATTGTAGATGGATTTCATAGGGCGAAATCCCGATCTCTGTTTATATCCTAAGAAACAACTGTACTGACCTCCCTAGCTAAATGCACATTTCTCTTCCTAACAGAGCCTCTTGCAATATGCAAAACCACTTATGCTTCAGATTAAAACTTCACAGGATTTAAAAACAAATGAAACCCAAATCATTGTATGTATATAAGTCAATATATCATTACATGGCTTAAGACCTTGGTATTGGCTATCCAGGATGGCCAGTTGGAGTGAGCATCAGGAATTTGAGTTCTTTATCCTGGTCCTTCCATTGACTGGCCTTGGACAAGTCCCTTCACTTGTCTGTCAGTTTCATCGCCTGTAAAATGGGAATAATGCTTATCTAATTTGCAATCTGTTTATTTTAAATATTTATTTAGCCCCCTTTTCGTTGCATTATGGGGAAGTCTGTGTAAATGTTCAAGATTTTTTTTTTAAATTATTTATGTCTTTATTCTGTGGGAAACCCTTCCTCCAAAGGTGTCTAAGACAGAAGTGTGTACAACACCTGGAAGATAGATACTAAGTGTTTTTATTATTAAAAATCAATGAGACTGGACAGAGAAATCTCTTGACTACAAACCATTTGATACATAATCTTATTCCCCCTAAATAATGTAATGGACGCTGATCAATATTTAACTATTCGCAGGAAAGTCTCTGTTTCCCAGACAGAAGGAGGAAATTATAATGGTCAGATAGTTACAAAAAAAAATGGGAGTTTGTGCTTCTTGAAAGTGCTGAGCACCAGGGGCCAGATCCAGCCAAGCATAGGTTCATAGATATTAAGGTCAGAAGGGACCATTATGATCTTCTAGTCTGATCGCCTGCACAATGCAGGCCACAGAATCTCACCCACCCACTTTGAGGCCTGGTCCCAAATCTGTTGAAGCTGATGGAAAGATTCCCATTAACTTCAGAAATCTTTGGATCAGGCCCTTTCTGCACAAGTAGTCTGGTTGAAATCAGTGGGACTTTCCAGGCACTTAAGGTTAGACCATGTGCTGAAGTGTCTTGATGGATTGCGGCCAGAGTGCCCAGCACCCTGCATGAGTCCTATCTGCATCTTTCTGCTTCTTGCATATTTTAATGGCAGTTCTGTCAATGAGGTTTGTATAAACAAAGGATAATTTGCCCCCCTTTTTTTTTTAAAGTCAGTTATTTAATGTCACTCTCCTAACTCCCACTTCCATGTGATGCTGGCAAGGAGAAAGTGAAGCTTTAGCCAGTGATTTCTGTCTAAACACTATTAAATTCATAAACACGTCTTAGACTTCTAGGGTCTGATTCTCCTTTCACTTGAGCTGCTTTACCCCAGGGTGTAATTTCATTGACTTTAGCAGATTTGCTCCTGATTTTGCATCAGTTTAACGGAGAAAAGAATCAGGTGGCAACTGTCAGTGGGTTTTTTAATACTGATGTGAAGTATAAACAACGTAACTTCATAACTAATAGAACTTGTCACTGAAGTGACTGACTTGAAAGAAGTAAAACGTTATTGGGGTGTCTTAGTTCTTGATGATGATGAGTGAACGGTATTTTTCTTTTAAAATATAACTGAAGTTTGATTTCAATAATGTCGCCCTAAGTCTCTTGTTAAAGTATTATTTTATTTTATTTTGTTTAGGAGCGAAGAAGACCAGCTGCCTCATCAATTGGTTATAGAGGTTTTGAGGTAGGATTAAAACAATGTTTGCCTGTTTGGAAAGATATAGGTGATCGTGATGGGGAATATATTTTAAAAACTCACTTCACTCCTGGCTACGTTATCTTACATAAACCAGCATTGCTGCTTGCTAGATGCACAGCTTCTTCTCTTCCACTCTAAGCTGTGGAAGAGTTCAGTTTAGTATTAATCTAAGGGAGTGACCACCTAAATATTTTGCAGTTGGGTCTAAGTATCCCTTTTGCTCCTGGAAAATGTGCAGAGATGAGTTCTGGACTTCAATTGTGGACCCTGTCTAGGCTACAATAAAAGGTGTCTTTTTTTTTTAAGTGATCTTATGCCTTTTAAAAACTTAACATTAACAAGGAAATTTGTTTTTTATTGTGTAGGGCTTCCTTGACCATCTAATGTGGGAAAAATACAACATACCTTTTAAAGTCTTAGTGTAGACCAGACTCTAACGTGTCTTTAAGAAACCCCGCACCTTTTATCTTAGCGTAGACTAAGATAATTGATATTTGGGCCTTGTTCCAGTTAGCATTGTCGTTCCTACTGTCCAAGGGTAAGATTTGTGGGGTTTGATCACTTCTCTCCCGAGGGCAGGTAGGAAGATTCCAGTCCCAAGGGTAAAAGACAAATACAAACTCTGCAGAAGTTCATACAATCAAACCATCTGACCCTGGTTAATTAGGCCGGGAAGGAAGGAAAAGCTGAGTTAATAAAGGAGATGACGTCAAGCTGTCTTAGCCTGAAGGTACCTTCAGGGATGCAATGAAACAATCAGAATAATAGAATGGGTGCTGAAACATAGGTGTCTCCTCAGCTGGTCTGCCAGGGGAGATGAGAATTCAGAACGTTGTGGATGATATTAATGGGGGGCAAGGGGAAATATTTGCAGGAGAGGCTGAGGTTAGCCAGACTTTCTCACGTTAGTCAGAACAGCATTTACAGCATCATTAGTCACCAACTCTTCAAGAAGGAACATGGCAAAACAGCGTTTTCTGTTGGGAAGCTTTTTTCTGGATCTCTGATTTGTCTCTTTCCTCTTCCCTTCAGTTCTCGACTGGACGCAACTGGACAGCCGCAAAAGATATGCAGAGATACAGGCATTGTTATCCGGTACAGGCTGGAGATTTATGAACTTCCTGTCTTCCATGGTTTTTTCCTCTTTTCATGCTAGACGCAAGGGGCGCTTGGTTGATGTCATTTGATCACCCTTAAGTTGGTAGATTGATGAGGAATATTAAAATAATGATAAAGTAATTCGCTTCTCCTAACCAATGTAGTGGGTACTGGGATGTACTCACTACATCCTGCTGGCTCAGAAACGAGCTGTTAGCTCCCAACTGCTGGTCTCAGACTTGGTAGCCTTACTACCAACAGTTAAGAACTATGGAGAAGATCATTATGTAGGTGTTTTAATTCATTGCTGCTTGTTAATGTGCCTCTCTTCTGAAGGGTTTGAAAGAAAGGGAACCTGATGCTGAAGAGGAGGAGATGTGGAATTTAAGTTTTTACAAAAACGAAATTCACTTTTTGCCTCACGGTACGTATCTGACCTGGACCTCCCGTATGTGCAGTTGTAATGCACGTGAGCTTGCAAGGTGTCCTGGTGAGTGAGTGGAAGGAATAGAATCCAGCTCTCCTGATTCCCAGTCCTGTGTTCAGTCTGCCAGAGCTCTGCCCTGTGCTGTCTTAGCTCCAGGATGCACAAATACCTGTAAATCAGGGTTTCCCGTTCAAATTGCAGAATGCGGCCGATTGCTGGCTCATTGTTCTTTCCTTTCTTTCGCTCTGTGGCATGTGTAGTAGTTCTTCACCCTAATTCACTTCAAAGTTTTCGGTTTGTAACTGCAGTTTGAAAGGCTCTTTGCTTTTTAAAAGATTAACTGATTGGGGCAGGCAGAATACCTGGTGGGGCCCCTCTGTAGTAGTTTAGTATATTTGCCGTTCTGGCAACCCAGTTAAAAATGTTTTCCGCTTGGCACTTTCCCACTGCAGCACATTAATGCCTTTAGACCCACACTCGTGCTAACTTCACAGCTTTGGATGAGAATCTGTTGCTGAGCTGTGGGTGTGAACGTTCAGCTCTCTAGATGAGTGTTTAGCCATCCAGCTCTCCCTCATGCCCATTCCCTGTGTGCTGAATTTTCACTCCAAGGGGCCTTCACTTAAGGCATATGCAAAAGTGAAATGACGAGAGCTGCTATCCGAAGGGAAAAAGTAACATTCCATCACTGATCTTAAACTAGGAAGTGAGATGAGTGTTTAAACTGACGTAAGCATCTGTAAAGTCTGGATGCTGTTTTTCTGGGGTCCTTCCAGATCCAGCTATGGTGCTCTCTGGGATATCGGTCTTCGTTCAAGACTGTGAGGCTCTCTAACAGTACTAGAAGGCTTCTGTCCCCTTCATAGGGCTTGATCTTGAAAAGTGCTGAGCTTCAGTGTCTTCAGTAGAAGTTGAAGATGTTCACTATCTTGTAGGACATACTTGAGTCATTGCAAGGTCAGGCCTAAAGTAGTGGCAGACCCATTCTGGGGAGACTATCCCTCATCTGTTGTGTGATAGCAGATCACAACACTAGCCTGGCTTTTACTTTTTCTGGGTTTCACAGTGCTTGGCTTGTTAGAAAATAATCTGTCAATATGCAGGTATTTGACTGTGCAAAGAAATGCAGAATTGGACTCTTTCTCAGGAATAGCGTTTCCTTAAAGCCTGCACTCCAGTGTATGCAGAAACCTACGCTGTTCAAAACATAACTCTGTTAGGGCCCCTTGGAAAGGACATTAGGTTGTCATTTTATTGAAAGTGCTCTTTTTATGTAGGTTACCCTGACCTCTTTTGGAGACAGTGAGGCAGATCCTGTTTTCTGTAACTATATCCCATCTCCTGGACAATCGGTTAACTTTACACATGCTAATTTGCTACAGTTTCTTCTCTGACCTCCCACTCTTTTTTCACCTAGGCTTACTTATTGATGAGCTCCTTGAAGCTTGGCAGGAGGATTACGAGACTCTGGAAGAAAATCATTCTTATATACAATGGTAAATAATTATTACAAAAGGAGATGTCTCTTAGAATGATTCTCTTCTGATGTCTGTCTCAAAGAATTCGCTGATTCAGAGCTGCTGTGGCTGGCTTCTCAGAAAACCTTGAACCCCTCTTGTGTTCTAAATTTGTGAGATTTATTTTAGTCAGTTACTTTCCTGTGAAAGTAACAAGAGGGTTGGGTATATTGAAGGCAAAGATTTCCCTTGCAGCTCTGTCAGTAGTCTTCAATCCCCAGCTGCAATATGTCTAGAAACCAGGTACTGAGCAAAGATATTGTGGTGATGGTTAAGTTAGAAATACCCAGACAGATAAACAATTAAGACTGCTAATAGTACAATATGTATAGTGACTTTTCGCTGTGTGACTTAGGCTGTTACAAACTAATTTCCTTCTGTGTTCCATGACGTTATGTCCTCTCGAAGAGGGCTGTATTTGGCATCTACAGCCTTGGAGACCTTTCTGTTAACATATTTTTAAGGAACATGTGCGCTGGGTTGAATGTGATCTCTATTTTATCTAATTGTCAAATCTTCTTTCCCTTCAGGTTGTTTCCTTTGCGTGAACGTGGGATGAACTGGCGTGCAAAGCCTCTCACATGTAAAGAAATTCAGGTGTGACCCTTTTTTTTTTTTATTTCAAACCTTTTATACTTGAAAGTCATTGGGGGTTCAACTAGGTAAATTTTTGTCCTATACTTTGTAAGGTTGCTCCATTTCCTTCCCCACCATAATGGAGCCAGCTCCAATGACTGTTAAATGCAGCTTTTGATGATCTTTTTGCTCCTCAAATGTCCTCAGAAATAAATTATAGGTTTGTGGATATAAGCAAGAAATAACCAATGAAGATCCCAAATGTGTCTCTTTACACAATAGCCATTTATAAGCATTGGGTATAACTGAAAGACCTCTTAAATAACTGATGCAGATAGTTAAAAATATTTTTGAGTTGCCATACGTGCAAATTTGGAGTCTTTTGTGCATTTCAGGCCTTTAAGAAATCCAAGGAAGTTATGCAAAGATTCATTAGAGCTTACAAACTCATGCTGGGTTTTTATGGAATAAACTTGATAGATCAAGGAACAGGAGAAGTGCAAAGAGCAGAAAACTGGTGTCAGAGATTTCGCAACCTTGATCGGTGAGTCCCATTTACATTTTGGCTTTTATTCCTCACTCTTGCGAAAGAAAAATCAAATGAAACCAAAGGAATTAATTGCGTACTGAGATACAAAGGTTTTCTGTGTTACAGAAGTAGAGTGATCTGACCACAGAACTAGGAGCCAACTAGCCAAGAGTTTAGGTGTCCTTATTTTGGCTTCGCCTCTGACTATAGCTTGGGAGGCCTGTCAGCATCTTTCATATTTTAAATTACTTGAACTGCTTAGGCCACAGCTGTCCCACTGTAAGCCACGTGTGTATTGTGTGTTAACTGCTTTGGCATTACTAACCAAAAGGTGGGTGTCCATCTGAGTCTCCGTAAGGCTGTAATACAGGCTTAGAGACTCTGATATTTGCGGCCTTGGAGTTTGTGCCTCACATCAAGTTTACTCTTCAGTGAAATAGGCCTCAAGCAGCTGTAGTCTCTGAAATCCACTGGAACAATTTTCACCAATAGCTCAGTATACGGCAGGGATTACTTCTTTTAAGACATGCTGAGAAGTGTCTAAAGTTCAGTTTTGAAAACAAAATGATCACAGGAATGAAGAGTGAAGATCCCTAGTTACAGCTGGGAACTTGGAGTTCGGACTCCAAGTTCTGTTGTTGGCAGTGAGCATGACTTGCTATGTGTGAGCTTGGACAAGCCACTTAACCTCTGTCATTTACATAGCTATAAAGTAAGAATAATTTCCTATGCTTCCTACAGTGTTTATAAGGCTGCCTCAATGCCTGCGAAATGCTTTCAGGTCCTTGGATAAAAGGTGTTACTTAAAAGCAAAGTAGGGTTGTAGGTATTATTGTCATACATCGATTGGCGATATCAGATCCCTTTTCCAGTACGTATCTTTGTAGTTTGAACTGCACATCAGTGATGGCAGTGGGGAAGCCACCCCCTGTTCTGGAATTCGGATATCCTTTAATCTCTGCTACAGCGTTAACTGGAACATCGAGACAAGGATGGGATAACGCTATTGAAAGCCAGAACAGATAGGCTAGATATTACAGCAATAGGTGCTTTTTAAAATAGGCTGGCTTAAACGTGATCTACCCTTAAAGATTCCAGTAAAGACTTATTTGTAGTTAACAGCATTCAGCATGTTTACTTTTAAGATACCTGTCTGGGTTCGGGTGGGACTCTGAACTGTACTGCTTTCATGTAACGATGTCCTTTTCCTGTTTCACTGTCTTCAGTTCTTTTTTTTTTTTTTCCTGTCTGTGTCTCAGGTTTAGTCACAACAATTTGCGGATAACTCGTATTTTGAAGTGTCTGGGAGAGATGGGGTATGAACACTATCAAGTATGCCTGGTTAAGTTTTTCCTAACAGAGACGCTTGTTTACCAAACACTCCCAAACGTTAAGAGAAGTGCCTTGGATTACTTCATCTTCACCATCAGAAACAAGCAGAAGCGAAGGGAACTGATACACTATGCATGGATGCACTTTAAACCTCAGAATAGGTTTGCATGGGGGCCTCATAAGAAACTCCAGAAATATAAACCTCCTTTAAAGTCTCAGCACTGCCAAAAGGCTGAGGAAGAGAGGGAATCCATCCAAGATAAAGAAGCAGTGGGAAAGAATGAAACCAATCCTCCAAACAGGGAGGAGAAAGTTGGAGATGCTGCATACTCCAAAACTAACAAGATGACTGATGAATGTACCTCAGAGGAGCAAAGTAAGCGTGGTGCCATGTACGTTGCAGAACGAGGAGACAACGTAGAAGAGAAAGAACCCTCACTTCCCCAGCTAGAAGAGAAGGTTCTGAGTGAGGATCTTGTGGGCATGGGGCATGGAGCAGAGAGTGAATGCCTAAAGGAAAGCAAGAAAAGAAAGCTTGAGATGAGCAGATTAACTGGTAAGTGCACAGAGCTATTGAAAAGTCCCACTGATATTGAGAAGATCTCTTATAACCTCGGGGAATTTGCTATCAACCAAGAGACCACGGAGACTCATCCAGCATTGCCAGAAAAGGGTGACCAAGTAACAACTGAAGAAGGCGACGTCAGTAGTGAAGACTTAAAGGCGTCTGAGTCCTCTGATGCACCTGTAAAAAGAAGGAAAGTTGATGAGGCAATGCCAGAAAACAGTACCGTAAATGTGGCAATAAGCCTGGATGCTGACACCACTACCTGCAACGTCCAGGCAACAAAGCCAGGGGCCAGGGGCTGTGGGGCTGAGAAAGGAGAAGTTAGTGAGGAAGACAAGGTTGTGGAAGAAATTAGTGTTAAAACTGAGAATGGTGCTGAAGGTGCAAATGTGAATTCATTGCCTGGTTCTGAGACTAATGAGCCTGGCTTGTCTTCTCTGGCAGGCAGTGGCTCAGTGCTACGTGAAGCAAATTCAGAAATACAAAACGAGGGGCATCAATGTAATGAAGCTCTAACGGTAAGTGAAAGCCAGGTAGATAACAGAGAACAGAAAGAAGGGGCAGACGGTGTCAATGCAAGAGGGGAAACAAAAACCCCAGACAAGAACCAGAGCCAAGAGGGTCTTCAGCAGAGCGTGGTGGCATCTTGTCTTGAAAAAGTCAGTGTTAGGGACATAGCACAAAAAATGGATCACTTTGAGGATTCAGCAGAACTGAATGATCAGCAGACAATGGCAGAGCGTGGAAAAGCCATTGCGATAGCACCAGAGCCAGGGGAGGAGGAAGGACAGTGACGTCCTGAATTCAAGGAGCATGGAACAGCGATTCAGACTCCAAAGGCAGATGGAAAAAGAAGTCTCTTTTAAAACAATCCAGAACTAACTCAGTCCCTCCCCTCCCCTCTGATTGTCTTAACTAGAAAAAATCTGCTCGGTCAACTACGTAGGGAAGAGCCCCTGACCTCTTCCTGTTCCCATTTGTATCTGACATGCTGGACTATGTGCAAGAATTTCCCCTCTTCACCTCTTTTTTGGTATGTGTATTAAAGAAGAAAACAAAGCTGCTTTCCTCTTTGAAAGAGTAAAGCTCTTATTTAATAAGTGATTTTAATCCATGGAATACAGATGTTTGTAGAATAAACCAACTGGTTTCTAGTTTTTTTTTTTTTTTTTAACCAGGTAATTCCTCTTCGGCACTTTGGAAACTGTCACACTAACAACGGGGAGTTTTTACATTTGCTGTTTCCCTAGCAAAGGCCAGTGTGAGACCCTGTTGCTCATCTTGGTGAGGCTCTGTTGAAATCAGTTTTGTAAGGAGACACCAATTTGATTGTGCAGTGGTTGTTCTGCTTGAAGCCTGGTGCTTTTCTGCTCCTTGAGGGCAAAGGTCCCCCATTCTGCTGATATTTGCTTGCAAAAGGGGTGAGGGTAGTGAAATTTCGTGTGTGGGGAAAATGCAAATGCCTTTCCAGGGGTAAGCTTAATTTTAAGCATTTAGTTTGGAATACGAGTGTCATTGATTAAACTACGCAGTCAAAATGTTTGACAAATATTAACCTTAACGGGGCTTTTCTCCAATCTATGTGCAGGGCTGTTGAGGGTTTAATTCCATCTAGCCCTAGTCCAAGCCACTCATGCATTTCTTCCAAGGGTTGCTGGGAGACTGGAAACCCACCAGTCTCTAAAAGAAAATGGGGTGGGGGGGAAATACAACTCAGGCATTGCTTAAAGAGAATTCTGCCCTCCTGGGAGTCCCTTTTCCTTGCTCTGTGGAGCCCTGATGGTTTTCCAGATGCTACTTTTTTCATTGGTTGTGAGTCCTTTAACGGCCTGTCAATGCACTTTTTCATCAGGCTCCTCTTCCCTCGTCCCGAGTGTGGATTTTCGTCCACGATGATTTTAATTTCCAGTTTGGGCAAGTGTTGTGCCAGTAGCATTCTGCCTCCGACTGTCCCAAGTGTGTTCTGCAGCGAGTCGTGTGCACTGTCGGGGGTCATAGCTCTGTCTTTACGTTGTGAAAGAGTTAAACTGTTGAGGGTTTTTGTTTTATTTTTTTAACCAGAGGCATCATCATAATCTCTTGTCAGCCCCTGCCACCTACTGACCAGCACTAATGTGTTTAATATCTATTGTTACTACTATCTAACTTGCACTTAATGTTCATAATGTGCACACCAGCCTTGTACGGAATTCAGCTGGCATAAAGGAGCATCATACAGTGTAATGCTATATGTAGGAGAAAATATTAAGGTATTTACTGCAGTGGACCTGCTTCACCAAGCAGAAGGAAGAAAGGCAGCTGCTGAAAAGAGTGGACTTGATGTTCACTTAAACTCTGGTTCTATTTTTGTTTTTTAAATACCATTTGGTTTTTGTAGAGCATTGCTGCAGGTTAGGTCAGCCATCCTATCAGAACATGGAGAGGAAAACGCTCTCCAGCTGTTAAGCAAAGAATCTTTAACACTTCTGGAATTTAATCTGTGACGTGCCTGCTCAAAACTTATATGCCCTGATCCAGCCTGGCATTTACACACATGTGTAACTCTAAGCATGCATGTAGTCTTGTTGAAGTCAGGGCTTATATGCTTATAGTAATACACAGTAAAGGCCTTAAAAACCCATTTGTTAAAGTATTTTTTCTCTAGAAGAAAAACAAATTGTGTTTAAATATTCAGTAAAACTAACTAAAGACCTTCAGTGTTTAGAGAACACAGGGAAAAAATTGCTTTTTATGAAAGTCTTTGTAAAGTTTTATAGCTGTCTTTTTATTTAAGTAACAAAGTTCTCACTAGATGTGTTCATACATGACCCACTTTGCGTATCTTGTATGTATGTAACAAGTTTTAAATGAGATCTCAGTATAATGTATATTAAACTATGATTTTAATGCAAACCAGTTGTGGGTGTTAGTTTTTCACATGTAGAGGAGGAGGAAGAAGAGTGTTTTACCAAGTCCTCACTTGTGAGGCTGTTTTGAGGAACTTGCAGGCTGTTGCACATCTGAAAAAGTCTTGATGGGGAGGGATCTGCAGCTTCTTTATGGGTAATCTACTGCATTTTAAACTTGGTTCTGGTCTCGCTGATCCAGTGAGATCTGTCCTAATTCATTCCTTTTCATGGTTCCTTTCCTTATAAACACACACAAACTTTACCCCTCTCTTTCTCATTCAGCTCTCCCAAGCATACAACTTCTGCATCAGCAGTCCTCTCTAACATAACTGTGCATAACTAGGAACCCTCCAGAAGCAACTGTCTAGAGGATAGGAAGCCTGGCACCTATGCTTGTCTTCTATAAGTGTTCTTTCTAATGGACTTGAAATTAGTATTTCTTTTTCCTAGTTGCCATGAAGACAGGAATATTATCTCTTTACTTCTCACTTGTGGCATGGTAAATTTAACTTGCAAAATAAGTGTGTGTAATTAATGTATACAAAATTTTTATGCAGATGCTGACTGATGCTGCATAATAATCTTTACTGCTCCATGGGAAGGGAAAAGGAAGGATTGTCTTCTGGTTCAGGAAGACCTGGCTTCATTTCCCAGACTATCACAGGCTTTTGGGGCAGGTTGCTTTTCTCTGTGTGCCTCCGTTCCACACCTGTAAAATGGGGATAATGCTTTCCTCCATCCTGGGTTGTTGTGAAGATAAATGTTTGTGTTTGGAAGGTGCTCACTTATGATAGTGGAAACTGAAGCCATACCTAGATAAATGCCACTTTCTATGGCTGTCGCTCTAGATTATTATAAGGTACCATTCCTGTCAATTGACTTTTAAGGTAATTAGCATCAGCTATTACAGGAATGGGCATAATAGAATATATATTTTACACACAGAAACCATTTTAAAAGCAGAAATCAGTTGAGTTCTGTTCAATATCTTCATCAATGATCGGTGGTGGGCAAGCTGCAGCCCATCAGGGTAATCCACTGGTGGGCTGTGAGACAGTTTGTTTACATTGACCATCCGCAAGCACGGCCACCCGCAGCTCCCAGTGGTCGGGAATGGCGAACTGTCACACGCTAAACACAAGTGAATAGTGTAACACTGCTGCAAAAAGGACATTCTGGGATATATTAGCAGGAGTATTGTAAGCAAGACATGAGAAGTAATTCTTCCGCTTTACCCCATGCTGATTGGACCTCAACTGGAGTATTGTGTCCAATTCTGGGTGCCACATTTCAGGAAAGATGTGGACAAATTGGTGGAAGTCCAGAGAAGAGCAACAAAAATTATGAAAGGTCTAGAAAACTTCCTATGAAGGAAGGATGAAAAAATGGTTTGTTTAGTCTGGAGAAGAGAAGACTGAGGGGGGACATATGTTTTCAAGCACATAAAAGGTTACAAGGAAGAGGGAGGTAAATGTTCTCTAACTTCATGGGCTGGGACACGAAGCAATGGGCTTCAGTTGCAGCAATGGCAGTTTAGGTTGGACATTAGGAAAAACTTCCTGTCAAGTTAGTGAAGCCCTGGAATAAATTGCTTATGGAGGTGGCTCAGCATCGGTGCTCGTATAAGCTTGGAGGTGTATTAACTCCCTGTGGGTTCCCTCCATAGCTACAAGGTCATTCAGCCCATAGTTGTACCTTAAGCACTATCCCCCCACAAGCACCATGGAGCAAGGGGAGAGGTTAGAGTCCTTGGAGCTGTGCAACAGAGGTGACCATCCAGGTGGCCTCTTGACAACTCCAGATGGGCTTATGGCAAGGTGTGTATGAACCACACCTTAAATAAATGCTGAAGCAGGTGTATAGCGTGGCAGCTTACCTAATCAGTGTATTTCACTGGGAGCACAGCCCCTTGCTGCCTATTCATTTCCCGAATGGAGATTATGATTTGATGGAACAATGAAAACAACATTTTTGCTATAGTTTGTTGGGTTGGGGGGGATACCATCTCTATTTGTAATAATAAGCACAGATTCCCCCCCCCCCCCACCATCCGCACTAGAGCCAAATGTCACTGTATGTTTGTATCTTTCTTTTCTGGGGTAACAGAGCAAGTAGTCATGCTAGGAGACTAGTGCATTCTTGTGGGGGGCAGGGGTGGAGAGAAAAGCCATGAATCCACTTTCTGAGATCTGCACGATCGCGGCTTTTGAAGAAGTTTGCATTCCCCACCTCTAGGTCCCCAGCTCCCTCCTCTGTGCTTTCTACCAACTTTCTGGTAGGCAGATGAAATAAGGAGAGGTGGGCAGGCTCTTGCATTCTGCACCAGGAACACACACACCCTTCTCATTCCAAAAGGGGAAAGAGCTAGAGTGCAGTTGCATCATAATAAGCAACTCTGACCCCTCGATCGCAATGAGTGTCTTTCCCCAGTGCATCTCTACTTCCCGACTTTCACAGACTGTCCCCTTCTTTGGATGAAATCATCTTGAATTAATACGTAAAGGGAAACATGGAGCCGATTGTAAGCCTTGCTAATGTTTTCACATCTCAGATAACCTACTTTTGGATTGTTGTCATCTTCTCAGTGTCACACGCCTGTAGTAAAAATATTTCAAAGGCAAGTTTTATTTTAATCTTTTCAGCTTTCTGTGGCTTTCTCAGGGTTTCTCCTACATTCCTCTTTGCTCTTCTCGTCACTATGCCGGCTCTCTTCAATGTCACATACAGTGCACGCGCACACAAAAATCAACCAGATGCTCTGAGTATCCAAGAAAAAGCACAGGTGGTGAACACAAATCTGGAGCTGATAAAGCATTTCATGAAGCAAAGATACTAGCCCTATTCTCTGCACTGACCTCGTGCCTTTATAGGGATCTCTGCATTTATTCCACAGAAATAAAAATCCACAAACATTAAGTCTTCATTTTTGTTACCTTCCATCCATCAAGTACTAAGTTGGTAGTGAATTGTGAACTACTTTTCACTGGCCTAGATGAGACCAAAGTAACGTCTGTGTCTTGGGATGGTGGATTTTAATTTTGTCTCTTTAGGGTTATCTGTCTGAGTGACAATTTAGCTAAGGCAAGTCCAGCCTTTCCTCTCTTAAAAAGGTTCCCTCCCTGTTTGCTGTTGGCTTGAGCTGTCTGTCGGTGTGGTGAATGTGTGCCTCCTTTCATAACTGAATGTGCCACTCTGCAGTTTGGCCCCCCTCCTCCTTTCCCCACCTTCCCCCCCTGAAACCTGGTCTCTCTCTGAGCTCAGCCCCTCTCGCCTGTCTGTGCTTCTGAGCTCTGCCCCCTCCAGCTGGAGACTCAGGTTTATCTGGAGACGGAGGGGCTCATTTGGGAGCTGAGATCTGAGCGGTGAAGGAGAGATCCATTGGAACCAGGAGAAGAGAAGGACTAGTTTCACTAAAGAGCTGAAGAGAGGCAGAGCGTGGAGACCATGGCTGGATTCTCAGCTCTTGGGCTGCTCTTTCTTTTTCAACTAGTAGCCACATCCTCAGCTCAGGTAAGAATGTGCCTTTACTTGTAATGGCCAAAAATCCCAGCTACTGATGGAAAAAATACATAAAGATCAGAGGGTCTCAAAGCAGCAGGATTAAATGTGCACCATATGACAGCAGGCCAGATTATTGCTGTTCATTTAAAATTGAAAGTTTAATGTCTAAAACTGAGAGAGTATATTCCTTGCTAGGTGCCTAGTGGTGAGAGCAGAAGTGTTTACTGTTAGGGGTTTAGTTCATGTCCTGTGATTATGGAAATTGCCACTCCAACTTTTGTGTAAAAGAATTGTCCTAATAGTTTGGTTTATAGCCATGCTGGAAAAGCCTCAGGAAAAGGAGAAGAAAACGGTGATTTGGGAAAAAATATTTTTGTTTTACTAGAAAGGACAAAGTTGCCCACTAGATAAAAATCCCCAGTGCTCCACCTCTTCATCCCATTCAGGGTTTTTCTTCCTCCTCCTCCCCCCGCCAGTTGATCTGTTTTTGAGACATGTTTAGGAACAAACACATTTAATCCTTATTCATTCAGGTGAAGCTACATGTATTCGTGGCAAATGTCCCTGTAGTGGTGTTAACTTTCCAATGTGTATTGCTCAGGAAAATTCTCTGGGGGAGGATTTTTCATTGCATTAATGAAGGAATTTTTGCAGCTTGGCTCAGGAATTCTGAGCTGACCCTCAACTGCTGTGAGCAGAACTAGTTCCACAATGAAACCTTTGTTCCCTGAAGCTGCATTGCAGGTACTCTCTGGAGCTCTTTCCACAAAGCAGACCAGTACTCCTTTCCTTTATAGGATCCCCACTTCTCCCACACCCCTAAGAGCTAAACCTCCACACACTGTCTAGCTCAGATGGGCAATTACTCAAGTCTCATCCCTTTAGCTGTGCCTTCCTTCATACTTTCCCCTGAAGACATTATGTACCTCCATCTCTTCTGCCGACTGGTAGTATACGGAATGTGAATGTCACTTTTAATAGCAACCGCATGCACAGATTACTCTAATTTAGCTTTTCCTTTTCTCTGTGTCTACTCTGAAAGATGAGTTGGGGGGGGGACCAACTCCTGTTAAAATGACTCAATTCGCTCCCCCGAGGGATTGTGCCTGTTTCTAAACTAAGTGACTAGGAACAGTTTCAGAGCCACTCGTGAAGCATGGGCAGATATGATTCACTGTAAGCTTCCCATTCAATCAACCGCCCCTTCTGAACGGGGATGGATTGGGTCTCACGTAAGCACCAAGGATGTGCTCAGATTCTTAGCAAATAAGCCTGGAAAGATCCTTGCTCCCTCTAAGCCTGTCGTGGACAGAGAAGTGGCAGAGCAAGGGGGAGCTGGAGTCGTGCTGTGATCTGTGACCTACTGTGTGTGTTTTTTCTTCCGTTCTCTCTCCCCATCCCTCCCAGAGAGCAGGACCACGAGGCCCTCCTGGACCACGAGGACTCCCTGGACCACCTGGCAAGGAAGGCATAGATGTGAGTGCTGAGCAGCAGGCGGCAGGCTGAGCTGGGGGAGGGAGATGGGGTGGAGCAAGGGGAGGGTACATTTCAGAGAGGAATTCTTCTAGTCCTCCTATTGTCCAGAGAGAAGCTCCAGGCATTTGCGCAGCACTTCAGAGGGACCAAATGAACAGCCCATGTGCCGTAGGCAAGGAAACTGCAGAGGCTGAGTTATGTCTGGAGGTGCTGCGTGCCTAGGAGTTGCTCAGTGCCTTGCAGGATCAAGCCCTCAGTGCCAAGTGGGAGTTTATGACAAAGCTGGTGTGTACAACAAGGATTTGTTAATCTTCTGGGCATTCTGCAACGCTTTCTCTCTGGTATCTGCATAGGATGCAGGTTAAAGGGTGGAGGACAGTGGTGGGTTTAGCGCAGCAGTTACTGTACCGGGTGTTCTTATTGCACGCTCAGCGCAATACTGTGTATTTTATACTGTTAGACAATTCTATGTTTTAAAACGTGTCAAGCACCTGGCTCTCCGGAGAGGCCCTAGAAAGCTGAATTAAATACATCATGCTGGATGGTGATCTCACTCACGCTGGCTTGACACCACTATAGCTACACTGTCTTCAATGGAATTACCCTGGATTTACACCACTCTGATGGAGATCAGAATCTGGCCTATTGATTCCACTTGGAATTTAAATGTCCCTAGTTTGTAGCAAGAGGCAAATTAAATCTATGGGAATACTTCTGTGGTGGTTAATTCCTTATTATTAACCCTTCCCCAAGACTGCAGGGTCAGCATCTCAGCTACGGCAGAATTTAGTGAAGGAAAAAATCTTGTCCTATTTCTTTTAGTTGAAATTTTAGCTGAAATGAAATGAAATTTATACCCACTGGATAAAGACAGTCTTGTCTTCCACATCTATCATAGTGGATTAAAATCATTTCAGGTGATCTCAAGGAAACTATTAATATCTCAAAAACTAAGGATCAGATTCTGATCCCTTCATTCATGTTGACTAGCATCTTACTCCTTGAGCTACTCATGGTGTAATTTTGCGACTGGAGTCAGAGTGTCAGCATGGGGCCTTAAAAGCAGCCTTTCAAAATTATATTCCCCCCCCCTCCCCCCATGCAAGTCTGTTTATTTTGGATGAGAAAGCTTAAAAAAAAAGGTTTATTCCTTCGCATCCTGTTACGGTTGAACAAGTAGATTTTGTGCCTATGATTATAATTTTTTATGACCATTTTGCAAGGCTGGCCCCAGTGAAAACCTCATTGTTTTGCAGCCATTTCCCTCCAAGTGTTCGCTAGACTAAGGGAAACCATTATCCTAAATAATCTTATCCTAGTTTTTAATAATGAATGGTTTAGAGAAGGTAGGTCGGTAGAACTTCTATCTAAAGTTTTGTAATAGAAGAACAAGGCAATTTAAAATGAAAGATAGCAAAGGAAGTTCTTTTCCACGCAATTAGCCTGCAGAACCAATTGCCACAAGTTATCATTGCATGCCAGAGCTTAGCAGGATTCAGAAAAGGATTGGATATTTCTATGGGTAACGACAAAATCCAGAGTGATGATAATAAGGATTAAAAGAAGACCAAGAATTTTAGGAGAGGTATAAACCTGCTGCTTCAGTTCATAGACCATCATCTAACTAATGGGGTTCAGACAGAAACTTTTCCTGGAAGCAGGCTGTTCTGTTACTGCTTTCCGCTGGGTTTCTTTCATCTTCCTCTGAAGCAGGTGTTACTGGCTGCTGTCAGAGACCTGATACTGGGCTAGATGGATGACTGGTCTGATCCAGTATGGCAATTCCTACGTTCCAAATACAGGGGGGTTCCCTCTAAACAATTTCCCACATAAACAGAAGTTAGTCTCCTTTGATTTTAATAATCCAAAGATACCATAGAATCATAGAAATATAGGTCTGGAAGGAACATCAGGAGGTCATCTATTCCGGGCCCCCAAAGCTGAGGCAGGAATTCAGTAGATCTAGTCCATCCCTGACAGATATGTTTCCAACCTGCTCTTAAAAACAACCAGATTCCCTAGGTAACCTGTTCCAGTGCTTAAGTCATTATAATTAGAAAGTTTTCTCTAATAGCTAACCTAAATCTTCCTTGCTGAAGATTAAGCCAATTATTTCTTATTCTTCTGCTGGCTGACGTGGAGAACAACTGATAGCCACCTTTAAAACAGCCTTTTACATATTTGAAGAGGGTTATCAGGTCCCCCGACCTCCGTCGTCTTTTCTCTTGACTAAACATGCCCAATTTTTTTTCAACCTTTGTTTTCTAAGTTCTTGTAATTTTTGTGGCTCTTTTCTAGATGCTCTCCAATTTGTCCACATCATGTCACAATGCAGGCAAATCAGTGTCGTCAAAGTGCGGGAGTCTGCTTAGATAGATGTTTTTGAAGATGTCAGTTGTTCTAAAACGAAAAGAAATAAAATGCTGTTCCTCACCCTACATGGACTGGGTTTCCCTTCAAGGAACCAAAGGCCATGCTTTCAAATGTGGCCTGTAATTCTAGGAAACCTCTGTTCTGGGTTCCACCCTGAGACGCCCCTGGCCCGAGTGCTCACAACTCCGACCAAAGTCAGCGGGAGCTGCAGATGGTCAGCACTTCTGAGGCATCGGGTTCAGTGTGTCTCAGGTGGGAGACCCAGAAATGGAGACATCCCCAACTAATGGCCAGTCATGAAAACTTGGCCCTCGTTATCCAACGTGGGCCTGATCCGGCAAAGCTCTGAGCACCGGTTGCACATTTTTAGGGGCTTGTCGAAGGCAATAAACTTGGAGGGCACTTGGCACCTTGCAGGATGAGGCCAGGTAATAATAATGAGTAATTAATCAGCTGAAGCTAGTCTTGATAGATCATAATATTAGACTGAGTTAAATCTAGGGGGAGCCAAACCCTGCGGTCCTAGTTCATGGCTTGCAGAGGGAGGTTGGTGAGAGTTTTGACCATGTAAGGAATGCAGGATTTCTCTCATAGGCTGCCCTTAACTGAATGAAACAAGGATGCAGCAGGAGCAAAAAAAAGGGAAACATGCTGTCATGTATTAATAAATGAGAAATGCTCATCAGTCATTCAGGGTCAGAGCCTCATACCATCCCACCCATTGAGTCTGCCAGGAATCCCATTGACTCAGAGCATCAGGGTCAAGATTTCTGTGGTTAGCATCGAGTGCACCAGCATGGTTTAAGGAGGAGTACCGCTTGCCAGGGTTCTCTTAGAAGACGTTGTGAGGTGTGTAGTCCCACATGGCTGTGCCTTTTTATAGCCGTGAATATAGAGGAACCTATTGAAGGTGTGTCCGAAATCTAGGCTGGTTTTTCTTTCATGAAAGAGTAGCTGTGTAAATGCCAGTACTGTAAAGAAATAATTTCTTATTTTTTTTATACCAGTGAGATCATTTTTAAAGGAATGCTCTGAACTTTTCTTGAGCATTTTAAGATTTCCTCATGTTGTTTTTTCCTGTTGTTTTCTAAAACCATCCTGGCCACGTTCAGTGCATAGATGGCTTTAGAGAGATGTCTGTGCAGAATTACTAAAGAGCATTTGTGGCCAGATGTACACTGCAGAAGTGTGCAGCAACTGCTTAATATAGGCCTCAAACAATGAACAGTACATAACATGCAACTAAATTATTCAGGCCACCTCTGGATAAACCTCAAATGAACCCTACGCTCTTGGCACCCTTTCCAAAAGCTCCTTGCTTCACTTCTGCCTCTCACTTTCAATCCCATCGAAGTCTCCTATAATTATCTTCTTTAAAACACTGCATGTTCCATGATCTGTAACAAGGTAATTGCTTAGCTCCCAAGAATACAAAGAGTGTGTTGTGATTGAAGCAGTCACCGAAGAGTGGCTCTGAATTATTTCCAGCATGCAATTGTTGCAAAGCCATTGTCAGTTCTCTAACAGACATTTCCCCTCTGGTGTGACTTTAATACAGAGTGGCTGAGACTAAGTAAACGGACTTCCATCTCATATAAAACCGGGGAGAACTATTCCATTACTGACAGCAACTGATTCTAATTCACTAAGAAGGATGACCACGATTTGCCCCCAGAGGTATAAATGCTGATCACGGTTCTGATTCTGACTGGGTCATGCTAGCACAGACCTCAGTGCTCAGGCAGAATTCCCCTGAAATCAAATGGGGACCCCCAAAGGGGATCACGGTAGCAGATCCCAACATGTGATCAGGTCATAAGACAGGAGAACTGTTCCTGAGTGGCTTTCTCTAATGCTATGATCTATCTTGCTGCCATGTATCACTATCACAGAGGCCTGTAGGGAAGGGGGCAGGGTGATGGTGATAATCTAGGGGAGCGTATAAAACATTGCTGTTCATTCTGTTATTCAAAACCTGCCATCCCAACATAACTTCCCCCCTCATTTTCATTATAAAAGCTCTTCCCCAGATTGGCTAAGGGCCCCTATCTGTGGCATATTGCTGAGGCCATTCCATTGCAGCCCTTTGCTCAGAAAGTCAGAGCACAGTGACTCTCTCTATCTTCTGACCCTCCAAGCTGTGTGTTCTCGCAACAACCGTGCAACATGCAAATCCCTGCACTCTGACTGACACAGGGCAGCCGGTCCAAGCGCAGGGATTTGCATAGGAACATTATGGTTGCAGACATAGTAAACATAGAGTCGTTTCTCAAATGCTTCCACCTTGGTTACTGTCTTCACAACTTCCCCTACCCAAAATGCCCACTGTAAAGATGGCCACCGCTAACCCTACTCAGTAGCAACTCCTGTGTTTCCACATCTCCTCCTAAGGAAGATTGCAGCTCTCACCTCCCCCCACAAGTGTAATTAACAAGAAAAATTAATTAAAAAGGCAATGTAAGTTTATTTATTTAATGCCTGCTCCATTCCAGCCATAGGCCCCCTCCCCAGCCATCTCTTTGCCCTGGAACTTACTTTACCCAGGATACACCTTGTACTTCTTAAACCTGGAGTATCCTGAAACAATCTCTAGGTAGCCTTCTGGAGGGGAATGACCCACAGGTCTCTTTGATCATGGTCACTGAAAGGTTGTTTAAAAAACAGAAGCAGAAACTTTGTTGGGAAAGTAAATCCTGCCTTAAATTGTTTTCTGAAGAATTTTTCCCAAGTAGACATCACTGGTTTCTAGGTAAAGTTGGGGAGAAAAAGTTTAATATTCTCGCTGCTTCCGGGTGACTGGGGATTCTCTTTCCAAAAGAAAAATTCCTTGGTGGTGTCATAACTGGTTCTATGCCACCCGTTTCTGGCCCCCACTCCAGCGTGGGTGCAGGTGGGACTGTCGCGAGAAATGCTGTGCTCCCGTGACCACAAGGCTGCTCTAAATTTTATGCCGGGATGGCTGGCTCCTCTAGTAGAAAAGAAGCAGGTAGCCATCCATGCCCCCTCCCCAGAGCACAGCTCAGGAGATCTGAGACACGAACTCATGGGCATAACAGGCAACACGTTTTCTTAAATTATTAAGAAACATTGCAATATAGACTGTTTTATCTCCTGTCACAGATACATAACACTTCCTGCACAGATTACTATAATTAGGCCATCTTCTTTGCAATTTTTTATGTTAAAATAGCTAGTGGGGTGAAGGAAATGCAATAGCAGGTTTTTAGGATAAAGAAAATCTTATTTTTCTCTTCATTTCAGCTACATTAATTAAATGCTAGGCTTGTCTGCAGCAGTTGATCGTTCTGTTTTAGGTACTGAGATGGGCCCCATTGCACCTCGCAATTTGTAATGCATTTATCCTCATAAGAGGGAGGTCCTTTTATCCCCATGTTGCAGACAGAGGCACAGCAAGACCAAGGGTCTGCTCAAGGAAGATGGTGGGAGAGCAGGGGATTGAGCCCTGGGATTCCCAAACCACTGGGTCATCGTATCCTCATGGTGTGTAGAGAAGATGAGCATTCCTCCCAAGGAAATGAAATAAAGCTCAGACAGTTCCCATTCCTTCATATTGCTTGGTCCATGGCCTACGCTAATCTTTAAACAATATTTATATGCAGCATAGTGTTGGGTGTGGGGAGGCGTGGTCCAGCAACCGTAGTTGAGGTGACTCCTTTGTTGTACAGGCTATAACTCAAAGTCCAGTTTGGAGATTTTTTGTCACCTTTGTGCCTGGTTGTCAATGCCGTAATTTTAACCTGGCTCACCAGCAACACTGAAAATAGCAGCATTGCCTCATGGTGCAATGTTATCAGTAGGCAGCTACCTTACTTTTGCAATTGAATTGGGAGGGATGGAAATCAGTTGTTTTTCGCTTGTGCCTTCTCCACCCTCCCAAGATTAACCCTAAAAACAGAGCCCTTGAATATATTCCATTCAGACACATGTAGTCTGTCTCACCACTGGTTTATGGTCACATGTTCCCCTGAGAGTGTCACAAATCCTCAGGATGTCCTCTTGTGTCCGGTTTTGCATTTGGATCACCAGCTCAACAGAATGATGTGTAAAAGCTTCCGTGGCCAGACGGCTTCCTCTTTGCTTTACCTCTGAGGAAGCTCAGAGTGTAAATTATTCCTGGAAGGGTCTGGGATAAATTATGCTGTTTGAGCAGAATTCAGAATCATAGACTCATAGGACTGGAAGGGACCTCAACAAGTCATCCAGTTCAGTCCTCTGCACTCATGGCAGGACTAAGCATTATCTAGACCATCCCTGGTAGGTGTTTGTCTAACCTGCTCTTAAAAATCTCCAATGATGGAGATTCCACAACCTCCCTAGGCAATTTATTCCAGTGCTTAACACCCAGATAGTTAGGGAGTTTTTCCTAATGTCCAACCTAAACTGTTCTTCCTGCAATTTAAGCCCATTGCTTCTTATCCTATCCTCAGAGGTTAATGAGAACAATTTACCTCCCTCCTCTTCATAACAACCTTCTATGTACTTGAAAACTGTTTATCATGAATTAAAACTGTTAACTGAATCGCCTCTCTCTCCAGAGGTTGCTGGTGAAGAATACGTGGGTTTTGCTAGATAGAATTGCCAACCCTCCAGGATTGTCCTGGAGTCTCCAGGAATTAAAGATTAATCTTTCAGAACATAAGAACAGCCACACTGGGTCAGACCAAAGGCCCATCTAGCCCAGTATCCTGTCTTCTGACAGTGGCCAGTGCCACGTGCTTCAGTGGGAATGAACAGAACAGGTAATCATCAAGTGATCCATCCTCTGTCTCCCATACCCATCTTCTGGCAAACAGAGGCTAGGGACACCATCCCTTAATCTTTAATTAAAGATGTCATGTGATGAAACCTCCAGGATTATGTCAAACCAAAATTGGCAACCCTCAGAGACGTGGAAGATTGGATCAGGGAGCTTCCCGCAGCTTGCATTGGCTGGGAATGGCGAACCACAGCCACTGGGAGCTGCGAGCAGCCATACCTGCAGACACTCCAGGTAAACAAAGCATCTCATGGCCCGCCAGGGTCTTACCCTGAACAAGCCACGAACCAAGTTTGGGAACCACTGTTTTAGAGGATGACAGGATCAATTGCTTAGCCTATAGAAAGTCACAGGCAGACCCTTTAACATGCAGGTCATCCCAAGTTATGGCAATTCTCCAAGTGGGCCTGGGGAGAAAAATGGACCTCTAATGAGTGTGTATGTGGCTGCTGCAAAGAAACTGTGACAGGCAGAGATTTCAGTTTCATTGTCTTTTTCATTCTTGTAGGGAGAACCTGGCCCACCTGGTTTACCTGGCCCACCAGTAAGTATTTGCTGATCAACAACTAATTTACTCTCTCGCTTGTAAATCTGCTGTGAGGAATAATGTATGTGAATCACTAGTTTTTCAGCAGCAAGGGTCACAAACTGCCCTTTCTCCTCTCAGTCTGCAGCAGAGCTCCTGTTTGCATGTTTGGTATGCCAAAAGAGAACAACCGGCAGCATGGAGTCAGCACTGACTTAAGAAGAAACATGCTTTCTTGTTTCATAGTTAGGAGAGCCGAGGATGTGGGATAAAGCATGAGAATAATGGCGCTAAAGGGCTTGTACTGTTGTTTGACTTTTTGCAGACATTGTTTTCACAGCTCTTTCAACATGAGGGAGAACGCTAGGTAAATGCAGCGTTTTTATACTGTTACGCAGTACACTCGGCTCTGGCCTCCAGTTTGCACACTACTGTCTGGGTGTCCAAACAGTCATTTGTGCATCCTTCTGGTTGCTTGATTTGCACACGCCAATGCAGCTTCTGCACCTTGAAAATGAGCGTAGGACACTTCTGCAACTGCTTTTAGTTTTACCTGCAAACGTGGACTGTAAAATCAAGCTTGGAAATTTGGCCGATAGTGGAAAAAATATGCAAACAAAAATGTGGAGTAAAGCAGCTTCAGTGACAAAACGAAATATTGTGACAGACTTTGCTATAGGTGGCAAAACATGCGGGACTCAATCCTCCACTCTGGCTCTGTAAAACTGAAGAGGGTGCGTGTGATAATGCTAGAATTATGTCGCCCCCATTCCTGAGATCATCCAGGGTCCTCTTTAGCTCCCTAGGCATCTTAGAGTCGTCCTAAGTCGTCAGGGCTGCAATGAGGATCAGTACACGTACATGGAACTGCATGAGAAGAAAGATGTGCCAAACAATTACCAGGTTTATAGAAAAATGAACCAAAGCACATAAGTGTCTGGAGATTTACATACTTGTAGATTAATTATCAAATCCATTTATTTTGAAGACATTTTCCTGCATTGCAGGATATAAAATTAGCACTTTAAGAAATGAGCTGATCATGATCTAGCTTGTATTGGGTCTTAGCATGCTTCTGTAATTATATTAACAGTGACTGTCTATTAATCTGGTTTAGGGGCCGAAAGGTGCACCAGGGAAGCCTGGAAAGGCAGGTGAAGCAGGGTTACCTGGCCTCCCTGGAGTGGATGTGAGTATTTCAGCTTATTCTCTTGGATTGATAAAATATTTTACATTGGCATGAGCCCAAAGCAGCTTGTTACTTGCACTAACTCTGCCGGAGCAGCAGACGTGGGTGCTGAACTGAATCTGTGTCTTACGCACCAGGGGAAATCTTCTGAGAGAGCAATGCAAACAGCAAATTTTAGTAGTTGTTGGGTTTTGCAGCATGTTTTGATCGGCGCGAAGTCAAAACATAGCGCATCAGTGGTCTATCCTAGGCACTGGCTGTCAGTGACCTGTTTTGATGATGTATATGATCAGCACTGTCTCTCTTCATGGTTACTCCCAGTGGCCCAGAACAGCCTCTGGCTGTTGTAGTTTCAGGAGATTTGAGGTGTAGAGAACATGTAAATCATCAGGTGTTCATTGTGCAAGCCTCAAAATCTTCCTTTTATTTGGGCTGTTTGCACCCACCTGAAGCATCAGTGGCATGAGCCAAGAGTAAACAAGCCTACAAGAGCTCAGATTTTCTTCAGGTTCTGTTGCAAGTGGATTCTAGGTTCCCAGTAGGTTCAGAATAAACCTCTTCAGTCCTGTATGGGTGCTTGATGTCTTTTGGTCCTTTCCATCTTGAGATGCCAAATTACTGAAACACTGATACAGCTGCTGTATAATCAAGTATGAAAATAGACACACACATTTCTGATTCAGGAATGAGGAAGCAAAACATCAAACTGATAAAGTTTGGTCAGTTAAATCCTTTCAAAATGCATGAATGTAAACCAATTAATATTTTTGGATTCAGTGGCTCTTCAAGGCTTAATGAATGTGCTTCATTAGTCCATGTACAGCTGGCTTTAAGTGCAAATAAGGCACGGCTGTGATCTGGTGGTAAAGGTGCTACCAAAGGCCAATTACTAGTATGAGATCTAGTGGTTTGAATGCAATGGTAGAGCACTGAAACCATAACCGGCCAGTCTTCCATGGACTTCTTGCAGCCTGGCATTATTCTTTGCTGTCCTGTAGCTCATTGTGCATTGTCCTGCCCTAAAATCAGCACATATCTACCTTCCTGATGAGAGCACAGCAGCTGCATTCAGAGAATTGTGGGTTTCCGAGCCTAGCATACTATGACTGCCTGCCACCAAGCATCTAACCAGATCACGTACAGCTCTCCATCTCTTGATCCAAATGCTGTAGCTTTGTACTATGAGAACCTGGAAGTGAAACTGACTCAATACATCATGTCTGCTTTCATTCTGCCAGCTGAGTGAAATTCTGATGGTAAAAACTATATAAACAAGGAAAATAAAAATAGATTATCTGGACAAGTGCAATGCTATGGTGCTTGGTTGCAAACACTACGAGGAAATCTTTAAACATAAATGTAATTGATTTGTTTTTAAAGTGGCTTATAAAAACTTGTCTTGTTACTATTAGTAATTTTTTTTTTAAAGATAACCTAAATTTGGTTCTAAACTCCCTGGCAGTGTCCCTTTATCTATACAGTTGCTTCTGTAATTATTGTACATTCCCTTTCCTCAGCAAGGTTCTGGAGATTGTCTTCTCTCACCTCCTACACAACCTGCCGACCTCTTTCATTCTGATCTTTGACCCTTATGTACTAGTGAGGTTTGCCCTTCTGAGTGGTTAATCGCCTGCTTCTGAGCACATATCTCTCTCACTATATCTGATCTTCATAAGGCTTGTTACACTAGCCATCTTTCCACTAGACAATTTCCAATGCCTTGAGAAAAGGCAGTGGGGTAGTCCCTCAGCTGGTATAAATTGTCATAGCTCCACTGATTTTTCATAGAGCTATGACTGTTCATACCCACTGAGAATCTATCCCAATGTCTTCGTCAGTCTCCTTTTATGGTTTTCCTAACTATCCTGTATATTTGCTGGGCTAAACGTTTAACACTTGCTATCCTCCATTATGGAGCACATGCCTCTTCCTGTTTTCCTTTTGTCTCCTTCCTCTGAGTTGTTTCGTTGCTGGCTTGAACACTGCTTCTAGGGGGATGGCAGCCCAGCTCTAGATCTGTTGACATCTGCCTGAGCCCCGTCTCTCCCACTGCTCTCTGGCTCGATCAGGTCCTCGCTACACCGTGACTTCTTAGTACCGAATCTTTCAAAGACTCAAGTTCTTCTCCTAGGTAAAAACACAAACCAACCAAAACCCTGCATTATCTCATCTTTCTGATTTCACTGCACTCTGCTTAACTTTCCTTCCAAGGCTCGAAAACCTGGATTCATCCTTAACCCAAATCGCCTTCTTCACACCACCTCTTCTGTTTCTGTATGCTGTCTGTCACCCTCTCTGGAACTCTCCCTGGATTGGTCCTTACACCAACCCTGACTTTGCTGAAATCCCTTATCCACGTGTTAATCATTTTCCTCCCTGTCCATTACGGTTCTCTTTTATGATCTTAAATTCCCATTCTTGATACTTCAGAGAGGTCAATGCTACAGCCAGGTCACTGGGTAGACAGTAGACAGACAGACAGTAGAAAGACCCAGGATTAAGTGATGGAGGATGGGCTGCTACTGGTCACAATTCCTGCTTGGCCTAGGAATTGTGACCAGTAGCAGCCCATCCTCCATCACTTAATCCTGGGTCTGTCTCCAAAACCCAATTCATGTTTGCCTTCCGGGTTTCCTGACATCTCTGTGGACTCATTCCACTCCATCTAACTTTGTCCCAAGCTCAGTCACTCCATGTTCTCCCTTCAGGCTCAGTCACTCCATGCTCTCCCTTCCCACTCCGGCCATGCTCTCCTTTCCATTCCCCATGGTGGACCCAATCTGTGACCCGATGTTGCATTTCTACTGCCTCATCTGTCTGGCAGTGACTTCCTTCCTCCCTCTAAGATGTTGAACCCCTGCCTATATTTGACTCTGACCTTAAAACTTTCCTTTTCTTTAGTAGCTTTTACAGGGACACCGTAAGCATTTTGAGTCCTACTGAGTCACATCTGCCCATTAAGAGCAATTTACTCCAAGAAATAGGTCACTCAAAGCGTAGGGTACTCTGAGAGTAGAGGTGGGCAAACTACAGCCCGCGGGCCACATCCAGCCCTTAGGACCATCCTGCCCAGTCCCTGAGCTCCCAGCCGGGGAGGCTCGCCCCCCGGACCCTCCCCTGCAGCACAGGGGAGCACAGCTGGCTCCAGCCGGGTGGGGCGCTCCTGCTGCTCTGAGCAGCATGGTAAGGGGGCGGAGGGTCCCGGGGGCAGTCAGGGAGCAGAGGGCGGTTGGATGGGGCGGAGGTTCTGGGGGCAGTCGGGCCTGGAAACGGGGAGTGTTGGGAGTGGGTGTCCCTAGTCCCGGGGGGGGCCTGTCAGGAGGCGGGGGTGTGGATAGGGGACAGGGAGCAGAGGGCAGTTGGATAGGGGGTGGGAGTCCTGGGGGGCAGTTAGAGGTGGGGGGTCCCGGGAGAGGGCGGTCAGGGGATGAAGAGCAGAGGGCGGTTGGCTAGGGGGTGGGAGTCCCAGTGGGGGCTGTCAGGGGGCGGGGGTGTGGATAGGGAGTGGGGCAGTCAGGGGACAGGGAGAAGGGGGGGGGTGGATGGGGGTGGGTCCCAGGGGGCGGTTAGGGGCAGGGGTCCCAGGAGGGGGTGGTGAGGGGACAAGGAGCGGGGGGAGTTGGATGGGTTGGGGGTTCTGAGGGGGGGCAGTCAAGGGGCAGGAAGTGGGAGGGGGCGGATAGGGGGTGGGGGCCAGGCTGTTTGGGGCGGCACAGCCTTCCCTACCTGGCCCTCCGTACAGTTTTGCAACCCCAGTGCGACCCTCAGGCCAAAACGTTTGCCCACCCCGACTTAGAGTGAGTATGGGAATCCCTTCATGGTACTGCAGCACATGGAAGACATTTGTGTATAAAGGTATGGTATTATTGCGCTGTCTCATTTATTGTGATCCTAGAAAAGGGATTTGAATTGCTTGCTGGCCCGATCCTGCCAGGACTTACACACCTGAATAACTTCGTTCATGTGAGCAGTTCCACTGGAATCTTTGCAGGATCAGGTCTTATAACACTGTTCCTAAACCAAGCTAAGCATTGAAACGGAGTCCCAGAATGTGGAAACTCACAGGTTTCAAGACACAGAAACATACGGCTATCGATTCTTTTTTCTTAACATTCATTACATGTTTTTAAACAGTACGCCCCAAATCACAGTTAAAATGATCAGTACTGTAACCATTTTAAAATGAATAACTGATGGAATAACACTTCCTTTTAACAGCCATATGTGTTTTGAACATTTACTTTAGAGGCAAATTAAATGAAGACATTTATTTTTAATATCCGATTAGGGATCTAACCATGAAAGTAGGACAAAACCTTCAAGAGCCAAAAATGTTCAAAAGTAGGTGCAACATATACCCACTGTATGCAAAAACTGGCATTTGCATGGGCACATCAGATAATTGCACGCACAACTCTGGGGTTCTGTGGCCACTGTAGGAGCACACCCTGGGCTGCATGAGCACCCGTTGGCCCTAGCTTTGGAAATTTGGCCCAAATTTTAGCTGTGGTTAAACAGTAACTGACTTGGATGTTTCACCAGACTTGCTGAACGAGCAGAAGAGACCCATGTACTTTCAGTTCCGTCCCTGGTTTCTCATGAAGAGGATGGTGGTCAGGATTTCATGGGATTTGGGCACCCAACTCCCTTAGCTCTTCTGTAATAGGGATATTGGTTGGAGTTTCCAACAGGCTCTAGATCTGTCTTCTTCTCTGCTCTTATCCCTGCCTTTCTTTCCGTCCCAGGGTTTAACAGGACCTGATGGCCCGCCCGGCCCAAATGGGCCACCAGGAGAAAGAGTAAGTAATAGAACTTAAATCCTTAGTCTGCTTACATTTATATTCTCACGGTACTGCTCAATGGTGATTTCAAATCTCTTTGTAACTTGGTGACATTTAGGATATTATTTATTATTTGTATAGTCCGAGTACCTAGGAGCCCTAGTCATGGATCATTTCTCCATTGTGCTAGGCCCAGTACACCCCTTGTATGCTTGAAACCAACCCGCTGTTCTCATCTCCCAGAATTTTTTTTTTTCCCCATGTAATTATGATCTAGGGTTGTGCACTGGGTCTAATGTTTGTATTTCAGGTGTTTGCGTGTTGACATATTTCACTGGTTTGTTTCTAATTGCCTCAGAGAGCCATGTATGCAACTGGTCTTGGATGTCCTGGATAAGGAAATACCATTAGCAGACCAGATCATGTGATGCTTTTGGTGCATTCAGAGAGCCTGTGTAAAACATAAATTTAATTAATAGGCTTTCCAGGTTTATCCAAATACCGTTATTAGGGCTTTATTTGTGGTTTGAGTACAGGGTCCTGTTTTTTTTTTTTTTCTACTGCTGCTTTCTTTTTTTTTTATCAGTTGTGTGGACTGGTGTCTTTCATTCATTCCTGGGTCATGGTCACACTTGACATGGTGACCTCATTAGTTGCATCAGCATGGGTGTCACAGCCTTCACAGCAAGAAGCAAGATTGATTTTCTTTTTTTCCATTTCATGTAATACCAGCTTATAGGAACGCTGCCAAGGGGCACTATGGGAAAGAGAGATGTCTGCCTTAGGTATTACATTGTGTTAGGTTCTCAAGCATGGTCAGTCATGGAGCAAACCTGTGCTCTTGGCTGCTTCCCATCTGTGTTGGCATTCTCCACTTGAGACGCCATCTCTGTTGCAGTCGTCTTCAGTAAAAACAGAAGGTGTGGAAGGGTGTTGTGTACAAAGAGGAGATAATTAGGGGGAGGTTTTCTGATGCACTCACCTTTGGCTGAATTGGGCTCCCATCGCAGTCAGTGAGTGTTTTTATCTTTGACTTCAGTGGGAGCACAGCTAGGCCAACGCGGAACATTTTTGAAAATCCCACCCACGGGGCCCAAGGGCCTGATCCTGTGAAGTTATGGGTGCTCTCAACTTCCCTTCAAGGGGAATGTTGGGGATGCTTGGCACCTCCTAGGATCTAGCCCTGATTTTCAATACAAAGAAGGCCTGGACCACACAAACAGGAGTGAGTTTGTGCCTCATTTGCACGTTCTGTTACCCATATTTGCACGTGCCCATTTGAGCGCACACACCTGATATCCATGTGCAAACAGGGTACCTGAGTATTTGATGTATGCACAAAGTAACTCACACTTTAAGCATTTAGCTGAAGCATGCAAATTCATGATTAGCACACACAACGACCTAACTGTATGCTCAGATGAGACATGTTCCCAGGTCTTGAAAACCGGTTTGTCAGCAGGGTGCAAATTTTAGATCTGTTGATATTTAAAGCATCTTTTTAAGGTCAGCGATCCATCTAGGAAGTCTTTTTATAGTCAGTGTAATAAAAGCATGGGAAGAAATTGTTGAATTTGAAAACAGAGCTTTAGCACTGCAGCATTGCTATCCTAACTTCGTTTCCTCTGACCCTTATTCAAGAAAGCACGTAAGAACCGTTGCAGTCAATGCAATACAAGCATGTGCGTACTGTCTTCAATGGGTGTAAGCATGTGCTTAAAGTTAAGCACATACTTAAGTACTTTTCTGAATAAGGATGTTTTCCTAAACTTGGGCCTCTATGTGTAAAAAGGCTCTTCTGGCTGTCACTATGAACAGGTGTGCTTGGCATATGGCAGTGTATTCACAAGAGATTTTTAGCTTCTGTTACCATATTATTGATAAATGTTTCTGTTCTCCCATAAAGGCTCTGCCTCTCTTGGTTTCGCAAAGAGATTCTAAAGCACCCTAATGAAATAGTTCAGTTACTCTGACACTCTAGGTCTGTTCTCCCACTGTCCACAACTCCCATTGACTTTAGTAGTGGGACTGTTCCTATACCAATGGCATTGCCATCCCTGAGAAGTTTTTAAACAAGAAAACAGTTTAATTTTGGCTGTGAGATTATCACCTTATTGCTGATGCCAAAGGATTTTAAAGATTTAAAAGATCAAAAGATTTTAAAAGGGCTTGTCAAGGTTCCTTCCCCACTCTGAACTCTAGGGTACAGATGTGGGGACCTGTATGAAAACCTCCTAAGCTTACTTTTACCAGCTTAGGTTAAAACTTCCCCAAGGTACAAACTATTTTACCTTTTGCCCTTGGACTTTATCGCTGCCACCACCAAACGTCTAACAAGTATATAATTGGGAAAGAGCCCGTTTGGAAACGTCTTTCCCCCCAAAATCCTCCCAACCCTTACACTCCCTTTCCTGGGGAAGGCTTGATAAAAATCCTCACCAATTTGCATAGGTGAACACAGACCCAAACCCTTGGATCTTAAGAACAATGAAAAAGCAATCAGATTCTTAAAGGAAGAATTTTAATAGAAGAAAAAGTAAAAAGAATCACCTCCGTAAAATCAGGATGGTAAATAGCTTACAGGGTAATTAGATTCAAAACATAGAGAATCCCTCTAGGCAAAACCTTAAGTTACAAAAAGACACAAAAACAGGAATCTACATTCCATTCAGCACAGCTTATTTTCTCAGCCATTTAAAAGAATCAGAATCAAATGCATAACTAGCTAGATTACTTACTAAGTTCTAAGACTCCATTCCTGTTCTGTCCACAGCAAAAGCATCACACAGAGCGAGAGAGAGATTTTGTTTCTCCCTCCCCCAGCTTTTGAAAGTATCTTGTCTCCTTATTGGTCATTTTGGTCAGGTGCCAGCGAGGTTATCCTAGCTTCTTAACCCTTTACAGGTGAAAGGGTTTTCCTTTGGCCAGGAGGGATTTTAAAGGTGTTTACCCTTCCCTTTATATTTATGACAGGGCTGTTTGAAGTTTAGTGTTTTATACTGTACACAATGTAGAATGGTTTCAGAGTAGCAGCCGTGTTAGTCTGTATTCGCAAAAAGAAAAGGAGTACTTGTGGCACCTTAGAGACGAACGAATTTATTTGAGCATCAGCTTTCGTGAGCCTCAGCTCACTTCATCGGATGCATTCAGTGGAAAATACAGTGAGGAGAATTTATTATTCAGTGGAATGCATCCGATGAAGTGAGCTGTAGCTCACGAAAGCTTATGCTCAAATAAATTTGTTCGTCTCTATGGTGCCACAAATCCTCCTTTTCTTTTTACAATGTAGAATGCATCAATAAATTAGTGGATCTCTGAGCAAATACCAAGACTCAACTACTTTCTAGAACTCATAATTCATATTTATGTCTTAATTTAGAATGCCATATTAGGCATGCATTTTATATACTGTATCCATGTATATTCAGAAATAATATTGCCCCACTATAAAAAATTACAGTAAGATCATTTTCCAATCATAAAAGAAAGCACAGTGTTATCAGGAGAATGAGTTGAGTCAGAAAATACATTATTAACTGATGCACCTCCACTGAACTGTGTCATACCATCTGATTCCAGGACTGCATGTTGACCTATAATTGTTGAAAAGTAGAAGGAACCTTCATTGCTATGTATTAAGGACCTGAACTTGCCTTGCTGAAGTCAATGGGAGTTGTGCAATTGATTTCAGTGGGAGCAGAATCCAGGTTTAACTCAGTAGGTGTCAGGAACTTAACATTTTCTTTTTACAGGAGAGGTATCTAGCCTTGTCTTCCATGGTTGTAAAGGTTTTAGGGTTAAAGATGAAAGCGATCAGAAGAAAACCTGAGTAATATGCAGTAGGACAATGGTGGAGTTGACATTTGCAACAGAGTTGATTTTTATCGGATTACAGCCTGTTCCTAGCAAGACTCTTCTTAATGAGGCACTTGGTGCCTCAGAAATCTGTTTGCTTAACCATCCTCTTTAAATTTAATAAGGGAAAACATTTCTAATCTGGGTTGGTATGCAGAGATCTTGGGGTGGAATGGCAGTGCTTCCTGGGATCACCAAGTAGACATTCTGACCAGCAGTTACTGAGTTGTTTTCCAGCTCTATCTGTCCTGTTATCACACTCTGAATTGGATATAATTTCAGACTCTTTTCAAACTCAGAAAATGCCCCTGAAATAGTTCTGAATTAAAATAATGGCTTCCTGGCTGAGCGATTGGGTGCCAAGTTTTAACCATGAGTGAGGGTCCTTTGGCTTCCTTTTAAATCCCTCTGAAAATAAAGGTCCCTTCCATTTCCCAGGCATGTTCTGTGGAACCCAAATACGTGGCCATAATATTTAAGTACTTCCACTCCTGACAGCAATCTGGACCAGGACGTGGGAAGGCATGAAAGAGAACATGCAGTGAAAGTTATCATAAATCTTCTGAACTCTAAGACTGGCATGTTTAAAGGATCCAGGAGGAGTTATGCACCCTTAGGCCCCTTAAAAAATCCTAGCCCATAGAAAAATAACTTCTGGTTCAGTAAGTTTTGGGTGGTGGCATGCGAGAGTTTTATCAGAACTGGTTCATCCCAGCCTAATTTGACAGGCTCCAAAAGATGCTATATTTCTTGACGGACTGGTCTCCAAACACACACAAAATTCCTCAGTAGAAGGTAATGGGGCTGTTAGGGTGCATTTGTGCCAGTGTTGTCTCAGAGACACCTGCAATTTATTGTCTATGCTTCTGCTTTCACTTCCCTCCCCCCCACCCATTTCTAAACTGTGCATTTAAAAAAATACACCACCACCCCAAAAAAAAATCAAAAAAGAATAACAGCCAAGGCAAGTGGAGTGCAAAGGCACCCCTGGCAGCCTGACACACTCCCCAAGACAAGGAAGAAATCCCGCGAAGGCTGCTCTTCAAGTGGGAACCTGACCTTCACGCTCTTTCCCTGGGGAGTTGCTGGGAGGACAAGGGAGCTCTTTTGGCAATTTCACAGGGGTTCTATGCATGCCACCCGATTCAATATCTGGGCCTACGTATGCAATTATGTGGGTGAAATTCTGAAAACCCGGGGGCTAAGTTCACCGTGGCATGTGCGGTGGTTCTAGTTTGTGCATGCAGTCCCCATGCACAATTACACATACACACTGGCAGAATCGACCGTTTGTGTATGCCCTCATGGGAACTGCTTGTGCAAATTGGGCATGGATTTTGGGCAAGCGTTTTGTGACCCTGCGGCAATCGGATCCTGAGGGTCCGCGAATGTAACAGACGAGCACTCCACTCGCATGGGGCTTTCTGTGTAAATGGATGGTGATTTTTACTGGCTGAGCATTAAGTTTAAAATGTCCTATAAATAAATACGTCGCTTCTTGTGTGTCTGAGTCTGTCACCTCCCCGTTTACTGTTCTGAGTTCTGCCTTTTCCCTGGAATCGCAGCGACTGAGAACAATAGTAGCGACGCAGGTAAAGAGCTGTGGGTGCTGGAGAACAAAGCCATTCTATCTCGTGTCGTGAGCATCAACGCAGCATAGAAAAATTCAATGTGAGGCCTGTGTTGGTGCCATTGAACAAAAAATGAGCTCACTATAACTCACGTTGAATAAGAGTGGCACATCTCCTCCTCCTCCTCCTCCTCCCTCATGCTTGTTAAAATGAATAATTAAGTCAACGTGCTGTTGTCAGCTGTCTGGCTGTATTTTCCTCACTCCGTCACAGCTAAACCTCCTTCCTTTCTGGTTAAGAATAGGCTAAGAACTTTGAGAACATCAGTCAGCTTAAACTCAAGCAGAAACTCTTCTCAGTAGAAAAGAGGGTCGGGCGTGGGGTCTACTATTTGTGTGTTTACACATTTCATTGACTTTTTCAAGCTTTCTGGAGCCACTGATGGCACTGAAATAACATGAGAGCTGGTCTCCTGATGCTCTTTCATTTCCCAGGTGGTAGCAATATCGTGGGAAGGCCAGATGGTGTATTACTTGGACCAATAAATTGTTCTCTAAGACTAACAATGGTGGTGAAAACTTTAAAAAGACTCTGCTACTGAGGTTTTGCCCAAATACCCAGAGATTCACATTGAAGCAGGTTTCTGTGGAACTCCCATGCATTTCCTATGCATGGATTTGTATAAACCTTTAGTTCCTGGGTACCTCGCAGCTTCCTAAGTTATGTTCTGTAGACATCGATCCTGTGTGCGCCAGTCATTTGAGATAAGAAGTAAACTGTTCCATTTTCCCTGGTAGATACAGGTGCATTTAGGGAGTGGAACTCGCTTCCCCAGGAGGTCTGCTTCAGCTTCTCCCCTTCCCATTTTCCCAAAGGCCCCTGAAAATACTGACCCACATCTTTGACTGAGGCTTTGAGCTCCCTTCTGTGCTGCTCAGATCCTGGTCTGGCTGTGCACAGGGCTGGTCCTTGGGTGTACCTTAGAGTGGCCATCAATGTCCCTGCGGGGCTGATACAGCAGCTGGGAATTGCTGAGATGTAGGGAAGCCCCAGCCAAGTTCTGGTTTCCCTGCACGTGCCCCCTACACTGTCTCCAAGGAGGGTCTTGTAGGAGCTGTATTGCTGTAGGATGCCACTGTAGGGCTGTTTTGGGCAGACAGAGTGGCACAAAGCAGCCCTAAGGCAAGGGAGAAGCTGCCACTGGGGTGTTTTTCAGGTTTAATGTATATCGGATTGTATATTGGACCCACCCCCTTTTTCATGGTGACACGTTATTTGCCTTTCAATATTATTGTTGGTTTATGATGGTTCTGAAATGGGTTGAGGTCTTCCATTGCTGTGCAGCTTCTTCAGCACGGGTGGCAGGGCTGGCGGATTATACATTCAGCTATTGCTAATACCATTTTTGTTAACTGGTCCTGATCAGCAATACCCCTTAGGCAGTTCATTTGGGCCTGGTTGCGGGCCCTTTGCTCACATTAATAACAGTGTTGATATCAGTGGGGGTACTTGTCAGGGGGAGGGTGATCTAAAGCACGGAGAGCTTGTATTTAAACCTCATCAGACACAGTAGTAACCAGCACCTGCAATCAAGCATGTGATTCCCTGATCTGTCCCCACCTTCCATGGTGGAAGATAACCTTTGGTTCCTGTAGTTACCTCCTTCTACAACAGCAACGGCTGCTCCACACTAGGGGCTCACAATCTAGCCCTTTAGAAATTGAATTAGGATTTTAGGACCCGATCTTGCAAGGTTTACATCCGTGCCTAAGCATGGGAGAAGTCCCACTCAGGCATTAGTATGCCACGCAGAAACGTCTCTGAATTCTTCATTTGCTAGGAGCATACCATGCTATTTCCTTGGGAATTCTTCATTGTTACTGGTGTCATCAAAAGCATGTCTTGATGAAGGTCATTTTTTTGATATGACAATAGACTGGTAATAGCTAACTAGGGGTGCATTTACTGCATTGTAAGCCCGGGACTATGGGACCCAGGCTGGATGTTTCCAAGCCCTCGCTTAAGCCTCTGCACTGCATTGTGAACCTGGGTTTGCAGTTGCTGAACTTGAGTCTTACAGCCATGCTAACATCCACAGTGCACTATGCAGAACGTCTGACTTGGGTCTGTGGCTTGACCTGTGTCCACACTGCAAAATGGCAGGGCTTGGACCTGAGTCACAGTGTGATTTGGGCTCTGACCCATCTTCCCCCGCAACCTGGGTCCTGAATACTTGCAGACTGGAGTCAGATCGGGGGGGGGGGGGAAGGTATGTGTGGATGGAAGGGGGGCTTGGGCTCAAACCTGACTTGGAGCCTCGGTTTAGTGTGCAGTGCAAATATTCCCTCAAGCTCCAGGATCTGTTACTGCATTAAGGCTTGTTGCTGACTGTTCCGGTACAGTGTAGATTTTAAGGTAGGTTAATTACACAGTCAAATGGCTGATCCTGGGCATATTGGCACACCAAAAAATTTTGCAAAACCCGGCCTGCAGGAGTGAAGACTCCAGGGTCACTAAAGATGTCATGGAGTCTTCTCAAAGAAATACAAACCTGTTGCCAGTTTTTAGAAGGTGGGGATGACAACCCTGTTTGACATTACAGTCCGCTGGGTGTGGCATTAGTATGAATGATCATCTATGCCGTGAGACTTATCGTATTGCTGGCTAATGTTTTATTTATAGTCAGTACTGCACTGTGCTTCTAGATAAGCCCTCTGAGTCTCCAGATATTTGTAGGGAAGACGTCTGGGGAATTGTATGATTCAGCACCCACCACTGAGCACAGTCCCTTACTCAGAGGGGAATGTGTTTGCCCTCAACACCAATGTGAATAAGCCCAAATCTTTCCTGTCATTTCACATGGCAACAAGGGCAGGGATTAAGTTACAGGAGGCCTGCCATTCTGTAACTCATTGTGTTCAGTGGCTGTAAAATCACCATGCAGGGAACAGTGTTTTCTTCATTCATTTTCCATTTCCATTTAGTCTGCTTTGGAGCATTAACCAATGATTAATTTCATATGCTTTTTCCAGAATTGGCACCCTCAGAACACAGCAAAGGGATTAAAAAAGCCCAGCTGTCTGTCTTATCTGTAATGAGGCAGGAATTTAGCAACTTCAGTGATTTGATTTTAGAGTAAAATTTAAGATTGCAAACATTCTCAGAAAACTGTAAATGAAGCTTAAGGTTTGGAATGCAAAAGCAAAAGGGAAATAACACCAGAATAGCCTGCAAAAACAGACAAGTCATGAAATCTAAACATCTTTGCTTGAAGGAGAAATGTATGAATTAATAAAATGCAGTACAGTTGGGTCCCGATCCTGTAAACGATTTCAAATATAGCTCTCGTCCACAGCATGAAGTAAGTATGAAACAGGATGTTTCAAATGAGAGCCAGTGAGATTTGCTATATCTGTAGCAAACTTTAAAGATTCCCAGTGACCAATCTGGGGCCTGTTGTGTGTTGTGGTTCCCCATATTTAGTCTCACTTAGTGGAGTCTCATGTTTTAATCTCGGCTCACAGATTTTCTAAGAGAGTAGGGAAGAGGTTCCTGGGGGCTCTGTCTTGAGCATCAAGAATGTTCTTGAATCGTTTAACTAATCTGACATGTCAAAGGGTCTTTTACTCAGGTCTGTGAACTGAGTCTCACTTTTCCATGTGTGTGGTGTAAGATGCTATTGAACTTCCCCAGGGGAAGGTGATCCTATGATCTGGTGAGTTCTGGATGGTATGAGCCAGCAGGCTGACATCTGGATTGGAAACTCCCTTTTTACTTCTGTGAAGAGGCCTGACCCACTAACTCATATTCTGTTTCTAATTCTACAGGGTGCTTTAGGACCTGCAGGGCCACCTGGACCAGCTGTAAGTAACTCTGAGAATGTGCAGGCTTGTGCAGTGTAATAAAGGTGCAGAATTCCCCATAGTAAAGTACCAGCAAAGCCCATTTTGATGACAGCTATCTCATTGTGAGGGTCGGATCACAGGGGAAGAAAAGATGTGGGTCTTGTCTTGAACCAAATATAAGGGCTCAGAAATGAAAAGGGATCATGTACCAAGTAGAGATGTTCGGGGGAGGGTGTTATATAAAATATATATATTTAAAATACATAAAACCAGTTTTAGCCTTCAAGGGCTTGATCCAAAGCCCACTGAAGTCAGTGGGAGACTTTCTGTTGCTTCAGTGGGCTTTGGCCCAACATTTATAAATTACCCAGTGTGGTTCCTGTCAACAGTGGACATATGCTAACTCATTGGCATTGCACGGGGCAATATAAGGTCTTTTCCAGCTTGTAAAAAGGAGCTGTCAGAACATTCAGCCTGTTGAACCATCCAGCTGGTTAAGCATCCTCAGAGATTTTATAATAATTCTGAAATCCACACAGCTGTGTTAGAAGATCTCTTTATTTACCAGGGAGTCGCATTGAACCGTAGCTATTTGAACAAATGGTATGGAAAAATTTAGAGCTAAATCCACATTGATCAGTACTGATGACTTGGTAACAAAGCCCCGCAAAAAGCCTACCAGGAAGTTAAATGATGGACGTGTGTTTAATTCCGGATATAACTTCTCCACTGAAATACTGCATTTAAAAAACCATGGCTCCTTCATGCTGAAAAATCAAATAGCCTTTTCCAAGGTGGTGACTATTATGGTATTAAAAATCCAGCTTCTCAGCCCAGGGAGCTAACAGGCATGACTAATGCAGTGTGCAACATTATTAGCGCATGCTACAGACACCGCTGGTCCTGCTGGTCCTCTCTTCTTATGACCAGGAGGCAGAATATCAAGGTGCACCAAGAGTCAAGCGTTTCAGTTGCTTGTCAGTTTCAATAGACTGTCCACTCCCAAGGTCAGAACAGTCGAGATGGGATAACATACCTCACACACATGTGATATGGCCTATGTTATACTGCAGGTCAGACTAGGTGATCACAGTTGTCCCTTGTGGCCTTGGAATCTATGAGGTCTCGATATCATCTTAAACTCTGTGTTTACGGGCCAGCAGCCGGCCACATAACTCGGTCACATAACATTAACTTGGTCATAGTCCTTATTTTGTCGGGGATGGTATTTTTTTTTCTTCATGTCCCCAGAGAGGTGGTTTTCTTTTAATGTAGCTTTTACCAGGTGCCAAGAGGAAGTGGCTTCTCAACAGCAAAAGATTTGTAGAGAAAACTAGGTTAGAAAAAATGGTGGGGAGGCTATACTTCTCCCCTCATATGTGCACATGACCCGTTGATGGGTCCCTGGCTGAATCTTAGAGCAGAGAATAGCCCATGGGCAACAAAGAGGAAAAGTGAACGGAAAATACAGACGACAACTCTAGGATTCAGTAACTGTCTCTGGCTCCACTTTCTGACTAAATTAGAATAATAGGGGCTAGAGGAGTGTTGGGGTGGGGGAAGTGTTTTTTTGATACAATGATCCACTCTTTGTGTGGTCAGTTTCCAAATGATCTTTCTTTGTTTTAAATTTTGTTTTCAGGGCAAGGGACTGCCAGGCCCTCCGGTAAGTAGCAGCCTCTTTCTCAGGGCTGGTCTACACTAGAATGTTGGGAAAATCTAGCTATATTGCTTAGGGGTGTAAAAAATTCACACTGCAGAGCAACATAGCTAGGTTGACCTAAGTTTTAAGAGTGAACCCCCTTTTTGAGGCCTGGTCTAAATTATTACATTGCTTGTGTTCTACTTTGGTATTTTCACCAAAACCCACCCACAGACCCAGATCCTTGAGTGCTCTGAGCTGCGCTAAGTCCAGTGGGTGTGGAGCCCTGGCTAAGGGTGGCCTGCTGTGACCTTTACACTGCTGGAGGCCAGTTTGGCCACTGATGTGAATTAGAGCAGCCACAGGGTGCAGCAGCTTTGTAACTGGTGAGAACGTTTCATTGCTTTCCCCTGAAAGGGGATCCTTCTTGGCACAGGTAGCCAGGCAGTGTCTGTGTTTGTATAGGGAGCGTCAGGCCAGCGGGGTGTAAGATTGGACCAGTTCCTGAGTGGGAGGGATGAGGAGTGTAAAGCGTTTGCTTTTGTACTGTGAGAGGTCTCCTGGGTAACAGCATGTGTAATGTTCTGACTCTATTTTACAGGGGCCTCCAGGAGCCAGTGGACTCCCGGGTGGAAACGGACTTCAGGGGCCACCTGTGAGTTTCCTTTGCTGTTTAATTCCCGTTGATTGACCATCCTGCAGCCACAGAAGAACAAGGTCTATTTCTGGCCTCTTGCTGCACTTGGGAAGGTTAATGAGAGTGTGATGCCACACTTGCTCTGTGAATAGGCCAACAGGAGGTGCCATTCCCTGCACTGGCTAGTGCAGTGGGTATGTGTCAGCCACCATGCCAGAGCTACTCAAGTGTGTTCAGTCATCTTGCCCTCTAGTGATTGAAGTCTACAGAGTGTGTAAGCTGTAACTGCAAATGGAGGCTTTGTTTCTCATGCCACATGTGTGCAGGTTAGCTGGTGACAATGGTGTCCATTCTTTGTGGCAAGGGATTTCTCACACTTGGAGCTCAAGTGTGTCACTGGCATGAAGCTATTTAATATATTGGGTCAAATCTTCCTTTTGCAGTCCCCCACAAAATTTGCATTCACATTTCGAAGGGCAAGTCCTGAGGACTTATGCCTCTGACTGCAGGAATGAAGGTGCAAATACTCAGATTTGTCCTTGCAATTCCTTTGGCAGGCACAAAAGCATCTGCAGGAAGAGACACCGGGGCTCAGTCCTCTTCTAGACATGTCCCCTTATGCCGCATTAATAAACGTGATATCACTTTAATTTCTTTTCAGATTTTCATTCAAGTTGTTAATATGGTGAAATTGTCCCAAGAAAACCACCTCATCTTCATTCATCTCATATATAGTATTTGGGGCCTGCCCCACTCCCGTTGGATTGAACGGCAAAACGTCTGTTGTTTTGAGTGGGAACAGGATTGGGTCCTTCAGTGAACTCTTCTCCCCCCCCCCCCCCGCCCCCCCGAGAGATTCTATAGAGGGTGTATATGGGAATTCTTATTATTTCTCACTCCTTTTAGGGACCATCAGGTCTTCCAGGATTCCCAGGACAGCCTGGACCTCCAGGACCTCCAGTAAGTTGCGATTTTTTCCGTGTAATAAGCACGAAGAAAGTTAAACTTGGTGTGGTTTTTGGAGTCATCTTCTTGTGCCCATGGAAGCAGCTGACAGGACAGTTGCATTTTTTTTTTTGCTGTTTTAGGTTCAAACTCCCCCCCTTAAGTTGAAGTGTTCTCTACAAGCTAAAAACAATGCATTAGAGCAGCAGTTCTCAAACTTTAGGAATCCAAGGACCCCTATTTTGATTTAAAAAATTTTGCAGACCCCCCCAAACCCGCTGCTCAGCCCCAGGCCCCGCCCCCGCCTGACCTCTTCCCGTCCCGCTTCTCCCCTACCCCTCCTCTTCTCACCCCCGAGCACGCCCCATCCCCGCTTCTCCCTCTCCCTCCCAGTGCCTCCTGCAGGCCGCTGAATTGATCAGCGGGGCCAGCGGCCCTGGACATGATTCTGCCTCCCTGCCCCGAGCGCACCTGCTCCTTCCCCTCCCTCCCACACGCCACTGAACAGCTGTTCCCCGCTGTGCAGGAGGCGCTGGGAGGGAGAGGGAGAGGTATGGGAGGGAGAGGGAGGCATTGATCAGCGGGGCCCACGGACCCCCCTGGGATACCCTCCCGGACCCTCCTTTGAGAAATGCTGCATTAGAGGGAAAGCAATGACTGTTTATTTCCTGTGTTTGAGTGTTTAATATTCCTGCTGATGCTGGGGGTACGGGGCATGATACAATGCCATGTGGCTTCAGGGCATACACTGATCACTGGCAAGATTTTTCCTCCCGGGTAACCATGGTGTGATTGGCCATATTGTTACGGGATTTTTCTTCGCATTCCTCAAAAACAGCTGGTCTTGGGGCCTGATCAGGTGAGGTGCTGAACACCCTCAGATGATCCTGTGAAGATGTCTAGCTCCCTGTCTGGAGGGATTGCTTACCCTGACAGTGACAAGAGCCTGTATTAGATGGAGCGACAGTCTGATGGACTAGATCAGACCCTGTGTTCTTGTAATGCCATGCCCTTGTATGGGTTGCTGGCTGTTGGGATTTAACTTGTGCATCTAAAAGCATGAGCCTCTACTGTGTGAGCTAAAACAGCCACCTCTGTTAGCTATGGCTGTACTTGGCTTCCCCACCACTGTGCGCACCACCAGCCACCCCAAGAGTAGGACGGACGCCATGCTGGGTCAGCGTGGGTTACGTTTCTATCAGACATATCCTAAAACTAGCTTTTGTGTATAGTGGAGTAATTGTGCGGGTAGGGTGGTTGGTAATTACATATAACTGAGGAGATGGGTCTTCTTTAAAGACTTCTGCATTGGACAATGAGTGGAAAGTCCCACCCCTATAAGGGGAAATTCTCATGAAGATACCAATCTTGGGAAAATGGAATTGGGGTTCCCTCTGGAAAATTTACTCCTTGGAAAACGTGGTTCCTCCCCACATCCTGCAGATATAACCACACCTCTATGTCGCTCTGCTTAAGCCACAGCTATTGTGTTGGCAGCTGTATGGTCTAGTGGTTAGAGCATGTGACTAGCTGTCAGGGCTCTTGGATTCTGGAGTTCTGTTGCTAACTCTGCCACCGAGGTGAGGTGGGTGACCTTGCTTCATCCTTATCTGGAGGATGTAAGTGGCTCATAGGCCTGGCCCTGGCCATCTTGCCCCTGTGTGACTCAGGCAAGCCATTCAACCTAGTTCTGCTTCCATTTTACCTCTCTGTAAAAGGAGTGTAAATATATTGACCTAGCTAACTCATGAATGTCTGTGAAGTGCTTTGAGGGGCAATACAGAAGTGGAAAATATCTGTGTCAATAAAATATGTTTTCTGGAGATAACATTTCCTTTGGTGCTTTGTGTTGATATATTTAAAAGGTCAAATGTTCTGGGTTATAGGGTCTTCCAGGGGTTCTTCCTGATGGCGGCGGGGACCTTCAGGTAGGTTTTTCTTTATATCGTAGAAACAATTTTTTAACTTAACTCCTGAAACACTTTTTTATGTATGGGTCTGGGCGAACATAGGTCTGTTTTAACACCTTATCTATGAGAGTAATCCCATTAAATTAATGGGGCTGTTTGTGTGGATAATGTCTTCCAGGTGCATGAGTATTTGCCGTATCAGGGCCTTGGACTCTTTCAAATATGCAGATATTTTAGTGCTGTTGCAGGATATTCCTTGTCATTTTACTTCAATTTGATCCTTGCTTCCCTAGTGTTGATTTTGCATATGTTTGATCCCATGCCAGTTTAATAAAAACAAGTTTTAGCACTTCATAAGGGAAGACCATTTTTCATGCAGCTGTTTCAAACAGAAAAGGTCAAATTTGTTTTGCTGTTTATTTCCATGGGCAGCGGCACCTTGTTCCCATGGGCATAAGCCTTGTTTGTTCTTTCCTTTTTGAGCAAATGTCTTGATTTCTTTATTTCAAAGGAATGAAACAGACATTAAGATAATGAGCAATATAAGTGACATTTCAAGATTTCACAGGTGTTGTTATGACAGCTTCTTTGCTTTCCTAATTAGAGTACACCAAAAAAGCTTCTATCTTGTTGACACTGCCTTATGGAAAAGACTTATGGAATATAATAGAAAATAAGTTTTTTTTGGTAATTTTTTTAGGCCATGCTATAGAATTTAATAGAAAATTATCTCCCTGCTACAGAATTATATACAAAGGTTTAAAAAAAAAACCCGATAGAAAGATCTTATTCTTTATTTTCTATAGATTTTTGAAGTACTAGCTATAGAATCCCCTTAAACTTTTATACAGCTTTTGATTTAATCCCTGTGAAATTCTAGAAGACTCTCCTATGCAGGCCAGACACAGCTTGAGAATCTGATAGTTTGCTTCATTTTTAAGTAAATTCCCATTCCTATAAACTCTTCTGTGTGAGCTTTTCCTTTGATCAGGTGAGATCAATACAACTTCAAATGGGTGTAAAGCTAAGTGTATTCCTAACTGTTTGCATGACTAAGCCCCAGGTTTTCAGCAGAGCAAGATCAGTGGACATGGTCTGCTGTAAGTAAATATCCTTGTTCTGTTTAGAATAAGGAGGTTTGGGGCCTGATTCAAAGCCCATGGAAGTGAGTATTGATGTCTATAGGCCCTATGTTTTCCAGACTCAGCCAGGGTCACAGACAATATTAGGAAGTCTAGCTAGAAGAGACCATATTACTCTGGATTCAGGTATGCAACTCCCATTGACATGTACAGTAGGTGATTGGCTTGGGTGATGCAAAAGAAGAAGGTTTTCTAATCATCAGAGGTGTGAGGTCAAATAACCTAACTAGTTTTGAGATGGAGCTTGGTAAATTTATGAACAGGATTCTATGCTGGAGTTGCCTGTGATAGCAGGAGGCTGGACTCATGACCCAGGAGGTCCCTTCCAGTCCTGAGTTCCTAGGTATATGTTCATAGGAGATGTCTAAAATTGAGTTGGGGCTTTGCAGCCTGGCTTACAGAATCCATTCGTGTGCCCAGTTTTGTTTCATGTTTTGCTCCCAAGCCCCCGAGGCCACCTGCTAAGTTTAGACTTGAGAAAATACTCTCCTGTTGTTGAAAAGAGTATGAAGTGACAGCCATTACCTCTTTCGTGTGTTAATCAGACCCGCTAATTAGGCCACAGAACAGATTCCAGCATCACAGGAAGCAAACCTGGAGGTTAATAACTAGAACTGGGCTGAACATTTCTAAAATTTTGTTGAAAAATGTAGATTTTTTTTTTCATGAAATGTTCAGGTTTTTTGGAGGCAGTGTAGCCTAGTGGATAGAGCACTGGACGGGGACTCGGGAGATCTGGGTTCTATTCCCAGCTCTGACACTGGCCTGCTGGGTGACCTAGGGCAACTGGCCTGCTGGGTGCCTCAGTAGCCCCATCTGTAAAATGGGATAGTGGCCTCCTCTGTAAAGTGTTTGAGTTCTATGGATGAAAAGTGCTATAAGAGCTACAAAGTGGGGGAGTTAATATCTTTTATGGGACCAACTTCTGTTGGTGAGAGAGAGATGAGCTTTGGAGCTACAGAGCTCTTCTTCCGGTCTGGGAAAGGTACTCGGGTCTGGTCTACACTACAGACCTATATCGGTATAACTACTTCACTCAGGGGTGTGAAAAATCCACACCCCTGAGCAATGTAGTCATACCAGCCTAACCCCCCACGTAGACAGCACTATGTCAGCGGGAGAATTAATCCTCTCGGGGAGGTGGATTAACGATGCAGACCGGAAAGCTCTCTCCCCTCATCTTAGAGTGTCTTCATGAAAGCATTACAGGAGTGCCCACGCAGCGTTTTAAGTGTAGACTTGCCCTCAGTGTTACACAGCAGAACATTCAAGATGAATGGGGCAGTTAACACACTAAGTGCCTTTCCCAGACCTGAAGAAGAGCTCTGTAGCTCCAAAGCTTGTCTCTCTCGCCAACAGAAGTTGGTGCAATAACAGATATTACTTCCCCCTCCTTGTCTCTCTCGTGTCCTGGAATCGACCTGGCTACAGCAACCCTGCAAACAATAAATAAGAGCTAGGTATTTGTGTTAGTATTATTGACTAGCATATTTTCCCCTTCAATAATAATGACACCCACCTTGCTCCATTGTCTGTGCTAGCTAAACCCACGAATGTTTGTTTTGTGCAGTGTCCAGCTCTCTGCCCCCCAGGCCCTCCGGGTCCTCCAGGAATGCCAGGATTCAAGGTAAGAAAAATATCCTCTGTAAACACAAAGAGTTGAGTCCCAGAATGTGTGGCAGCGGGAGGAGGACCTGTGGCTGAGAGCAGGACTCAGGTTCATGCTGTACAAAGTACACAACAGTCCTCCTTTATCTGAGCCTGAGAGTCTTGGGTACTCCAAGTTACCCAGACACAAAATGCCACCAGCTTTTATTTTCAAGAGAGCAAGTGAAGGATACAGGCCCCGTCCCGCTCTCAGCACATGGAATTCCCATTAACATCCATGGGAGTTCCAAACGCACAGGGCATGATCCCGTAAGGTGCACCGATCCACCAAAGCCCTTAACTCCCCGCCCCGGTCCTTGATTGCAGTGGGAGAATTTGCAGTGCTTAAAGTTAAGTGCTTTGCTAAATTGGGGCTCTGGCTCCTTGCAGGATTGAGCCCAGAGTCTCTCTTTGTTAGCTGTAATTTTGACTGTCTCCACTGCAGCTGGGAGGGTGCTCCCCAGCACACGTAGACAGAAGTACTTGCTCCGTTCCACTAGTGCGCTAAGAATAGCAGTGTGTCTGGGGTAACAAGGGCAGCGGCTCGGGGTAGCTACTTGAGAACAAGCCCACCCGGACCCCCTGGGCATGTCTCAGGCAAGTAGCCCGAGCTGCTGCCCTTGCTACCCTGCTCTTTTTAACATACTAGCTGGAGCACAGCTTGCCCATGCCTGCCTACCCGTGCCCAGCTGCACTGGAGACAGGCCCTTAGAAACACATCCTGGGTTTTTAAAGTACACTTATCACTGTGATGCAGAGATACGGATTGTATTGTGGAGGGCATAACTCACATGACCAAATACCATTTCACCCTATTTCCCACCTACCGTGGAACCCAACTGCTCCCCAGTTTACAATGTGCTGCTGGCAGTATGTAAATTGAAGGCTGCAGGGGGCGTTCAGCCATACTGAAAGACAATACCCCTCACTTCCCATCCTGCACCTTGCACGGATTGGGTACCGAATATATAGTTCATCTGTCTGGTGGGACTAAACCTCAGCTCAGCTTCTCAGCCAGCTGCTCTGGTGCTGAGCTGGGGGAGCACAGTTTCTCTAATCCTTGCAGAAATATTTAGCAGATGTAGCGGGCCAATCCTGCAGGAGGCTGAGTGCCGCCTGGGAAAATACTGGTGTCCTTCAGCTCCCATTGAATTCAGCCCTCTGTGGGAAATGCTCAGCTCCCCAGAGAACTGAGAGATCATTAGAAACCCACACAGTCAACTGTTGTTGGTAAGGGGTGAAATGCAAGGCCCGTGAAATAAGAAAGTCTCCGAATAGGGCTTAAGTAACGGATAGGTCCTGAGCTGATCCTCTGCACAGTGAGGAATTTCACCCCTGCTACCTAGTATTCGTGTGGTCTTTTGCCACAATAGCAGTGGGGATGGAAGGGAATGAAGCAAGAAAGAGTTTTATATCAAGATCATTCTAGTGTATATAGGTTCATTGCCAGCCTGATGGGGTTGCTGTAGCTGTAATAATAAGCTACAGCTTATTAATAATAAGTCCCATTTTCAAAAGTGACATAGGGTGACCTTCTCAAAAGCACTTGAGACCCTTTTTCAAATGTGACTAGGACTTTTGGTTCTCAGTCACTTAGATGCTTTTGAAAATTTTATCCTTAGGCATTTAGGAACTGTAACATGGGCAGCCCCCTCATGGCCAGAGATCACTCTGTGGTGCCCTGCCTCTGTTTCCTCCTCTTCAGAGCCCTTTAAGAATTCACAGTTCAAAGGCCGTTCCTATTTATTTAGTCCTTTGGTACATACTGGCACCAAGCAGTTCAGTGTGTCTTGCCTGACTAATCCCAAGTAACACACACTCTCACAGCCTTCATCCCAGCTGGCCTTTACAGTCTCTTCCCTGCATGCACAAGATCTCTCCCAGACCTCCCTGCCTTGACAACTTTCTCCCACTCTCTCTTGCTTCTTCAGCATTTCCCCTGCTGACTCAGGGCCCTGCAGTCTCCTGGGCTTCCCAACCCCACTGCAACTTCCTGCCCATTTTTTATCCCAGGATCACCTGATTAAACCTAGGTGTGGCTAGTGCTGTAATCGGGGCTGGCTTAACCCTTAGCTCTCCAGCCCCTGGGGTATGTCACCCTGTTACAGGACCCTAACGTCTCATTGGAAGATGCCTTTGAAAATAAAACTTGGGCATTTTTGAAAATGTTACCCATCCTTCACAACTTCAGAATACATTCCAATAGACACGGAAACGTCTTGATCAACTGCTTGTCTATCCTAAATGCAACGCCCATCCAGGAAATGAGGAAGGATGCTACACAGCAGATGTGTAAATTCCTCTCCAATAACTTCAGTCAATTACCCGCCTTGCTTTAAATCCTGTGTCCCCCTTGTATAGCTTAGCCTGCCACAAGGCAATAATGAAGCTCTCAGATCATTCTTGGTTTTATTTTTAGGGGCACACAGGCCACAAAGGAGAACCTGGGGAAACAGGAAAAGATGGTGAGAAGGTAAAACTCTGTTTAAAGAAAAAAAATTAGATTTTTTTTGAAAAAGTATAAGACCAAGGGATTTCTCTCAGCATGATGCCAGGGCGGAATGAGACAATTGGTTGGACAGCAAGGGGAAGCCCATTATTTGATTGTACTTGGCATGTGGACTGAAGATCATTAGCCTCCATCATTTTGTGTGTATGAGAGAGAATATTTCAGCTAAAAAAAAAGAATCCTTGTTATGATCGCAATTTTTCCAGAGTGGACTCTAAATTGGCACCTTCAATTTTGCTATGCCTACTTTTGCAGCTCATGCAAAAGCTGCTTTGATCACACAAGTTGGCTGGTTAGTTGTTTTAACTAATTGACACAGACACTATCTGTGTGTGGAAGAAATTGCATAGAGGCAGAACATGAGGCCATAGTTTTGGTGAGGGAGGGTCCGGGGAGGAGAATGGGGAGAGGGCTAGCATGAAGAAGATTCTTGAGAAGAGGGTTACCAGGATCCCGGGTGAGATTTATCATCGCATCTTGCCTAACTCTGGTTTTCTATCCCCAGGGAGATGCAGGCCCTCCAGGTCCTCCGGGGATTCCAGGCAGCGTCGGCCTGCAGGTAAAATCCGCCTCTCAAACCAGAGCAGTCCCCTGATGCTCCCCCCCCCCCCAGTCATGCAGGGTTTCAGGGTGAAATGCGAACGGTTGGGGTCTGTCCATGTGGCTCTGGGATTAAGCCCCATGCCAGCCCCTCTCAGCCATTGTGGACACAGCAGTGCGCTGCTGGTAACAGCCTCTACTGAGGGCCTGATCCAAAGCCACTGACGTCCACGAAAAGACTCCCTTGGACTTGCATGGGCCTTGCTATGGGCCTGGTAGTGGGGCCATCCTGTGGATGAAACATTACAGTGAGTACCCATCTCCTGGGCCCAGGTGGAGGCTGAAGAGCCCGTGCCACGTTTGAATGGTAATGGGACTGAGCTCTGCACTAGGTCGGATGGATCTCCATGGTAAAAGTGTGGCTGCCTCACAATGCCCTCTGGTGGCCTCAATGCAGCCCTGCACACAGCACCTCAGCTCAGTTTCCCTCCTTGGATCCCCAAATGAACCCCACGCAGGGCTTTTCCAGTGTGATCACAGCAGCTCTCCTTAGGGTCTGATTTATTAACTTAAAGTTCAAAGCCAAACACAAAAGTTTTCCCTCCAGCCTTCAGCTCGGTACAGCCCAACAGCCCCCTCCCCGCCCACCCCGGTCTGGTCAGAGTCCTTCCTGCCTTAGCAGGCCGCTCCCAGCACTTCCTAGCTGTAGCAAGTCCCCTGGTCTCAGGGTTTTCCTGGCAGGAGCCTCTCACTACAGCCTCCTGAGCATCCCCCATATTGTCGCCTCTGTCTGCTATAAATAGAAAATTGCCTGGTTCCCCTCTGTAATCAGGGTTGGCTTGGTCTCAGGCTCCCCAGCCCAAGGGCCCCCCAGCCCCCCCATTAAAACCCCTTCTCTGAATCTATTTCCCCCTCCCCCCCCAAAAAAAAAAACAAAACAAAACAAAACCAGAAGAACCAGACTCTGTTGTCTCAGTCTGAGACCTCTCTGCTTTGGGAAGAGGTTCCTTGGGACAGGGTTTGTCATCTCCCCTCCCCCCTGCCAAATCCCTCTGCTCATCACTGTTTCTTAAGGCTTCTTTGCCTTGGTTTTTAGGTTTTCAGTTCCCCGTCTTTATCTCTTTCTGTTTCACTGTTTTATATTTGAACAATTGGCTTTTAACGGGTTGTTTTTCTCATCTAGGGGCCAAGAGGGTTAAGAGGCCTCATTGGGCCAGAGGGCCCAGTCGGGGACAGGGTAAGTAACTATCATCTTCTCCAGACTTTCCCCTGGACTTTTCCCTCATTAAACCCATGCAGAATAAAATCTAATGGCGCTGTTAGAGATAACTGCCTCTAGTTAATTTCCTGTCCACGTCCTGCAAGAGCAACACTCTTGGCAGCTATTAGACACTGTGTCAGTAAAGTTACATGTGGCATTACTTCCCGTTGCCCTATTCCCTGGACAAGGGAAGCCCCATGAAGATGCAAACTGTTGGCCTAATCCTGCAAGCTCTCCATGCAGGGGACTCACCTTGAAGACAGCGGGAGTTCTGTGAAGATTTTTAGAACATGGGGGCGGGGAAATCATGAACACTGATGTCCTACAGTGTCCAATCCTGTGCCACTGACTTCAGTGACAGTAGGATCAAGCCCTTACTGGTCTTCTTCAGGTGTGCCTGGACATTAGCTCAGGGGTTGACGAGCTGAGCTTGAGGATGCCATGCTCTTCTGTAGGGGCCAAGTATGTTACCAAGGCTTCACAGCCGTGAGTGTTATGAGTCTGGTGAGGAGATAACAGCAAGGAGACCCAGAGTGAAAACCCTGCTGTTTTAGACCAAGATCCTCTGCTGGAGTCTATTAAGGTCCTAACAGTTATTAAAGAACATGTTGTCTTTCCATTGACATGTATGTGCTTTCTTGCTTTGTAATAATAATTCAGCTAGGGGTGTGGCTAGGCTGTGGGGTCCAGAAGAGTCCTGATGGCCGCATTTTAATGCTGTCTTATTGGTTTTTAGGGACCTTTTGGTTTCAGAGGGCCACCGGGACTCCCAGGACCTCCAGGGAAAGCAGTATGTATCCGTTCTTTCTTTTGTAGAGTTTCCTTTGAATCCTCATGGCCACGGCCTCTAACGTCACTATTGATGCCTACTGCTTGCTTTCACATGGCCAAACCGTCCACTGCCAGTGAACAACAGAACCCACCCAGTTCCCTCACCAGAAGTAATGCACATGTTGGATCAGCACAGTACTCACTGAGTGAGACGTGCACACACAATTGTATTTCCATAAAGACTTTCCTGGTTCCCACTGGTACCTCTCCCATCTTCCTAAGCCCCTTAACCCCACAACTAAGAGCTACATCATCTCATGCTCTCCTCCCCCAACCACCTACAAGTTCTCATTCTGGCCCTCGTAGGTTCAACACCTCCCATAGTTCTTCACTGTCCACCTTTCCCACACACACACACTTCAGCAGATTTGGGCTCCCCTTTTATGTGTTTTGTTCATGCCTTCTACATGGGTAGATGTTCCGCTTGGTAAGAGGAGGTTGAGCAAGCTCCACTTCTGCTCTCCTGTGGTTCCCTCCTCTTGGACAGATCCATGGTTAGATCCCAGCCCAGAAGACCATTTTTCCCCAAGGTAAAATATTCTGTTCTGTGCCCAGGATGCAATTACACATCCTTTTGCACAAATCCTAAGTGAATGGGATTTGTGCAGGAGAACTGTGATGGGCTTGGGGGGGAGACAGAATCCACACACCCACCTGTGGGCAGATCTCCAGTCTCTCTAGACCGCCCAATGATAGGTCCCTGTTTTAAGACTTAGGGACACTTGAGCCATGGGAGTGTGGACTCAGTAACCACACCATCCACCCTGCCACCAAGCCTCTCCTACGCTGTGGTTTATATGGAGCCCACTGCTATGTTGTATGGTGGATGCAGAGTCCCTTAGCCCATTTGCTTTGCAACGATCCACCCCCCACACCTCTAATGGTGGAACTGCAGCAGGTCCACTGGTCCACTACACTGAGGAAATTCACCCGAAGTGAACTAAATTCAGATCTTGTCGCTTTCCCACACAGCAGGCATTGAACTACTGCAATCAGGATCTAAGTGGTAACAGCTGAAGTTTCCCTCCTACCTCACCACTGTATTTAACAAACAGGGTACTTCAGATGAACGTGGGAAAGAGCATCCCTACCCTGTGGGATCACAGTCTGAGCCCCAGTTGCAATCCATCCATGTGCACAGTATTAGAGATTGTAACTGTGAAAGCATAGCAGCACTCCTAAGGAAATGTGGGCATCCCTCATGCCTGGCATGGCCTATTCCTGGGAACAGCATGGAGACCATCTGAGTGTTGGTCATCAAGATGGAGATGGTTAATGGGTTTTCTTTTATCATTACAGGGAGGCCGAGGAGACAAAGGACCTCAAGGGTTCAGAGGGCCCAAAGGTGATACTGTAAGTACAATAAAACACTTGCCTACTAAAACATTGCACATGAAGTCTAGTTTACAGTTGTATTAAGGCTTGCCTCTTTCATTCTGTTTGTGTTGCTTTGCTGGCAGAAGGAAAAATTCTCAAGGTAGGTTAGAAACTGACAACCTTGATGCCTCTGGATGAGAGGCACTTCTGGGTGGGAGACACATAGATGGATTCAAGGAGAATCCTTGGATCTGTTTAACTCAACCCTGTGCTCCAAAGGGGTCTCAGTACTGCATTTACCTTCCAGTGTGAGATGTTATGGCTCTGATTCAGGTCCCATGTCAACTTAATATTGCAAGAAATGCTTCTGAAATGTCTTTATGTAGCAACTGCTACTGATCAGGAGATGGAAGATAGTTCTGTTTCCAGTTCTTTTGTCAATTCTCTGGGTGGCCTTGGGCAAGTTACTTAATTGCTCTGTGCCTCAGTTTCCCAATATGTAAAATGGGGAGGATGATCCCTATTAATCCTTATAAATCACTTCCGGGTCTGTGAATGAAGATCACTGGATAAATGCTAAGTAGTGGGAGTTATTATTTCTGTGAATCAGAGTGTTTAAAATAGTACTGCTGCTCTTAAAACAAATCTAGAAAAGATCTTTAGAAACAAACTTTTCTTCATGGAAAATAGTGCACTTGTGCATGTATTATATCCAGTCATAGGTCAGAGCTTTCGACAGGATGTTTCCTCGTACACAGTTTAATCATTTGTCGTATCTTTTTTTTTTCTGAAGTTCAGGTTGGAAGAAGAGTAGAGTTTAGCAAGATTTCTATACTCCTCCTAATCCGTTTACTTGCTCTGCTCCATTGGTCAAACTAGTTATTTAATCCTTGATATTTCCCATCAAGCAGGGCTCTGGTGAGTGGGAGGAAAGCAGGGATATTTTCCCAGCCATTCTGGGAAAGCTGAGTTTTAAGGCTCAGATTTGTGATGGTGTTTAGGCATTCTGCTGCCAAGTACTGCAAGGTCTAAATGACCTACTCAGCTACATTCCATTTTCAAAAGTGATTAAGGAACCCGTATCTCACTGAAAATCAATTGGACTTAGGCCCCTAAATGCCTAGCCATCTAAGAAACTTAGGCCTTAGAACACTCGGGGCATGGCTACACTTGCAGATGTAGAGCGCTTTGAGTTAAACCAGCCTTCGGAGAGTGCACTAGGGAAAGCACTGCAGTCTGTCCACGCTGACAGCTACAAGCGCACGGCATGGCCCCATTAGCAGCTCTTGCAACAGCCACAGAGAGCAGTGAATTGTAGTAGCTATCCCAGCATGCAGGTGGCTGCAACGTGCTTTTCAAATGCGGGGGGAGGGAGTGTGACAGGGAGTGTGTTGTATTGTATGTGGGGGGAGAGAGAGTGGGTTTTCGGGGGCGCTGAGAGCATGTCAGCATGCTGTCTTGTAAGTTCGGACAACAGCAGACACCCCCACCTCCTCCCGCCTCTCTCTTTCACGCACAGCATTCCACAGTAATGGTTACTTTGTCTTGGAGCAGATAAGCAGCCGGCTGTCAGAAACGCAGCTTTCAAAAGGCATATCCGTATTCCTGCAGCGATTCCAAAACAATGAGAAGAGTGGCACATGACTTAAGGGGATTATGGGACATTTCCGGAGGCTGATCAGAGCGCAGTAATGCAATGCCTCCTTCACACTGGCACCTGGGCATTTCAGCCAAGGCACAACAAGTGTTAATCTTCTCACCGAGGTGGAGTACCCGGAGCGCTCTAGCCGCGGAGTCAGAGCGCTCTGTGCCTTGTCAGTGTGGATGGGTAGTGACCCGGGGCTGCTTTAATGAGCTCTAATTCACAAGTGTAGCCAAGCCCTAAGTGAAGTAACACATAAATACCTGTAAAAGTGTGGGCTTATGGGCTCGCAGCTTGATTCAGCAGCCATTGATGTCAATGGGAGTTGGCTCATTTGGGTCAGGCTGCTGATGCTGAGACATGATGAGCACACACCTTCTGCTGGTCTTGTGCTCTAAATGAGCTAGCTATCCATCTGTGGATAGCTCAAGGTCAAACACAAACTGAATGAAATGAACCTATACTGTTAAAATTTGAATGTTGAATTTATTTAACACTTTTGCCTAAAGGCTGTTTCTCTGGATATTTTCAGCACTGGATGATAAATGACTTGTGTGTTTCTAGGGTAGACCTGGACCAAAAGGATCGCCAGGGACCGGTGGACCCATAGGAGAACCTGTAAGTCAGATTTTAAAATGACAAGTCTCTCTGTTCCCTGGTTCATGACTTTACAATAAAGCAAATGTCAGAAGAGCTTATGTTGTTTCTGTTTGATGTAGTCTCCACATCAAGGGCTACGTTTTCAAAGTCGTCCAAATCTGATCACTGAGGGTCAGTTTATGAAACCCATCCTCATGTTCAAGCCCAGAGGTGGTTCTGTGGAATTCAATGGCAAATTTCCCTTTGACCTCAGTAAGTTTGGCCCAATGGTTAATTTGGCCCATTGCAGTTGGTGGGACTATTTGCCTGACTGCTCCCTAACAGGAGTGAAGGCTGCACAATCTGACTGTACAGTTACAGTTTAATGGCCAAGCAGCATTTCCACAGTCAGCTGTCTAAATGGGAAGGTCTGCAAACTTAAAACCTCGCAGGGCTAAATTTTAGAGGATGCATTTGAAAATGTAACCCTGAAATGTAATATAATCAAATCACTTACTGGTTCTGGCTTAAAATTTAAAATATAATGGACAGTAATGATGACATTGGGTAACTGAAGTGTACGTGTTTGTGGAATTTGTTACTGCTGCGTTATCTGGAATTAGAATCTCTGGGCTGTATTTTTATGATCTAGAATTTATATTGTGGTTAAGAATAGATGACCTGCAACATCATATCCAAAGTTAGTGAAACCTATAACCAATGGTGGAACTTATTGCTCATTAAGGCTATGTCTACATTACTGTGGTAAATCAACCTAAGTTACGCAGTTGACGTAGCTTAGGTTGACTTACTGCGGTGTTTATACCGCACTGTCTCCCGTCAATTTACCTTACTGTTCTCATTCTGGGTGGAGTACTGGGGTCGACCGGAGAGCGCTCTGCCATCGATTTAGCGGGTCTTCATTAGACCTGCTAAATCCACCCCCGGTGCATCGATTGCCAGAGGGTCTATCCGGCGGTAGTGTAGACATAGCCTAATACTTTTGGAGGACTTTGTAATTCAACACTAAAGGACTGACCGATTCTAATATGTTTCTGAACCTTTACATGAGACTTTGCAATCGATGGTGCCTGTGTCACAATCTTATTCTGCATTATGTGCTTATTCAGGGCATGCCTGGCAAAGATGGACGAGATGGAACACCTGGACTCGATGGTGAGAAGGTTTGTGAAATTCTATTTCAACACCACACAAAAAGATTTCAATTGCTGTCATCCACCGTGCCCGGGTATAGGCTTTCCTGGAGAAAAAGCAATGTTTGAAAGACTTTGGCTCAAGAGAGAGAATTCCTGTAGTGTCACTGAGGCAGAAGCGGAAGATAGTTCACACTGATCACCCTGGGAAAATCCCAACAAGAAATTAAACCCAAAGATTGTGTGATATAATGAACAGAATTAACTGATATTACCAGGGTTAAGTGACAGATCCTGATTACACAATGACTAATTCTAAAGCCACTTATTTGTGGCGAAACCTGCAGTATAAGGGGTCTCCTTACAATAAATGGTTAATGTCTTTTCAGAGCTGTTGGTGGAGACATCCTTTTGTTCTCATCACTTACAAGGAAAGTGCTGTTGAGTGATAGAGAGTTAGACGTGTAACTGTGAAGTTCAGATTTCTGAAGGAGACCCTGGCAGGTGATCTCATGGAACTGTACCTGTTGGTCCTGGGGAAAAGAGACAGCCTTCACATGTGAGAAATTAGTAGCTGTGGGTAGGGTTTTCAAAAACACCTAAAACAGTCAATGGGGAGTTGGTGCCTACCTCCTCTAGGTGCTTTTGGAATCTCATCCTTTGTGTGCACACAGGCATTACTCTGTGCAATTACCTATTTTGCACCTTCAGATGCCAATTTGTGCCTGCATGTGGGTTTTGCAGACACAACAGGAGTACCCGTATTTTGACAGGTGCACTCCCCTTAGAATTGTTCAGGAATGAACACAAAGGTCTGGTTCTGATCTCGCTGACACTCACTTTGCATCAATGTAACCTTATTGATTTCAGGGGAGTTATTTTTCTTTATTTACACCAGTATGACTTAGACCATTCGTAGGCCCTATAAAAGTTTAAGGCCTGATTCTGATCTCGCTAACAGCCATGTAAATCAGGAGTAATTCACTGAAATCAGTGGAGATGCACTGGCTTGAAGCTGGCTAGTGAACAGAGAATCTGATCCAAAAAGTCCAACTTTGAACATTGAACTTAAATGTTGGAAGGTTTAGGCAACTCACTGTGTGGTATAATAATAAAAATGGGCACAGATTTTCCGAGGGGCTTTTCTAAAATCACAAGATTACAAGCGAGTCTTGGTTCTACAAATACTGGGTGGATGGGAAATAAACCCTACCTGTAAAATGTCTCTTTTCTGAAGAGTTGCCCCTGACTAATGTGAATAGCATCAGATCAGTCGATTGTCCATCTTAACCTACTGCTGTTTACAGGGTGATGCTGCCCGCTTCGGTCCTCCGGGAGAGAAGGGGCCAAATGGACTTCCTGTGAGTATCACAGTATCGTTGCCATAAAAGAGTCGGAACATCTTGCCCAATGTAGGAGTGATACTTCTCTGTCATTTGATGGGGGTGGAGGACACACGACGAGCTATTTCTCACCTTGGGCCAGATTTTGGAAGGCTTTGAGGCATCCAACTCACACTGGGAGGTTCCTAGATGTCTTTCAAAATCTGGCCTCTTGTCTCACCGTGTCTCTCAAACCTCTAAGCCCATGAATAAGACTTTCTCCCCATGGTGCAATGTGAGAACGCCAGGTGTGCGTGCACAGTATATTATACAGACTGGAAACAATCTGGGATATTTGCACAGTAAATCATGGCAATAAAGCTAGAAACATGGTTAAAGAGAAATTATCTGATCCAATCCAGCTGCAGCCAAAAGACCTTTGTTGGGGCTTTAGGGATAAGATAAAGTGATTCTGTCCCCTGCAGTTGGCGATAATCAACTAGCAACACTCCAGATTCTAGTGTCAGTCACAGCTGTGTCAGTGTGATGTGACTCAGTTGAAAATGGAACACCTCCTGCCCCATTGCCAGCACAGTGGAGTGGCTGAACCCCTAGGCAAATCGGCAGGGTGTTAGTATGTGTCCTAATATTTCAGAAATAAAACACAGAGGAAAAATTTTAGCATCATAATGATATTTATCCCTTAGCCTAAGGGCTAAGGATTGGAAGTCGGGAGACCAGATAGCTACAGTATTCCTAACGCTGACTTACTCTAAGATGTTGTTGGCCAGATTATTTCACGTCTCTGGTCTCCAATTTCTTCATCAGTAAAATGGGGATCAAAATTCTTACCCCTCCCGTGCTTTGTAAAGCTTGTTAAGTATTGTTGAATGAAAGGTGCTAGATCAGTCTCAACTACTATTATTATTATTATTGTGTTTTTCATGTTTGTCTTTCTTTCCCATTATCGTCAGTGGGAAGTGCCTGGGTAGCACGCTGGATAATGAACTAGAGGGTAATTTCTCCCATTGTTTCCATGTGGAAAAATGTCTCTAATAGAAACTTATGTCCTGTGATTCTAAATGCCCATATATGTATAATCAGAGAGTAAATGTTATTTTCTACATACTGCAAAATTTCTGTTGTTGTGATTTTTTTTTCCAGGGGCTACCTGGAAGACCAGGTCACAAGGGTCCAAAGGGTGAACTAGTAAGTGAAGGATGAGTTTTCACTGGGAAACTATTAAGTGTGTCATTTTAGTGCACTGCAATTTTAGGCCCAATCTGGCAAACACTTACACACATGCTTAATTTTGAGCACCAGAATGGTCTCACTGAACTTAAAGGGATGAAACACAGGCATAAATATTTACAGGATTGAGTCCTTGGGGATCAGGGCCTGCATTTCTTTTAAAAACTGACTTGCTTGAGTCACCTGTTGAGGTGACACAATGTGGATCTTCTGCTCGCTGTGCACATTGTACCTTCTCAGGTGTTTCTCAAAAGGACTTTTGAAGATCTCACTTTGATAGGTATTTCAGGAAATTGAAATGCAAAAGTATAAAATAAAATAAAATATAAAATAAAATAAAATATAAAATACACAGTTCAGTCTCCAGTGAGTAAATATCCAGTGCTGGGAGTTTAATCATGGAAAGATCCCTCAAGTTTCTTGAGACAGTCTGCTTCAGTTCCAAAGACCGCCAGCGGACCTCTGATAATCCTACCAGAGGCAGAATTTTGGAATTTGCCTCTCTGCTGCCAAACTTTCACCCAGAAGTCACGAGACTTGACATGGCTGCCACACAATATGTGTAAAATAGCACTCAGTAAATCTGCATCAACAGTCCCCTTCAAGATAAGTTACAAGGAATCTTTACAACAATGTATTTAATTCCTACGCTTTGAGACACCAGGCTGGCTCTCAGCAATGTTTGATGAAAGAAAATCTGAAACAGATTGAGGCAACTCATCATAAAATTGCTCATTAAAGTGTATTTGTTCTGACTTTCCCTCCCTTTCAATCTTCTATCTAGCATCAGCCTCATTATTATTGACTATATACAAAGGCTACTAATTCGCGTGCTTCAGGGTGTACACTGATCACTGGCTGAGGTCAGGAGGAAATTCCTCCCACTTATGGTGTTCCATAATATATTGGAAGTCCCAGCATGTGCACTTTAGCATAACTGTTCTATAGTTTTATATGCTACAAGAATTCTTCTCTTCTTGGAGTTTTATTGCTGTCTTTTAGCACGTTTTGTTATCTCATCTCCCCAGCAAGACTTTAATTTCATCCTTTTCCTTCCAGCTGGTTGGTAGGGAAGTTACAGAAGTGACTGCGAAGTTCTGCCCAGTTGACTGTTTATTTTCCCACTACAGGGTAGTTCTGGAGAGATGGGAGAGGCAGGTCCATCGGGAGAGCCTGGTATCCCTGTAGGTATCTCCACATTTTACATATATCACAAACTCTATTCAGGGTCTCTTAAATTCCACCGCTAAGCTTGAGCTCATATGCTGCTTCTCTGGCACAATTGAGCTTGGCATATCGGTAATAAATGATATGAACCTCTCTCTCTCTCTCTCTCTCTCTCTCTCACACACATACACACACATTTTTTAGACAAAGATATCTAAAAACTATGTGTACACAGTGTGGTAATGAGGACTGACAAAACAGTCCTTCACTTGAGGATGTAGAACCATTATGTGTGATTTTATCTGGGGAGTTGGATGTAAGTCACATGTCAGTTCTTTAGAAACTCAAATACTACTTACCCTACTGCAGTGGGGTCAAAAAGGCCAGTCTAGGGAGGCAGTGTGTCCTAGTGGATAATACACTGGACTGGGACCCAGGAAACCCAGGTTCTATTCGTGGCTCTGCCACTGGCCTGCTGGGTGACCTGGGCAGTCACTTCACGGATCTCTGTCTCAGTTTCCCATTCTGTAAAATGGGGCTAATGATACTGACCTTTTTAAAGCAGTTTGAGATCTCTGGATGATGAATGCTATATAAGAGCTAGGTATTGTTGTTATAATTTATTAACTAGCTGCTACCCATGAACGGACAGTGATGTGAGACATGAACGATATATTTGTGTAATGGCTTTACAGTGGGTTGGGAAGGGTGGAGTTCCCGCTTGAAGAACAGCACAGGTGACTTTTTGATATTGTTGATAGGGCGATGCCGGTATCCCTGGTGAGAGAGGTGAGCCCGGACCTCGAGGATCATCTGTAAGTAGAACATTGCTTCTTCAAGTATAACCTTTCTGCAGTTAAAACACAGCTCCGTTATCAATCTTCAGAGCCACCATCAAGCTAAAATAAAAGGCTCCATCCTCTACTGGCGTAACGTCCGTGGATTTACACCAGCAGAGAATTTAGCCCAAAGTAAATGGGCCAAGGTCTCCTCTCTTTTACCCCAGTGTAAATGTGGAGTAACCAAACTGAAGCCACCGTGCTTATTCCACATTTACATTGAGGTAACAGAGAGGAGAATTCGTCCCATGTGATTCATGTGGCTGGTGCCCTTACAAGATAGCAGCTTGGACAATCAGCACCACCTTGATTTGGTAATAATATGGATTATTCTGGAATGCCCGGCCTCCAGCACTCTAAATGGGAAAGCCTTCCCTTTTAGGTGTCATTCAGAGATTCTAGGGCCAGAAGGGACCACTGTGATCATCTAGTCTGACCTCCTGCATAACACAGGCCAGAGAACTGCCCCAAAATAATTCCTGTTTGAACTAGAGCAGATCTGTTAGAAAAAACATCCAATCTTGATTTTAAAATTGCCAGTGATGGAGAATCCACCACAGCCCTTCGTAAATTTTTCCCATGGTTAATGACCCTCACTGTTAAAAATGTATGCTGTGTTTCTATTCTGAACTTGTCTACCTTCAACTTCCGGTTGTTGTCTGCTAGATTTAAAGAGCCCATTTTCAAATCTCATAGCTGTACAAAATGTTTACAACAAAATTTGAAATCCTACAACTCACCTAGGTTAGTTACAGCCTTGAAACTTGGAAGAGGTGTGTCGAAAGGTTTACAAACATGCAGGGAGCCCATTGCACGCTTTTGTGCAAAGTTTTGCCCGTTTATGGTTTGCATTAAAATCGCACAAACCTCATGACCGCACAGTTTGATGCAAAAGAAGGTCACGTTTGAGGCTTTTGACAAAATTTCATTTTGGGAGTTCGTTCAGATCCCGACACTGAGACAGCACAAACCTGTGGGGATTTTGAAAAGGAAGCTAACGTTTGTATGAAATGAATCAGTGGGGTTTTGCCCAGGTCTAATCGCCTGGGTTTTTCCCCTCACCTGTAAATTGTAAAGAATTTCTGGTTTGAAGCATCTCGTCCAATCTTGGGTCCAAAACAGGATGCTTCATATCCATTCTCAGCATTGCCACAGAGCACAGGGAATAAAGAGCTATAAGTACTGTAATGAAGGAAGTCTACAAATAATTGCATTGCTGCCCATTGGGTTCCTGCAGAGAATGGTGTAAGATTAAAACAAACTGGCTTTGTTCACAATATTAAAAATTCCAGGACACCATTTATTTTCCTGTTACACCAACCAGTGCTGCTCTTGTGGCTGGGCCTGAACTTACAGGGGGTTTTGATCTTCTTTAAGTATTTTTGAAATCAGGAAGCCTACAGGAAGTTTAAGGTTTTTTTTTTTTGTAGGTGCCACTTGGACAGAAAATGAGCAGTTTAATAAGTTATTGTTCTAAACAGCTTGCTCTTTAAACTTCTAAGAAAAGGGAAATAAACTTAGAGATACAAAAAATATTTGTTTTATGTCCTAAAATTTCAAAGTAAAATTGGGCAGGGAAAAAAATAGATATTTGGTTGGAAAAGCACCAAAAACAAGGAATGTACTGTGAAAGGGAAAGGGCCAGATTCTCATCTCAGGCCTCATCTATACAAGAAAAGCCCCCTGGTTTAACTACATCAAGTTAAACTGGTGCAAACCTCTAAGTCAGGTACACTAACATCAGCTTAACCCACGCTTATTTCTATGAACTTGTCAGTAAGTAACTTATGCAAAATCTATATGAGAAAGGGTTAAACTGGTGTAAGTGAGTCTACATTAGGAGTTTGTACTGGTTTAACTAAATTGGTTTGTTTAAACCCGTTCACTTTTCAAATATAGACAAGGATTTATTTATACCTGTGTGACTGCAGCATAACTCCGCACACATCAGTGGAGATCAGGATCTGGCTTAGACTATTTAAAAGAGTTGCCACATAATATGTCGTCCTTTTCAATACCATACCATTTTGTAAAGCATCTTACCGAAAACTCTAGTAGAGATGTAAGTAACACAGTTCTAAAGTTAAATGAGAAAATGAAAGCAGAAAGAAGAAATGAGCCATGAAAGTGTCACTGTAGTCCGTGGAGTGGCTGTATAAAAATGGCACGATTTTACTTAATTAGATCTGCTGATTGGTTTATTCTAGATCGTGTCATCTTCCTTTAAAAGATTAAGGCTGGGGAGCCATGCAGAGCCAGCACAGCTATGGGAGACGGATCTAGATTTTAATCAGACTCTCAGTAATAGAGATTCTGTTAATGACGCACAAACCAGAAAGACCCCAACCGGGCATCTAGATTCCAGAGTGAGTGTGTAGGCCTGGCAGCTAGAAAAACGGGCTTTTTCTTTTTTAATTTGTAAACTAGTAAATCTGATACAGTCACTGAGTGAAAATGGCATTGTGAGGGTCCCCACACATTATCTAACAGTCACTTTCATGGCAGAATTTCCCCTACGACATAAATTTTGCTCTCTTTGCTTCTATTGCATAATGGCAAGAGAGGGTTAACAGTGATTCAAATGCTTCTTTACGGAGAAGTTTATCTTGCGATTTGTATTTTTCTGATAAGTACACTGCACCTATCTTGGGAAATCATTACTCAGAAAGAAAAGTTAGACTGTTTAAATGAGAGAGAATTAATAGCATATGTGAAATTCTATTCTTCGGGGCCCTGATTCAGGAAGGTACTAAGCATGTGCCCAGCTTTAAGCATGCACATGAGTCCCATTGACTTCAGATCTTACTGAATAAAATGGTGCCATTTTTACATGGAACTGCTCCTATGCTTAAAGATGGGCACGTGCCCAAGTACTTCACTGAACTAAGGGTCTGATTTTTGATCTCACTGATAGTGGCTTTACTCCAGAGTGCCTGTGACGTCAATTAAGTTTTTATTGATTTAACACTAGTGTGCCATCATGACTTGTATAATATCTTGTGTGCTTGAGGCAAAAAAATATGTTGGCGTCTGACAACAAACATAACGAGTTCTCTGTATATTTCCAAAGCTGCAAACAAGGGGTAGCATCTTCAGACTCGCGTAAGTCCCCTTAATTTTACAATGGGATTTTTGGCTCTGAAGTGACTTAGGTCTTGAGAAAGTTGTACCCAATGACCTTGGAGCCGAAATCCCATTTTCAAAAGTGACTTATTGCTTAGTCTTTTTAGGCTCCTAAGTCATTTAGTCACTTTCAAAATTTGACCCAATATCATTTGTGTGTGTTTTATTTTCTCAATAGAATACAGCGTCGACTCTTGTATGCAGCTATTAATTTTCTATTAGAAATGTTTTTAGCTGGAATAACAGAAAACACAAAGGGCTGCATTTTCAAAACTCCTGATCTAGGTTGCTGGTGCAAAATGCGCCTGCACAAACATACATTTTTGCAATGGATGTGATTGCCAGTTTTGAATGGACCAAGGCATGCACTGGATCAAGCTTTTGTATTTGCATGTGTGTATTTCAAGGGGGCAGGCTGGACACCCAAGTTCCTGACTCCCAGAGGGGCTGCATGCTTTCAGCTCCTATTTGCTTCACTTGTAGTGGTGGACGCTCAACTCGTCTGGAAATCAGGCCCCAGGATTTTAAATTGCCAACCCACGCAGTCTGTTCCTTTAATTACCAGTCTTCTTCCTAACTTCATCTGACAGTTCAGTAAGAGTTGAAACCTGGTTCAGTGAATTAATTAGCTTAACCTGTATGCAATTAAATATGTGATATATAGTTAGTGCTACAGTTGCTTGGAACTCCATCTACCATTGAAGCCCCCCCCCCCAAAAAAAAAAAAAAAAACCAACAAAAAAACCCAACCTCTTTCCCAGCAGGCATGCGTGTCAACCTACTAAGAACAAAATGATCTGTGAATTGGAAAAGGTGCAAAGGGATTGTCTTGTGTTTTCAGTTCCTGTGACTTAGAATTATATCTCATAAAGATCCTGTTAAGGTATAAAAAGCCTTGGCCACTTATTTGAAGGTCTGCCCCCCATATTAACCCGTAAATCGCAAGGGGATTTATATCCTTCACAAAAGCACCATTTAGCATGTCACGGTCAGAAAGCACCCATTGATTTCAGTGGGATTAGTCACGTGCTTAAAATTACACACCTGCTTCCCTACCTTGCTGAATCAGGCCAATTAACTGTATCCATTTGGAACTGAAGTGGCAGGTCTGTACTGACTTATTTTCAGGGCTGTGTGTCTAGGAGAAATTTGCACAGCACGTGTCCCACTGTGCCTATCTCTAGCCAGGGTCACTTAGGCCCTGGCATTCATAAGAACCAAATGAATCTAAGCATCAAGTAAAATAGAAATAATCGTGATTGTTAATGGTAATTCTGGGAATAAAGTTCAATAAGCAGCGAGCTGCATTATAATGGCCATCCATCGGCATGGCTGTTAGGAAGACTTCTATACCGTAGGACTGGCTGCTTTTTGTTGTTACAACAAAGGCAATTTAATTGTGTTCATGACTCAATTGGTTGTGAATGATCTTTCTTAATCATGCTTATTCTTCTCTTTCTCAGGGCGCACTTGGTCTTCAAGGCCCATTGGGAGCCCCAGGTGTAAGAGGCTTTCAGGTCAGTAAGCTAGAAATTTGGGTAATTTAGTACACACCAGGTTATAGTCATTTGGTGTCCATGCAAACTTTTGGCCAAGAAAATTGGGTGATAGTGACAAATTATTGGAGGGACCTGATATCAATTAATCAGAACATACTTAATGCCTTCATTAACATAACACAGTGAAAAGGGAAGCTAGGGAAGAGTAGTAGCCAAAAGATTACTATATCCACTGCAAGAACAAACACTCTCTTTATTTCACAAATGCAGAGGAAGTCTTTTAGATCTGATAATTTTATATCCTTCTTCACGTGGATATTCCCAACCCACTTGTCTTGAGTGTCCTCTGTGCTAGTCCTGCGGACCCCTCCTCTAATCCCGTCGCCCCCGCTCCCAAGACACTACATTGCAGCTACTTTCCCCTCTCCAGCCACAAAGTGGCTAGAGCCAGGTCTACACTACAAACTTGTGCCAGCTTAGTTACGTCAGTGATGAGCTGGGGTCCCAAACCAACAAAGCCCCAAGTGGAGACGCAGTTATACCGGTTTTGCTAGTATAACTTACTTCAGTCGGGGTGGGGCTGGATAGCTATGCTGGCAAAAGTGCACTTTTGCCACTGTAAGCTGCATCCCCAGTAGGAGAGCTTTGCTGATATAGTACAGTGGTATCGTTGTGTCGGCAAAGCCTTCCAAGTGTAGACCTGTCCAAGGATTCTGCACAGAGCCTGAGCAGCAAAACGCCTGAATTGTCCAGAGGACCCACTCTGGAGCATCATTAAGTGCTTCCTTATCTGCAGCCATCCAGCCTCTGTTGTCAGGGAGAGCTCAGACCCAAGCCTTTCACATGGCTATGCAATTGTCATGAAGAAGCCAACAGGCCAGCTTTACATGGGTGTTTTTATAAAGCTGCTTTGAATTCAAAGATCTGCAGGTTTTCAGAGAGTTGTCAGTGTACTGATCACACAAAGCAGTAAGGGCTCCATCATCCATGGCCCATGGAGACTCGTCGTACTGAAGCTTCATTGCTTCCTAACTCCCAAATTTGGTTCTGCTGGTGTACCCAGATGGCCTTATCGTGGCAGCTAAGCAACCTATGCTAATGCCATTGATGATCTGCAAGAGATTGGGCTGGTGTACCTCAAAATGCCTTCCCCCAGTAAGAGGGGAAGGGTAGGGCTAGCAAGCAAGGACATGAGGAAGGAGAAGAGCGGTACTGGGGTCTGGAAGGACAGGGATAGTGGTTGGGACTCGGGAGAGTAAAGAAGGAAAAGGGGAATCTGGAATTAATTACTTTGTTCAGGAAATCAATATGGAGACTGGTGAACTCTTGGGACATTAAAAGGTGCAAGGACTTTTCTTTCCTTTGTTTTCCCTTCAGGGTCGCAAAGGTGCCAGTGGGGAACCTGGACTCCCTGGCCCTACGGGGATTCGTGGTGAATTTGGTGACAGGGTAAGCAGAGCTGGGCAGGAAACATTTGTACCATCCTACAACAATGTTCCCATACCAAATCATGGTGTAATGGAGCGGGACTCACCTGGCGGCGCCTCCTGCTGCTCGTCTATGGGAATTAGCATGTCAGCCTCTAGGGGACCCTCTGAGTCTGGTGATCCACCTTACCACTGGGCCCGGTCCCTCCTGGACCCTGGTGCCCTTATCTTGGGTGCTGCCCCCTAGCAGTACCCGCACAGTTCTGGGTCTCCCCCTCCCAAGGGAACCCCCACCCACTATCCCCACCTCACCTCAGTCTTAGGCTACTGCTAGTCACCAGCTAGCCCCTGCTCCCTGGGGCAGACTGCAGTATAAGTGCCACTCATCATAGGCAAGGGGGTTTGGACCTGCTGCCTCTGCCTACCCATGGCAGTCCCTGCAACCCCCTGTACCTAATAGGCCTTCCCAGGCCTGCAGCCTGGGGTTTTCCTAGGCCAGAGTTCCCTGGCTCCCTTGGCCTTTCCCCAGCTCTGCTCCAAACTAAGTCCTTGCTTAAGTCCCTGCAGCCAGGCCTTTCTCTCTCTAGCTAGAGAGAGTCTCTGCTGGAACTTCTGGCTCAAAGCCTTTATAGAGCCAGCTGGGCCCTGATTGGGGCATGGCCCCCAGCTGCCGCCACTTCCCACAGTCAGCTGGGATTTTGCTCCCTTCCCCTCCCTAGCCTTCTACAGGGCTTTTCCAACCCCTTGAGGGCTGGAGCTGGTGCTCACCCCGCTACACATGGTGAAAAGTCAAAATCTTGAAAATGTTCATGAACCAAAAATCTGGAAACTGTTTTGGTTCAAGTCAATTGAAAAGTTTTGTTCCGATTTTGACCTTTTTTTCTTGTTAAAAAACATTTTTTACTTTGCTCCTGAAAGGATGGCCTGAATGAGAGCAGCCCTCACTATACCCCCTCCCGGCCAGTTCCCTCCACTTTGAGTGATATATTGGCCCTTTATGGGGACCCTCTGACAGAGAGAAGATTTCCCACCACCGGGGTCTATGTCCGCAGGGTCTGCCTGTCTCTGCTCGGTTTAATGTATTGGCCAGATTGGACTATTTGTTTGCAATGGACACAGAGCCAAAGTGGGTTTACTATACCTGCTCTATATGCAGATTTCATCAAAGTGCAAGCTCTCCATGCTCACAGAAAAGCTGCATTTTAGTAATTTAGAATATTTAATTAGGACTTTTTAAAAGAAAATCTCTTTTTTTCTTTACAAACGGAAACATATCTGGGCCCTGCAGGGCCAGAACTTAAAAATAAATTCAGTTGTTGGATTTAAATAGAATTATCCTCACTGAAAAGAAGCCAGGAGGGCAAAAATGAATGTCAGTTGTCCACGGCCTGCAGGAGAACAATAGCCGTGTGTTCCATGGCTTCCTTCACTTCAGCTTTTAGGTAAAGTCTCTGTGTAAATAATCACCCCTGGGCACCAGGGATTTCACAATGGACCTCTGTGTTAGACCTGGAAGACTCATGTGTTGAGATTTATGCTTCTCAGTCACAAGGGGCTCGGAGTCTGGATGCTACAACAGCAGGCGTACTGTAGAAACAAGGATCACTGCACGTGTTCAGAGAATCTCCACAATAAAAAATGTATTTTTGGAGAGGATGCATCCCTTTAAAACCATGGCCCTGTTAAAAATGAGTGAACCAAGAACAAGTAACTGTTAAAAAAGAAGCAGCCATGTCACAGGGTTTGGGGAATAAAATTCCATTTGCCACTGGTTCATTTAAAAAGAAAGTTATAAATACCCAGATTCATTTCTGCCTTCTGGCTTGTTACCTCTGAATTATTTTAATAGGGAAATTTTTTTATAGAACTTTCAGTTTTTTAATTTATCTCCAGGGCTTGACTTTAATGAAATGACACCCACTAATTCTATCACGTTGTTCTGCTGGAAGTTTCTAGAGCCAGATATGAAAAAAAATCACATATTTCCCAATTGCCAAATTGATGAATGGGCCATAAAACCGCTGTTCTAAGACTACAATAATTGAACCCCTCCAACAGTGCATTGCAGAAAAGACCAAGGTCCTCAGAACTCGAATTAGCTCCCGGCTGTGTTAGATGGATCCAAAGTCACAGGCCAGGGCTGCAAATGTATTGCTTCGTTCTCCTTTTGAATGCTAACTAGGCATGGTTGTTCTTGGAATGTTTCTTCAGACTGGCTAAATTACCCCTAGGTTTGGTATTACAGCTGCTTGGTTCACTTTTTATTCCTATGGACATCTGACCCTGCCACTTAAAGCAGGATACCAGACGAGGTGGGTCCCTTACCTGCAAGTTCCCAAGTCATGCTTCTCTGTGGATGCTGAAGTCAGGAACAGCTAACCCTAAACCCTGGTGAAAATTGACACAGTAATAGAGGTCTTGCAAAAGTGTTATGAACATTAACTAGTCTTGGAACAAAAATCCACTCTCCTAATCTATACCACAATGATAAAAAAAATCTAAGAATATTTTACATGCCCGGGGGAAGGGAGGGAAAGGAACCTTACCCTGGGGTGAGCGAGGAAGGTGAGTCTGATGTAAATGGACAGAATTAAATGCACGTCATTTTAGTTTTGTTCAGTGAATTAACAAGGACAGTATGAATAGAGCGTCCCATAAAGAAAAGCCTTACAATGACCACAATTTACTGTTAGCGGCCACATGGAATGAACAGAAGGCAGGTGGGGAGGGGTCCTCAAACACTGAGACCTGCTTCATATTTTTAATGGCTGGCAGGTTGGATGAGTTATGGGGGAGATGAGGTGGGAGAGCCAATTCAGAGAAGGAGACTGATGTGTCGTCTTGTGGTTTATGAGTACTGTAGCTGTCAAGAAAGAAATCTGGACCACAGTGACCGCAGAATCTTGCTGCAAAACAAACTGAACGCTAAAACCTCTTGTTGATTCTAAGAAATACAAATGAGTTCTGATCCCTGTCTAGCCTCTTTGTTTTAGCTGGCAATTACAGGATTAGTTTCCCACCCCTCACTGTGCAAGTGAGCATCCGACTGTGCTAGGAATGCATGGGGAAAGAACAGTTCCCTGCTCATTCTCCCTTTTTCTTGTTAACAGGGTTCTGGTGGAGTTTCTGGCCCCAAAGGTAACCAGGTGAGCCAAGGGTTGGTCTTTCCTTTTCTGGTTATTTTCCCATTTTATTCAACTAATATGATTTACCTGTAGCTTGATCACAGCTATTCAATAGCATTACCAGCTTTCCTCCCAATTAGAATTAACAGGTTATGCAGCAGACCCAGCCAATGCATTTTTCATCTGGTTCATTTTTGTGTGTGCTCAATGTACTTTATTTCAATAAAGGTATCTTGAAATGCCATGCTCAAGATCCTTTGGGTCTGTCTTCCAGTCACAGGACGTGGCAAGTAAACTGCTTGGGGCCACATCTTGCTCACCTAACTCACACAAGTCGGCCTGTAGTCTTCAGGGGGGCTACCCACGTGAGTGGTCAAGCAGGGTTTGCTCCCAATGATTAACTATGTAGGGACGAGGAACATTTAGCCCTTAATAAACTTTTGCTTCTAAACGTTCATGTTTGGATTGAAGCAATTGATGACCTTCCTTGAAATATATAACTTAGACCAGTGGAGGAATGTGATTTATCTCTGCAGAAAATGGAATGCACTCCCAGCAACGGTTTATAAATTGCAATCATGCCTCCTATCCGCTTTTGTTGCTTTCTAAGGGCAGGATCAGTCTAAGTTCAACAGGGTCTGCGAAGCCTAAATCTAAAGAAGACTTTTAGTCCCAATCTGTACCATCAGCACAATGATGATGATTATCGGCTGTAACTGTGTGCAATACCCAAGCCATGTTGTAGTGCTGTTCTGAGTGGCATCTGAAACGAGTAAACCCTGCACATACCAACGGGTAGCTCTGTATGTACTGTATTGTCTCTATTCCTACCTGAATAACAAGCGCCATCTGCTGGCTTAAAGGAAAAGGGATTATATATTGTGGCTTAACATGCCCACACAGAGCTATTCACCGAAATAGCTCTTGGGAGACTTTCGTCCTTGTATGAGTCCAGCTCTGAAATAAAGCTGTAACTTAATAATTAGCCACCTGGTTTCAAACACCATTGGAAACATCCAGGCCCGATTTTGGATAGACCCCAAATTTGACTGTTGAAGTTTAGATTTTATTTTTGTAAGGGTTTGTGACTAGTTCCCTTGCATGCACTTTATTTCAGAGGCTTGCTGTGATAATTGGACCTACAAATTTACCCAAATGGTGAGCTTAACTGTGAAAAGTAGGTGTTAGTTCATAAGATGTGACAATAACCTAATAACAGATGTTGATGGGGAAAGGTACAAAAGCACAGAGAGACTGAATTAGTCCAAACAAAAAGGCCTCAAGGACTGTGTTGAAATAATGCTTGGAAAATTGGACAGTGAGAGACCAAAAGTCAATGAACCAAAATTGGTGTGTCAGAAATTAGGCCTAATTGATGGGCAAAATAATGAGGGGGTGGACTATTCCACCCATCACTCTCTTTTGGGGTCTTTAAGGAAAGAGAATGTGGAGAGAAAAATTGGCTACCAGAGTGAGCTTCACCATCCTGGCTACCACCCCCACCATCTCCTGGGACCCTGGACCTTCTTCATCCCAATCCTAAAAGTTGTCTTGACCAAACCAGGCCAAAAAACGGAACCCAAATAACACTGCCACTTCCACTGGCTCCAGCTAAATCCCAAATATCACATGGGACTTGAGACTTTGTCTTTCTCTCTTTTCTCCTCACCCATGTGTCCTTTTCCTTCTCCACCTTTTTCTCCTCTTTCCTATCCCTCTCCTTTTTCCTTTTGTCTAATTAAAGTCTGGTGTAGTTGGCCAGCACTGCTGTAAACCTGTGACCAGAAAGGGGCAACTAAAATCAATGCCCTAAACAGCCCATTGCTGGAATAAGTTTGCCAGCTCTCAGGTGACTAATAAAGCAGTATGCTGTGCTGTTGTTTTTCCAGCGGAGAGGTTGCAAGTGAAAGTCAAACACCAGAGATGGAAGCTGTATTTTCTGTATTTGCTGTTCTTTTCTCTCTTCGTGTTCGTCTGTCTGTCTCGTTTAGTTTTCTTAAGAAATGGGATCAGGCTTTAACAGCAGCAGCAAAGAACGCTCCATCCCATTTCAGCAAACTTCTCTTTCCCCCAAAAAGGACAGTTAATACCATCTTTAATAGCATCTAAAAAACCTGTCAAACAAGGGGTTTAAAAACTAAAAACTCTCTCCAGCTAAAATGAATAAATTAATATATATTGTTAAAATGAAAGCCTTACTTAATACTTTACATTTCAAATGCTTTAATTTTTTCCTTCTTTTCTGTATCTTTAATAAAAGGTTCAAATAACGTTTAATGGTTTGCTAAGTCTCTGTATACCAAACCTTTAATGTTAAACCGTAACAGGGTGGTCTTAACACCTTAACTCTTTAGGCCCATGTATTCCAGCTGAATTAATACAACCAGCTGCTTTGGGGTCACATCCTGGTTTAAACAAGGAATTTTGTTTGATGAACAGACTTAACATGGAACTCTCTTCCTGGAGCGAAGAGTGTTTGTTAACTGTGGACCGCTGTTTTGGCTGCATTGGCGCTCCCCAGCACTTGCCAGGTCCCTGTCTCCTGTGGGTTCAGCCCTTGCTCAAGTCGCTCTAGAAGTACTTTTTTGCTACAGCGGGTTTGAGGCAAAGGGCTCCTAGCTCTTGCAGAGGGCTGCCTGTTACCTGGTTGCCATTCAGAGCAGCAGAACCACTATTGTGGAATGTACCTTAATTTTGCCATATCTATTTTCCAAGTCAGAAAACTTGCCCACTGTAACAGCAAGAAGGCCCTGAATCCTCTTTGCTCCCAGTCGGAGTTGAAGTGGCTGAAGTGGGCCCTGACAGAGTAAATCCCACTTGGAGAGCGTAGCGCATGTGTGTGAATAACCATTGCAGACCCACTGGTGAGGTTCTCACGTGTTGTGTCTCATTTTCAGGGCACTCCTGGAGCAGATGGCCTGCCAGGTGACAAAGGGGAACTGGTAGGTGTCATTTAAACAAAACAAAATTAACATCTCAAACAGTGGGAGCCCAGAGATTAATGGACCAGTGACTACTAAAACCTGCCAGCGCCGAATACACGAGGGCTCCAAAGGCTAGTTACGCTATCGACTGTGAAAAGAGAACTGTGTCCTGTGAACCAAACCGAGTATCCCGTTCACCATCAGCACTGTGCCCATTTTAGTTTTACTAGTAAAACTGGAGGAGGATTTCTCACGTGTATAGCCAGGGATTCATCATTCATTATTTCTGCCCCTCAGGGAGCTCGGGTGCACTTCACAGTGCATAGAAGTCGACAGTCCCTTCTGTTCTCGGGTATTTAGGCTTTCCACACCGTGGTTCAATGGAGGCTGTCACTGCCAGGGAGCTAAGTTCAGCCCTGATGTATGTGAGTCTAATGATGAATCCCTGTCTATAGAGGTGAGGAATCCTCTAGTTTTACTAGTAAAACTAAACCGATCCGTTAAAGTGCTTCCACCCCTGAACCTGTTTTATCCCCTTACCTTGAGCCCTCCACCCTACCCTTGCAACCACTCTTGCTGCACCCTACCCTCCAGCAGTAAGAGGAATTGCACTGCTGAGCAGATGAACCCAGCACTGTTCTGCAGATCTTCAGGGGTCCAGTGTTTCTCAACCTTTCTGGGCTCAGGGTCCATTTGTACATGTTTATGGCTTGCCGTGAGCTGGGGGTGGAGGTGCTGGAGTGGTTTCAGTCGGATCCTGCCCCCTAGTGTGTGGGGGGGTTGGGTCCTGCCTGGCACGCACCCCGCAGTGACGGCTCCTGTGCTGTGGGGCTGGCTGCGCTTGGCTCTCAGCATTGCAGTTGTACGAGTGGAGTTGTGATCTGGCTCATGGGGTTCTAGTGCCACTCCCCCAAATTTGGCCTACTCAGACTCCCGTCGTCATGACAGCTGCGCCAAATCTGAGGGGCCTGGGGACCCCAGAGGTTGCAGTGCCCGGAGCAGGGAGGTGAGTCCAGCCAGCCCCATGAGACAGGAGCTGCCACACGACCCTTTGAAACATTCTGGTGACCAATTTTGGGGCCCGACCCCCCCCCCCCCCCGAGTTGAAAGATACCAATGGGGTTATCCTACCCCCTGTCAGTGCCCTTTGGCTTCCTTGGGCTATGTCCCTGTTTGCAGTATTGTTTGCATTGATGTAGGACCCACAGACCCTGTTCAGGAATCCCGTTACATTAGCTGTGGTACACAGCGGTGGTCCCTGCTTCCAAGGGCTTAAGGATCTGCTTTTAGATGTTTACTTTGCAACTGATTATTGTTCTTTAGAGAAGAATAAAATCAAACTTCCCCCTTTTTTTTTTTGTAGGGTCCTTTTGGCCCCCCGGGACAAAAGGGAGAGGTAAGTGTCATCCATTTCAGACTGAGAGTCACAGAAATGTTAAGGAAACAAAATGTGCTTGTCACATCCCTGTGTAGCTTCTGATCTCATTGGGTTATGCAGCATCAAGGGTGGCATTGTCTTTTATTTGGGGCTCTGGTCCATTAATATAGCCATTAGGTGACCCTTGGTGTTGACCTTTGATTTTTCATGCACACTCTGGGGCTAGTCTTCAAGGATGGGTACCCAAGTTCTGTGTGTAAATCCCACATCTGTCAATGGGAGTACAAGCTCAGCAATGCAGAGTGGGGGAGTGTGTAATGAGCCCCGTCCAGCAATGCACTTAAGCACAGGCTTAACTTTAACCACAGGGGTAGTCCCCTTGATTATTGCTAAAAATGCTTAATGTGGAAAACCATTTATTCAGAATTCTTAGCATGTCACTTCGTGTTTCCCAACCCTTCTTGATGAGACAGAAATTTGGCCCTGGGAAGGCTAAGATAAGCAGCACCCTCGAGAAGGTATTAATTGCTCTGGCTATAATGCTGACATACCACAAGGCAGGAGCAGTTAGGTCTCCACGCTTGAAATCAAAGGCCCTGTCCACGCTACAGTAGAAAGCAAGCGAGAATCAACACTGTTGGTTCTGACATGGTTTCTCTTCTGAGAACCAGGCTGTAAATCTGCTAGTGTGTGGCCTGTTTATGTCACTAGAATGGTTTGGATACTGTTGCTGCTAGCACTGTTTGAACTACAGCATGGATATGGCCTAAAGCACGCATACGAATCATGATCGACATGTAAACCCATAAATGCAAGATGAGGAACATACATGGTCAGCATAGCTGCTATGTCAGTAAGAGAGAAAACAAGGAAGCTGGAAGGAAGAAAACAAGAAAAGCTTAACTAAGAAATACTGTGGAAGGATAACAATATGCTGAGCCTCCAGTTTTAAGCTTGTTTGTTTTTTCTTCCTCCTTAGTCAGGAATAAGAGGCGAACTGGGTCCTAAAGGTATACAAGGACCTAACGGGACTTCTGGTGTGCAAGGGATTCCAGGTCATCCAGGACCTATGGGCTACCAGGGAGAGCAAGGTATCCCCGGCATTACTGGAAAACCTGGCCCTCCAGTAAGTATCATCTGTTCCTTGAGCACCGTCCTGCATTGGAAATGGATGAATGGGTAATAGGCAGTACCGGTTACGCTGGACTTTGGGTGCAGGGTTGACTCTGTTTAGAATAAGTTTACAAAATAAGTTTTTGCCCCTTTGTTCACTAATGGACAAGTCTTACAGTACTTGCAGCATCAGTAACTGTGATGGGTATTATGAAGCAAATCAGGCTAACGGGCTGAGAGGAAAGATCTCCTTTGCTATAAGTCAGTAAAGAAGAGGTCCTTAATGGCAGAAATAAATAAAAATGCCAGCCTCTGGGAGGCTGGATGGTCAGGGAATTTGTAATAGGATATGTAACTTTGTAACTCTAGGTTGCTGTTCAAATCTGGTGCAGGGGAGAAGTGAATGAAAGTTACCATCTCATGGACATTCAAGGTATGTCTACACTGCAATATAAGCCCAGGGTTCAAACTCAGGCTTAAGCCTAACCCCAATTCTGTCTACATACAAATCACATTAACCCTGGGCTCAGACCCAGGGTCCCAGGACCCCACAGAGATAGTGGGTCTGACTTGAGTCAAGCTGGGACCCAGGGTTCAAGCCCTATTGCTTTGCAGTGTGATGTAGCTCCGCTGGACTTGTGCTCTGGAAGTCTGCCAAAAGTATCCCACAATCCACAGGCCAATTTTCTTTGTCCTCTACATAGTCAAGTTTTGTGGACAGTCCAGTTTTCCCACACTACACCATGAACAAATGGCGAGAGTGGCCACATTCTAGGAGGGCACTAGGAAGTCTGGGATATGGGTGAAAGTGAGCCCGGATAATGCAGCGCCAATGCAGCAGACCCAAGATGAAATCCAAGGTTCAACAATTCCTACCCTGGGATTACAAATGTGTGTAGACCAGAAGTGGGCAAACTACGGCCCGGGGGCCATATCCGCCCTCCAGATGTTTTAATCCAGTCCTCAAGCTCCTGCTGGGAAGCAGGGTCTGGTGCTTGCCCCACTCCAGCCGGGGAGCAGGGTTGGGGTCTTGCCCCACTCTGCACGGCTCCCAGAAGTAATGGCATGTCCCCACTCCAGCTCCTATGCGTAGGGGCAGCCAGGTGGCTTTGCATGCTGCCCCCACCCCAAGCACCGCCCCCGCAGCTCCCATTAGCCGGGAACTGCAGCCAATGGGAGCTGTAGGGGAGGCTCCTGCGCACAGGGCAGCACACAGAGCCACCTGGCCGTGCCTCTGCATAGGAGCCGAAGGGGGGGACATACCGCTGTTTCTGGGAGCTGCTTGAGGTAAGCGCTGCCCGGAGCCTGCCCCAACCCCCTCCCATGCCCCAACCCTGATCCTCCTCCTGCCCTCTGAACCCCTTGGTTCCAGCCCGGAGCACCCTCCTGTACCCCCAATTCCTCATCCCCAGTCCCACCCCAGAGCCCGCACTCCCAGCCGGAGCCCTCCTGCACCCCAAACCCCAATTTCGTGAGTATTCATGGCCTGCCATACAATTTGCATACTCAGATGTGGCCCTTGGGCCAAAAAGTTTGCCCACCCCTGGTGTAGACCCTCAAGTCCTAGATTAACAAACCCAGAGTTTGTTAACTTGAGTTCTACTAACCCTGGGCTTACATTGCAGTGTTGACATACCCTCAGAGGCTTGTGTGAAATGTGTTTGGTGTTCTCAGTCCAGTTTACAATGGACAAGTGTCCACACCACCAAAACTACATCACAGCTGGTATTAATGGGTTTCCTTGGGCTAGTCCCATCAGAAGGACCAAAGAAATTAATAGGGTATGGAGACTGAACTACCTGCTTGTCCCTCCAGAGTAGGGTTGAGTCACACTGAAATAGTGTTGAAGAAGAATGCACTGACACTACTTATGTTACTCCTGTTCTGTGAATAAAGATAGACTATCTCCAAGGCTGTCAATACAGCACTAAAGTAACAAAAAATGTAAATGGATAATAGGAGCTTGGCCTGCCTTCTATAATTTGTCTTAAGGGTAACACTAAACTCTGTAAGTCTCAATTGCTAAGTGTTCTCAGAGGGCAATTGGTTTCGGTGTGTTAATGTTGGCAACTGTTTGGTCAGATCAGAAAAGAAAAGGCCTAGTCCAGTGGATTTTAACATTTAAACATTATGGGCCAAGGATTAAAGGGACTTTTAACCTGGACTTCAGCTTTGCAGGTGCAAATGACTGTGCCCAGAATTGCAAATGAGGGCACAAACATGAACAAATTAAAGGTCACCAGCATTAGACCGGCTTCTCATTTTGCACTTCCACCACTGGCATTTGTGCATGCAAATCAGGTAACTGCACATCTAACGAGCAGATCTGCAGAAGCAGTTTATTTGTACAAACAGGTGCACACACAAAATTTGCGAGCACAGAATTAAGACCCATTTCCAAAAATGTATACCTTTTAAAGATTAGTTTCCTCTCAATGTGATGTGGTGTTAGGAGTTACCTGCATTCATTGGGGTTAGATGTGATGTGTGTCATGTTTGTTCTCCATAACTGTGATAGCACTAAGAAAGTGAATTGATAGCAGTCAATAACTTTAAAATGCAAACCTGTCTCCTGTTGGGTCATTATAGTATTACTCACATTAGGTTATGGTTTATTATTTTCTCCAAGCTTGAGTTTCACTTTTCAATAAAGGCCAAATAAACAACAAATTAAATATATGACTTGGAACATTAAGACCACAACATTCCCACTAACTTTAAAATCAACTTCATTAATATTACCACCACCCCGGGACCTTAAAGCTGAAGATAATATTTTCTGAAGAAACTACTGTTTCTTCTTAATAAAATCTCTTCTGCTTTATTTTGCAGTCCATTAGAAATAAGTGTCTTTCAGGGATCAATAGTTTGATGACAATCAATAATATGATTTTGTGTAAAGCAGGATTCTTTTGTTAATTGCAGGGCAAAGAGGCCAGTGAACAACATATAAGAGAACTCTGTGGGGGAATGATAAATGGTGAGTATAACTGGGAGATAGCTGAACTTTAATTATTGTCTGCATCAGAGTATAGCTACACTTTATAGTCAGAGAGCACTTGTTTCTATTTAGTTTAACTATGATTGTAATAATCTGAGCCATTAGGAATTCCATTGCAATAGGACTTGTATTACTAACCAATAATTACAAAGTATAGTTTCCATTCACTGAATGGCTCATTGATATAGTTGCTGTGTTATGATGCCAAAGGTCATGGGATTTCAGTCCTGATAGAGCAATAAAGTATTGCTTCAAAGAAATTATTTTATCTTTTGTATGTTTTGCATCTTGAAGATTGTGTTTCATTCATTTTTTGTGGTGGAAACTAAAACCTGCAAACCTGTTTTAATTATTTGAGTATTAATTTCCATTAAACTTTGCTTCAAAATTATTTAAAGTGTTTTCATTTAATTTAGAAATAACATGAAAGCAGAAAAAATTCATCAGTTTGCAAAGTGTTTAGAAGTTCCTGAGCAAAAACCCCCCCACAAGTCCAGAGGTTTACTATAATGAAAAACCATTTTTTGTCATCTTATCAAAATGCATTCACCTGGTTCAGCTCAAGGCACCCTCTGGTTATGGGTTACCAGGACAAATTCTAACTTCAGATGTGCATGTAGCTTCCACGGAGGCCAGTCGGTGTTGTGAGCATGTGCATCTGAAATAATTCTGCCTGCACTGTGCAATCAGTTTTTTTATTGGTGGAAATCCAGAGCCTATAATCTTCTCCTTTGATTGGATACACTTGGTGGCAAGTGTCACATACCAGAAAAAGGTTTTCAAACTTCAGACACAGGCAGAGGCTAAAAGAACTTAGTTTTGGTTTTGTTATATTTTTTTTCTCAGAACAAATTGCACAGTTAGCTGCTAATTTGAGAAGGCCCTTGGCTCCTGGACTGATGGGTCGACCTGGCCCAGCGGGTCCCCCAGGTCCACCTGGGGCAATGGGAAGTGTTGGTCATCCCGGTGCTCGTGGTCCACCTGGATATAGAGGGCCAACAGGAGAACTTGGAGACCCTGGTCCCAGAGGTGAGTGAAATGAAATCAGAGGCAACCTAAAGAACCTGTTCCTGCTCCCTTTGAAATCACTGAGAAAACTTCTACTAACTTCAGTGGTGCAGGAACAGGACCTTGGGAGGTTACCGTAGAGGAAGGGGTCAGGATTTTCTGTATTACAGTGCACTCCATTGATAACAATCACTGATATATGAATCAACTGCATATAGTGATCAAAACCACTGGGATAAAATCATTCCTATACTAAATACTCCACTTGTAAGAATCTACTGCTTATAAGAATCAAATCATCCAGGATGGATACGCACTGCAGCATGTGCAGCTGCTGAAGCTCCAGCCATTAATTGGATGGCCATTCCGCTATCTCCCAGTTATACGCACCATTAACAAAGTAAATCCTCACCACTGTGATATATTGGGGTCTAATGAGGAATGAGGCTTGTCTTGGGGATTTATAACCACTGTCCCCCTGAACTCCTCCCAGTATTTCCCCCTCCTGTTCCTGTGCCATCGTCCATGCCATTGCATTTGTCTGCAATAGCTTCCTCAGTAACACAGTAGAACTTCAGAGTTATGAACACCAGAGTTACGAACTGACAGGTCAACCACCCCTGATTTGGAACCGGAAGTACGCAGTCAGGCAGCAGCAGAGACCTTTTAAAAAAAAAAAAAAAGGCAAATACAGTACAGTGCTGTGTTAAACGTAAACTTTCCTTGTGCCTCTAGTGTGAGAATCATCCAGCCATGATGGCCAGTGCAAGTCTGCAGAGTGGTTCACTACAGCACTGAGGTCTGCCCGTGTTTCTCAAATCCATAAAAACCCAGTCACCTAGGGTTTGAGGGGAAATCCTGAATTTTACCCATAAATAGCAAACTTTTAGGACAAAAGACCTTTAGCACCAGCCTAACTTCTACTGCAAAGTGACATATACCTTTAAGACTAAGTATAACTGTGTGTTTCTTAGAAGCAAGTGTGTTTGTTGTTTTTCTTAAACAATTAATTAAGATGGCAAGTTTAGACAAAGTCGGGGGGGGGGGGGGGCGGACAAAGGCAGAGTGTGCTGCATCTCAAGGCTACTTAGACCTGAGCCTACAGACCTTATTCACATGAGAAAATACTGCAAGATTGGGCCTTTGTTAGCTATTTACACCTTACAATTAATGTGCAAACATTGCAAATTGGTAACAGTTGCTGAAAGCAAATCCAGCATTTGAAGATGTTCAAACTCCTTTATGTAATGTATAGATCCTCTGTGATACATGAGATAAAACACTAGGGGGCAGCACACTAAAGAACTTGGTTGTGCAGAAATTTAACTTTTGCTTTTGGGAAGTCACTAGGGTTTGGGAAGTCATTTAGGGTTGCCAGCTTTGCAATCTCACAAAACCAAACGCTCTTGTTCCACCCATTCTCAGAGGCCCCGCCCCGCCCCCACTCACTCCATTCCCCCTCCTTCCATTGCTCGCTCTCCTCTACCCTCATTCACTTTCACCAGACTGGGGCAGGGGGTTGGAGTGTGGGCTCTGGGGTGGGACTGGGGATGAGGGTTTTGGGAGCGTGGGAGGGGGCTCAGAGCTGGGGCAGCGGGTTGGGGAGTGCGAGTGGGTGCAGGTTCTGGGGTGGGGCCGGGGATGAGGGGTTTGGGGTACAGCGGGGCTCAGGGCTGGAGTTGGGATGTGGGCTTTGGGAGGGAGTTTGGGTGCTGGAGGGGCCTTAGGGCTGGAGCAGGGGGTTGTGGTGCAGGAGAGGGTGAAGAGTGCAGGCTCTGGGAGGGAGTTAGTATGCAAGAGGGGGTTCTGACCTGGGGCAGGGGTTGGGGTGCAGGAGGGGATTTGCAGTGCGGGCTTACCTCAGGTGGCTCCCGGAAGCGGCTGGCATGTCCAGCTTCTTGGAGGAGGGGCTGGGGGCTTTGCGCGCTGCCTGCAAGCACTGCCTTCAGGCACCGCCCCCACAGCTCCCATTGGCCGTGGTTCCCGGCCAATGGGAGCTGTGGAGCCAGTGTGCTGAGCAGGGGCAGCACACAGAGCCCCTGTGGCTGCCCCTGCACCTAACAGCCAGACAAGCCAGCCCCTTCCAGGAGCCGTGCCGAGCCAGGACAGGCAGGGAGCCTGCCAGGAGCCTGCTGCGCCGTCGACCGGACTTTTAGCAGCCTGCTCAGAGGTGCCAACCAGGATCCCTTTTCGACTGGACACCTGACAACCCTAGTCTCATTATGATGTAATTTTGGAATGTACACAGATATGACCATTATAATTTAAAAGGTTTCATATACAAGCAGCTATACCAGCAGTCCCCAAACTTTTTACCTCACGCCCCCATAACCCGTCTGCCCACCCACCCCCCCCCGAGCCAGGGCCGAGAGGGGGAGACGTGGACAGGGGTAAGGGGGTCAAGGCTGGGGCCACAGCTGGGGTCCTGGGGGCAGGGCTGGCAGCCAGGTCACTGGGCATGGAGCCCAAGGCACGGTGCAGTGCCCCTGGTGTGGGGCAGGGAGCAGAGCTGGGTGGCACTCCCTCCCCATCAGGGCTAGCAGCAACGCCCCCCCTAAATGTTCCTCCACGCCCCACAGTTTCAACTATACTAATTAGGGTAGTTGATTATTGCTGCCAAATTTATGGATTCTGGACCAGATTTTCAAAGGTGCAGGTAAGTGCCTAATGGGATTTTCAGATGTGTCTAGGCCCTAACTCCCATTGATTTAAATTAAAGTTAGACATCTTGGTGCTTTTGGAAATCCCATTTAGGTGCCTAAACACCTTTGAAAATCCAGCCCTTTATCCTTAATATAAAACGATGGACAATAGTAAAGAGATCTGATTGGCTAATAAAAGTTCCAATAGTGAGAGTATGTGATATTCATATGCAGCCAATTATAATAAAAATGTAACTTTTAAATAAAAAAATAAAAGTAGTAAATTCCAAGAAATGCAGAAACTGCAAAATGTGCACACCTGGGGCTCAAATCTGGCAACTGAATCCATGCAGGCAGCTTCTTGGCACTCAGTTTTGCATTACCCTTTATGCTGACAGGATTTTCCCCTCCACATATAAGGGCTAACTTGGCTGTTCTCTGTAAATTATTATTTACATTTAAATGTCTGTACATCATTACAGGTGATACAGGTGAAAAGGGAGACAAAGGAGCCACTGGCATAGGTATTGATGGGCCTGATGGAGATCAAGGACTTCAAGGTAAGCTGATGCAGTATTTAGTATGATAGGAAAGTACCCAAATGACAGCAATATGGACTATACCTGTTTGTTCAGGAATATACTTTTATTTTTATGATAAATCTCCTCCTAGATGGACCTTTTCATAGTATAATTGGGACGATGTATTTTACGGGGACATTTTTACTGCATCTACAAATTCAGTAGAGGGACACAAGGCTAGAATAAAGGCTGTTAGAGGGCCTGCATTGCATGTGGTTTGTGCTATGACTGAATTCCTTTCTCCCTACAGTTACCATGCTGATCTGGGTTATGTGGTAGTAGAGAGATGACTCTCACTGAGAAGCCAGTTTTGAAATGGGCAACCACAGCAAAGTATGGTAGTCCCAAAAACAAGCAGACATATATGTAGGAACAACTATGAATTGGCAAACTTCTGCTGTCAGCTATAACAGTGTAAATCCAAAGTAACTCCACTAAATCCAGTTCAGTTATTCCAGGGTTAGACCATTGTAACAGAGCAGATTTTAGCCTGTGGCTCAAACCATTACCATATTTACTACAGATCTCTTATACTCCAGAGAGCCATAATACAGCACTATATATAACCCTCTTACAGCTTACAAATACCTACCTAATATTTTAAATTTTACATGCAAATAAAAGCCAGTATTTCACCCTAAACCACTTTTCTTTTCTCTTCTTTAAGGTCCACCAGGTGTAACTGGAATTAGTAAAGATGGTCGAGATGGTGCTCATGGTGAACCTGGTCTGCCAGGTGATCCTGGTGTACCTGGTGCAATGGGGGCTCAGGGAACTCCAGGAATCTGTGATACGTCAGCCTGCATGGGTGCTGTTGGAGGAGGATCCAAAAAATCATCAGCACTGAAACTGCAGAAGTGACTGAATATTTAAGTAAACAGTGAATTGTATGAAAAGAGTCAGGATCCTCCTAGTGATAAATGGACAAATATTCCTTTTATTAAAATGAATAAAATGGAGACTTTGACACAGTAATTCAGTTCCATGACACAGGAAAGCATCTGTTGAAAACCTTTACTAAAAAGATGCTTAAAATTGTTTCCCCACCCCTTATTTTCCAGAATTTTTACTGCAAATCAGTCTCACTTTCCCTTCCTCCCCACTTTGTTGAAGAGACCTACAGGAGGAAGCGCTGCTCCTTTTACTGTCATCTCCCTAACTGTACAAAAGCTTGTGGCTATTTTGCATAAAGGCTTGACTCTATGCTCACTGAATTCAGTAGTGATTCAGGCACTAATTGAACATCATTGACCATGTATATTTGTTGTCCACCATGAATTATCAGACTGTACCTCAAACATTTGCCATGGCTAGTAAATGTTAAACCCTTTGCATTCTTGCAATCTAACTCTGCAAAGGGTGTAATGTATATATTATAATTTACAGGGGAGAGTTTTTGTATATTTCCATGTTATAACAAAGGATATTCAATAACAGCATCTTCACGCCATCTACTTCAGCTATTTGCACAGAATTTGTGAAAAAAATCCCAAGTCAGAAAGGATGCTCTTCTCAACACCAGCCAAAATTACTGTATGAACTATTGTAAAAATAAAATGAGATTTTTTTAACCTTTTTTTGTGATGTTGTAACTGTCATTATACACATCAAAGCTTGTTCTGCTAAACTCCATCTTCCCCCAATTGTTTTATTAGAATTATTTCGAAATAAACTGCTGCAAAATTGTGAATATCCGTGATTTAAAACAGTATTTATTTTGGGGTGACTTTTTTGTACTATAAAACCTGTCAGCATCATCTGTTTTAAGAAATTAATAAAGCCACTTTTTCAGTTCATAAAATATACTATTTCTGTCCTGAACACTGCATCTTATTAACAAGCAGAACCATTACTACTCTTTTAATATGAAAATATTTTGTGCACGTAAATAATTCACTGTTTACAATATACCACTTTTGGACTAAAGCAACAATACAGGAAAACTGTTGGACAGTTTGTGCAAAAGTATTTAAAATACTACTGTATTTTAAAAGCAATGCCAACAGCACTGTATGATTCTTTAGTCCTATGGGGATGTACGGTTCAATATGAACTTCAAATCTGAATTCCAATGCATATAATATTGTTTGTAAGATGTGTACTTATTATACAAGCACTAACCAATTTAATTTTCTCACTGTTCCAATTGCGAAATGGGCACTATAATGGCATATTTATTTATTTATTTTACATTTAATAGGAATGTACATTCATGACTGACTAAATACAATAGGACAGGTTGACTGTCTATAACAATTTCTAACTATATTATATCAAGTTAAAATGGATTTTGGTAGCTATTGGGGGGGGAGGGGGAGAGAGAGATTTAGTGGCTGTCATGACATTTTCTTGTTGCCTCTGGTCCCAAAGCTCTCTAAGAGGACACTGATCAATTAATATTGTTGGTAATTCATTTATCTTTCCATTTTGAATAAAGAATGTTTTCTTTACGGTTCTATTTATGTATTTTTACAAATTATATTTTGCAAGTCACTCTCGGATCCTTCAATTTCAAAGTAGTCACAGGAGATGAAGTCCAGTATGTGGATATAAAATAATTGCTATGGAGCATCATTAGGTATCAATACTTTCCATAAAACGCTGGGTATTTAGTTCAAATTACTTGATCTCCATTGGTGTGCTATTCTGTATGTTTTCCTGCATTGGACATGTTACTAATGGGTCAGCTCTTGTTAGTTTTAGTCTCCTGCCTGTTTTACCACAGAACACAGTCTCAAATTCCTAAAATCAAAAATACAAGTAATTATTATCATGCTTAATGCAATACATATTTAAGTAAAATATTATTAAACTACTAAGGGGTGGGCAAATCCTGCACCTGGTAAACTTTAGAGGGAATGATGGTCCAGTGATTAGGATGCTAGCCTGGGCGATGAGAGACCTGATTTCGAAGTCCTGCTCTGCCTCAGACTGCCTGACTGACCCTGGGCAAGTCACTTAGGCCCAACTCCTCAAAGGTACCTCAGCAGAGTTAAGTGCCTAAATTCTTTAAGGATCTGGGCCTTAACCCCTCAGTTCCCCATCTGTAAAATTGGGATAATAGTGTTTCATTACTAACAGGCATGCTGGGAGGCTAAATACATTAACAATTGTGAAGTGTTTAGAAAACAATTTAACTGGGCAGGAAAAAAAAATTGCCTGTTACTACTGACTAAATACTGTGAGCGCTTTCCAGCTAATGTGACCCTTTATAACTCCCACAACAGTTCTGATCGTGAATGTTTGCACTTGTGCCTCCAGCACAACTGCATCCCCAAAACCCATCTTCATAGTAGAACATAAGGAACCCCTGCAATGTGGCATTAAATGAACATGGATCTCTAAGTTGGCTCCCAGCATAGTGCTCCCTTCTGCTTGGAATCTTATTGATTTTGCTGCAATCAGAACCTGTCACAACTACTAGGGAAAGACAGAATTTGTTCCTCCATTTATATGAATTTTTGTGTGTCAAATCAGTTAACATTTTAGGAGAAAATTCTACTTTCAACTTGTCACATTCATCCCATTAGTCAATGGATACTGTTTGTATGTATCTGAAGGCAGAACTTTTATTTTTGACTACATTTCTGCAATTTAAGACTTAATTTTATGACCAGTTGGGCAGCTTTTTCAGCGGACAAAACTTTGGAGACACAAATGCTCCAACCCCAAAGACTTCTGCATACCAATGCTAGTTTTCATAGTGCTTGCCCTAAGATGTCATTTTGAAAAGAGACTAAGGAACAAATCAGTTCTTGAAGTGCTTTACGCTGCCACCACCTCCAGGGAAGGACCATATACTAAAAAAGACACCACTGAAGGCTACTGCTACATGGCCATTGTGCATGGGTGTCAAAATCACCTCAGTTGGAAGTCATCATTGGATAAAATAATATGCATACAGAGAGATTATGGACTGTCAAATTATTAAAAAAATGAATCTTGATTAATCGTGATTAATCACACTATTCATAATAGAATACCATTTTTAAATATTTTTGGATGTTTTCTACATTTTCAAATATATTGATTTCAATTACAACACAATACAAAGTGTACAGTGCTCACTTTATATTTATTTTTGATTACTGGTATTTGCCCTGTAAAAAAAAACAAAAGAAATAGTATTTTTTCAATTCACCTAATACAAGTAATGTAGTGCAATCTCTTTATTATGAAAGTTGAACTTAAAAATGTAGAATTATGTTAAAAAAAACAAACCCTGTATTCAAAAATTAAACAATGTACAATTTTATACCCTGCCCAAGTCCACTCAGTCCTGCTTCTTGTTCAGCCAATTGCTCAGACAAACAAGTTTGTTTACATTTGCAGGAGATAATGCTGCCCGCTTCTGGTTTACAATGTTACCTGAAAGTGAGAACAGGTGTTCTCATGGCACGGTTGTAGCCAGTGTCGCAAGATATTTATGTGCCAGATGTGCTAAAGATTGATATGTCCCTTCATGCTTCAATCACCATTCCAGGGGACATGCGTCCATGCTGATGATGGTTTCTGCTCGATAACAATCCAAAGCAGTGCAGACTGACGTATGTTCATTTTCATTATCTGAGTCAGATGCTACCAGCAGAAGGTTGATTTTCTTTTTTGGTGGTTCAGGTTCTGTAGTTTCTGCATTGGAGTATTGCTCTTTTCAGACTTCTGAAATCATGCTCCACACCTTGTCCCTCTCAGATTTTGGAAGGCACTTCAGATTCTTAAATCTTGGATAGAGTGCTGTAGCTATCGTTAGAAATCTCACATTGGTACCTTCTTTGCATTTTGTCAAATCTGCAGTGAAAGTGTTCTTAAAATGAACAACATGTGCTGGGATCATCATCCAAGACTGCTATAACATGAAATATATTGCAGAAGGCAGGTAAAACAGAGCATGGGACATACAATACTCCCCAAGAAGTTCAATCACAAATTTAATTAACACTTTTTTTTTTAAACAGGTGTCATCAGCATGGAAGCATGTCCTCTGGAAAGGCGGCCAAAGCATGATGGGGCATACAAATGTTTAGCATATCGGGCATGTAAATACCTTCCTATGCTGGCTACAAAGTTGCCATGCAAATACCTGTTCTCACTTTCAGGTGACATTGCAAACAAGAAGCAGGCAGCATTATCTCCTGTAAATGTTGTGACGAAGTGGGACTGTTCTTAATGTTTCCTCTGAATAGTTGGGGGGGTGCCTCAGTTTCCCCTAGGCAGTTCTTAAGTATCTAGGGGGTGGAGTAAGGGTGTATGATCATTGCAGAGCCCTAGAGGGCAGGTGTGTGCAGGAGTCTGGACACAGAGAATGGCCAACACCCTGTTTCCTGGCAACTGATGGCCTGGGCCCTTCCCCCCCTGCAAGGTGAGAGCTGAAGGGTTGGAGAACAAAGGAATCAGGTGACCACCTGGCCCGGGGAAAGGAACAAAGCCCAGAGGAGGAGGGGCTGGAGGGGGTTTTCAGTTTGGGGCTGGCTGGGACATGGAGTGAAGTGCAGACGTGGTTGTCTGGCTCACTGCCCCCCAGAATGGACCCAGCTGAGGGGTCCCGTTCTCTGCACCTGCAAGCTCTGTTTTAGACCATGTTCCTGTCGTCTAATAAACCTTCTGTTTTACTGGCTGGCTGAGAGTCACGTCTGACTGCGGAGTTGGGGTGCAGGACCCTCTGGCTTCCCCAGGAGCCCCGCCTGAGCGGACTCGCTGGGGGAAGCGCACGGAGGGGCAGAGGATGCTGAATGCTCCGAGGTCAGACCCAGGAAGGTGGAAGCTGTGTGAGCTGCGTGTCCTGAAGACAGGCTGCTCACAGAAAGGCGACTGCCCCAGAGTCCTGACTGGCTTCATGGGGAGCAGTTCCAGAGCATCGCCCAGGGACTCCGTGACAACTGGTGGCAGCGGTGGGATGTACTGCACCCCGTGGATGGCGCTTCCTGCAGTAAGTGACTGGGGAGCAGTAACACGAAGGGGGATTGCCGAGGACCAGGCCTGCTGAAGGCTCAGAGAGGAGCGGTTTCGGGGGCGGTTAACCTCTGGGAGTGTGTGACCAGCGAGAAAGACTGTGCAGTAACAGGGTTCCCCTGGGGATTGCAGCGAGCAGTCCAAGGGGCGGAGGAGTCTGCAGCTCGACCCTGGCAAAGAGGTGGTGACCTCGAGAAGGGCTGGCACACTAGGGGTTCTCCCTGGAAACCGTGGGGAGCTGAGAACACACGGGCCTGTGAGTCCACAACAACTTGGGAGGAGCGGAGTGACGGCCTGTCACTGTCTCCTTAAGAAGGACATTGTAACCCTGTGCAAAAAGAGAGGGTTGAGCTTGGAAAGTTCACCAAAGCAGAGTTAATCGTGCAGCTGGAGGAGGATGACCGCTCTAAGGAACAGATTCCTGACCCCAACTGGGGCTGTAGCAGGATCTGGGAGCAGCTGGAGCGGGAGCCAGGCATCGCCAAGACTCCTGTCCCCGACCAGACGGGGGTCTTCACGATCGGGTTCCCCATCGGGGGATCGAGACGGACGGGATTGGAGCTGAGTCTGAGAGAGCAAGAGGACCGTGGGAGACAGCGAGAGCCCGAGAAAGAGCTGCAGAAGCAGCAGCATGAACTGGCGGTGGTGGGGCGGAGAGGCCTAGGGGACCTCCCCGGGGTGAGTGGGGATAGACCCCGGGGTGCCAGTTCCGCAGGGAACCTCGAGACTAAATTGCTGCCCTGGTTAAGGAGGGGGGGGGGGTGTGGATGCCCACCTCACTGCCTTTGAGCAGGCTGGCGATTTGAACCAAGGGGACCCTGCGGAAAAGCCCTGGTGTCTAGCTCCCTTGCTAGGTCCCAAGGCCATAGACTCCGTCGGCCAGATAGTTGGGGATGTGGACAGGCTCCCACTCCTGACCCCAACCTATATGTCTGTGTGGAGTTTCCTGGGGCCAGGCCCCTCGGACCTCCAGTGGGAGCAGAAGGTGATGGTCAATGGGGAGACATTCTTGGGGTGGCCAAAGGGCATGGGCTGCATAAACCTTCCCACATGCGGCCTGCGAGTGCTATCGACCACCCCTGACCTAAGGGAGGGTGTGAAACTGGAAGGGCCTGGTGTAACTCCTACCAAGGAATGGGAGAGATGCTGGGGCATCCATGGGAACGTTGGTGGCTTCGAACTTCCCCAGGTCACTGGCTAAAGTGACCCCGCTCAGTTCGATCTCGAAGGGGGGAGAGATGTGACGAAGTGGGACTGTTCTTAATGTTTCCTCTGAATAGTTGGGGGGGTGCCTCAGTTTCCCCTAGGCAGTTCTTAAGTATCTAGGGGGTGGAGTAAGGGTGTATGATCATTGCAGAGCCCTAGAGGGCAGGTGTGTGCAGGAGTCTGGACACAGAGAATGGCCAACACCCTGTTTCCTGGCAACTGATGGCCTGGGCCCTTCCCCCCCTGCAAGGTGAGAGCTGAAGGGTTGGAGAACAAAGGAATCAGGTGACCACCTGGCCCGGGGAAAGGAACAAAGCCCAGAGGAGGAGGGGCTGGAGGGGGTTTTCAGTTTGGGGCTGGCTGGGACATGGAGTGAAGTGCAGACGTGGTTGTCTGGCTCACTGCCCCCCAGAATGGACCCAGCTGAGGGGTCCCGTTCTCTGCACCTGCAAGCTCTGTTTTAGACCATGTTCCTGTCGTCTAATAAACCTTCTGTTTTACTGGCTGGCTGAGAGTCACGTCTGACTGCGGAGTTGGGGTGCAGGACCCTCTGGCTTCCCCAGGAGCCCCGCCTGAGCGGACTCGCTGGGGGAAGCGCACGGAGGGGCAGAGGATGCTGAATGCTCCGAGGTCAGACCCAGGAAGGTGGAAGCTGTGTGAGCTGCGTGTCCTGAAGACAGGCTGCTCACAGAAAGGCGACTGCCCCAGAGTCCTGACTGGCTTCATGGGGAGCAGTTCCAGAGCATCGCCCAGGGACTCCGTGACAAATGTAAACAAACTTGTTTGAGCAACTGGCTGAACAAGAAGTAGGACTGAGTGGACTTGTAGGCTCTGAAGTTTTACATTGTTTTGTGCTTGAGTGCAGTTATGTAACAAAAAAAATCTACATTTGTAAGTTGCACTTTCAGGATAAAGAGATTGCACTTCAGTACTTGTATGAGGTGAGCTGAAAAATACTATTTCTTTAGTTTATCATTTTTACAGTGCAAATATTTGTCATAAAAAATAATATACACTTTGATTTCAACCACAACAAAGAATACTATATATATATAAAATCCAAAATATTTAGTAAATTTCAATGGGTATTCTATTGTTTAACAATACAATTAAAACTGCAATTAATTGCGATTAATTTTTTGAGATTAATTATTTAACTGTGATTAATCAACAGCCCTAATATATATATATATTATATGTTACTGAACTCTCTAATAAAATAAAGTACAAGACAAATAAATTCACTTATAAAATCAGGGAGACTGGAATAGGAAGCAGAAGATGGAATGGGAAAAACAGCTTCGTGTGTATGAATGAGCAGGATAGGTATGGATAAAAAGTGGAATGTTTAGAGAAGGCTTCAAACCAACAGCCTGTTCTGGTTCCCCTAATTCCTGAGTGTGGCTCTAATTGATCAAATTAAACTTTACTTAGCTTGTGAGATCTGATACAACACAGACTATGAGCTCAACTGAAACCATTCTAATCAAAAATGTGGCTGAAGGATACAAAGCCAATGAACTGGATGTTCTTTTAACAGACAAAGTAAATGTTCAACACAGGTGCCTCGTGTCTGTCATGATGCAATACAGATTTAGTTCAAATGTTTAACCATTTTAAGATCATTATTAGAAAAATTTTAAAAGGTGGATTGTATGAGATTTATTAACCTTTTTCAGGGAATCCCCGTGCCTTTCCTGAATATATTTCAAGAACGCTGTTGTCCACTGTAATGTTGTTGCCTTATCAGTATCAGCAGTGCAGAACGGAACCAGAAGATTCAATTCATCACAACAAATCCGGATTCTGCGCCTATAGTCAATGCAAAATAACAATTTTTAGCAGCCAATTAACCCAGATAGCTGACCTAGATATATGGTTTTATAGCTGTTTAGATGTTGATATTTGTTTTGCATTTTGAGGGGACCAACACTGGATAGGTATGAATAGGAATAAACGCAAATATTTGGAAGATGCACCAAAGCTAGCCCAGGTCAGTGTAAATTACATTGCTGTGTGCCAGCTAATTTGCCTCCATTCAAAAGAGTTGCAGTCACCCTCAGACAATATTGCCAGTGCAACCTTCCTCCGAGTTTTTACTGAGGCCAGGAAGAGGACACCAGCTTTAGTTTTTAGCCAGGGCTTGACTACTAGTAAAGGCGTCAAGTTCTGAGGATCTGTGCTGAATCACTGCACAATGGAGAGAATCCATTGCAGCCTAATACATGGGCGCTAAACCTTAGACAGAAATTTTAATAGTTCTATTTAGTTGGTTGTATTTTTGCTTTTGTGGTCATTCTTTAACATTTACAGTGCAATAGTGTCTAAAGACCACATCAGGTTGAGCCCTATTGTGCTTGGCACTGTACGAATATATAATAATAAATGCCAATTCCTGCCCAAAGACCTTTCAGTTTATGGCTGCTCTACAGTATTAGCAATCACTCATTTCAATATTATTCATTTCTACTAGCGTAACTCTTTCTTAAAACTGCCTTTAAGACACAAAAATCTTGTATCAAATTAGGATCTATACTCAGTCATATCCTGTGCAAAGACCTGTGAATGTAGGAGTGAAAAGCAAATGACATTTTTTTCCATGGTGTTCAATTGTGCCCTGTTAGCACTGTGAGTTGGCACAGAACCTTGGAAGTGGTGGGAAGGTGACTTAAAGCCACCTCTTTGCTTGCCTGATCCTGAAGATGGCTGAGAGCTGAAATGGCCCCCACTGTAATTTGGAGCAGCCTACAGGCTAAATTAGATCAGAGCGGTTCTCAATCAACCACTCTGCTAGCTGAGGTTCACCAGAGCACATTATGTTCTGAACCTGCCACTTCATGTCCAATGAGGTGGGAGAGTAGGTGAAGTCAAGTCAACTATGTCAGCTTTATTTATAGTATAGTATATTTATTTATAGTTGTACTAGTCTTCGAATAATTCCAACTATATTTCAATCACAATTAGAAAACATCGTATTTTCATTAATCAGCTGCAAAAGAGAAAGAGCCAGTTACAGTTACTTTGAAATCATTGTCATATGTCGGTCATGATTATTCATCTTTTGTTACCTATGTACCTAAAGTTTGCATACTTCCTCTGTTATTATAAAATAACCATGTTTTGAAAGAATCTGTTAAAGCATTTTGGTGGATCTTAGAGAGTCAATAATAATTTTAAAAAAAGAAAAGGAGTACTTGTGGCACCTTAGAGACTAACCAATTTATTTGAGCATGAGCTTTCGTGAGCTACAGCTCACTTCATCAGATGTTCAACATCAACTTCAACATCTGATGAAGTGAGCTGTAGCTCACGAAAGCTCATGCTCAAATAAATTGGTTAGTCTCTAAGGTGCCACAAGTACTCCTTTTCTTTTTGCGAATACAGACTAACACGGCTGTTCCTCTGAAACCTAATAATTTTAAAAAATCCTAAACACCTAAACCAGAATTGTATTTGCCTTCAGCAGACTCCCACTTCCTTTTCTACGTGAGAAGCAGGGTGGATAAAAAATCATTGATTTAAAAAAAAAATTAATATTTTTTTAATTTAAATCAGTTTTTGATAAAATGCTTTTTGAGGGAAAAAACCTATCTAAAGATAGTTTTAATTAAGATACATTACAGCTCAAAGATATCTCATCATGGAATAGGGATTATACATTCTAATTCTATAGTATGAGACAATATATTCATGTAATGTTTACGAAAAGTTTTGTAAATGAGTTCCAATAGTTCATAGATTAGGGACCCAATTTTATGGAGTTTCAGGGGATTCTGTATAGATTATTTAGGTTAATCTTTCTATCTACCCAATGGGACTCCGTGCTAAATCTAGAAAAATACCATCAGAGATGCTTACTTTCGCAGTTCTCAAACTGTGGATTTGTGACTCCTGCAAAAATGTTTTTAAATAAAATAAAATAAAATAAATAAATATATAGAGGCAGAGGTGAAAGTAAGCCGGTACAGTCCGGTACAGTATACCGGCAAGAGCCGGTACACTGCTGACCGTACCAGCTTCCCCAGGCCAGCGATTTAAAGATCCCTTTAAATCACCTCCAGAGCCCTGTGCTGCCGCCACTACACCAAGGCTCGAGCAGTGGAGCTCTGGAGGCAATTTAAAGGGCTTGGGGCTCCGCTGCGATAGCAGCGGCCAGAGCCCTGGGCCCTTTAAATTGCCATCGGAGCCCTGGGGCTCCCGGCTGCCTCTGCAGCTGGTAGCTCTGGCGGCGATTTAAAGGGCCCAGGGATTTAAAGGCCCCGCCTCTTCTGGTTGAGGCCCTGCCCCACTGCTCAGGATTCCAGCGTACCGGTAAGTCCTTTAAAGTTATTTTCACCCCTGTATAGAGGTGAGAAATAACAGACCTCAACCCTATCGTCCCTCTGCTAATTTGTGTACACAGATTTAATCCCTTACCTCTCTCTAAAAGTGCAAAGTTTCAAAAAGTTTAATGAATAGAAGATTATTGGAGGCGGAATAGATCTGGACAAGGAGAAGTCTGGAGATAAATGTGAGAAGGGACGGACAGGCAGTAGAAACAAAACTGAAACTGTTTGAGCAGCATATTCCAGAAGTCTTGAGGTCTTTCTAAGTGTAGCCTTCATTGATTTGAGATCTACCATACCCTTCTCTCACTGGAAGGGAAAACCTATAATGGCAGCAGGCCATAAAAGAGACCCAGTTTGGGTCTCATCTATCTCTGAGCTGTGAAAGATATGTATTAAGATTATAACAACCAACAAGAATGCACTTTTATGTAGAAATCCATGATTAAATCGAGTCTTCCTGACTAGTGATTTAAATCAAATCTATCCTGATGAGAATGCCGCTTTCCGCAGCTGACAAAGTAAGCAAAACATGTCCAATAATCTATTCTAAATTAGATAATTAGTATACTGTAGTTAATTTATGCTTTAAGAATGTTTTTTTGCTGGAACTCTTCACAGAGCAACGGAAATTACCTTCTGTCTCTTTCCATGCGGTTATGCCTCTCCCTGCGCTGAGAGATTCCTCCCTGAGTTCCACTCTGTGCCTGCATACTTGAATTTACCTGTGTTGACTGCCAAGTACCTTGTGCAGATGCAGTATTTTGGCTATCACATATATTTTGAATTTCACTAAGAGGTTTGCGGTCTACATTTGTATCCAACTGGCGTATTCTGCCGCGGCTTCTTTTGTTTATTGCTTGTTTACATAAAGCTTCTTCTTTGCAAAACAAGGGAAAAAAGCAGTACTTTATTTTTCATTCTCCCACTCCATCATTATTTAATAAATATTAAGCTTCACTGAAACTTTATGATTTTGTAAGTTTTCATTTTGATGGACTAATCCGTAACTAATATAAAAAAGTTAGACCTCTGTAATTGTAACTCTTCTTATTTTCAAATGAGTTCGTTCTGTCATCTGAAAATTAAGTGGTTAATTCTACTAAAACACTTCGAAAATATGAAGTGCTGTAAATATATTACTTTTTTATTATACATATGAAATTCACATTTTCAAGATAATTACTGCTGCACTACTAAATGTAAACTAGTATTGACGCCATCAACTTTTTCATCCTACTATTCAAAGGAAAAAATGTCAATCAATAAATGAGCAATATCAATTTAATAATTAAGGATCAGATGCTCCCATAAAGGGGAAAGTCCTGCATACGGATCATAGGTCTCAGTGAATTTCAGCTTGTGGTATTTCCTCCTAATTGTTCCCTGTTGCAGTAGCACAACTATTGTCACTATGTGGGGCACGAGGAAGAGAGAGAACCATCACATGCACCAATTTTCCAGGATGCCCTGCAGATCTGTCCAGCTGGGGAGGGCAAGGGCAGCCACACAGAGGCCCGTGCCTGACAAACTGCTACTGACAGACTGACTATAGCAACACATTTTTATAGGAGCCCTGCTGCCATGGCCTGCCCTGTGCTCACTGCTCTGAAATCCCCCTGATGCCCCTCAGGTGGAGACTTACTACAAGGAGGGAACCTGAAGAAATAATGATAATTTAGGTTTCGAAATTCCCATGGATGCGCTGGGGTGCTGATTATTTTGGCTCCCTCATAAAGTGGATTGCCACACCAGCACTTAGGGGCAAACACTATCGTCAGAAACCAGCGTGGATGTTGATCATTTCTCAAAGTCTGTCAGATACCTACTGATTCTGTAGATTATTTGTAGAGTTCAAATTGCATATATGGAACCAGTAAAAGCACATTCATCCTTGCAAACAAACTGACTAAGTAAGTCAGAAGAAATATAATTTGAGGTTGAGTGGCACAGAAAACAAAGTGAGCAGAAGCTAAATCATTTACCTCCTACTTTAATCCAAACTTGTTCAGGTAAAGCTTTATTCCTAGTGCCTACTGTTTGTTTAGTGGATTCAATTTCCTGATGATAACAGAAAGAGAATGCTCTAGGTAATCCAAGGTCTTGATGTTTGGCAGCTTCCAAAATAGTACATGATGTGCCAGAGTTCTGAAAAGGAAATTAGGGAGTGTTAAGTGAAAAGAAGAAGATAATACTTTTGATATGTATTTTAACATTAGTCCCATCCTATAATGAGTTGTATTGCTAAATCAAATGCCAATTGTGATTTTTTTTCTGTACCACAGTCATGTGATTTCAACATCCAGACCATTTGTGTAGTTTTATTGTTGTACCTCTGGCAGTTTCTGCGTGCCAGTTTTGGTTATTATTCTTGGCTTATAGTAACTGTGAAAAAATGAAATTTCATGAGTTTTTGTCAAAAGAAAATGGAAAGAAGGAACCAAGAGAAAACACCTACTTGCAGCTAGCTATGTCTTTGTGAATGAAACTGATGTAGCGGTGAATTGAGTGACTTAAACCAAAGTACCTTTCTGGAAAGAAATCTAATAGACTGTTGGTCCTGGCCGTTGGGTACATATTCATGTAAGAGATATAAGGACTTAATCAAAATGACTGAGAACTATATTTCATCTTTAAGAATATTGAAAAGACACATAAATGATAAATCCCTCTGAACGTGCCTACGTAAGTTGCTTTTAAACAAAACCCTATAAAATAACTTCGAATGTGATCAATTAAAATTAAATTGTATTTCAGTTAAATCTTGCAGCATTTTTACAAATTTAGACTATTGTTAAAGTTTCAAAGGAGGAGGCTACAACTAATAATAGAAAACAAAAAATCTACCTGTGCTTGTGAAGGGTTAGGACTTCCAGAAGTAGAACAGGCATTCATCGTAAATAATGGATATGTGAACTGTAAAGCAGTAGCTGCAGCAGCAGTCTTATTTTTCACTAATGTAGTACATTTATTCTGCTGCTGGTGAACAGGCATACCCATTAGTTCTGCTGGTTGACGAATTAGTGTTACTAAACTACAAAAAAGATAAAATAAAACAAGACTAGTTACTTGAAAATGACAACTGTAGAAACCTTTTCAGCTATCTACTCTTCTAGTGACAATCACTAAAGAAAAATCACGTCCATTTACTATAAATACACATTGCCATTAAGGCCCACTATTTACCTCACTAACTTCAATAGCAAAAAGGATCTGTTTAATACATTATTTTATTCTGTACAGTGAAATTACACTGTTGGACTTCATAAAAGTAACTTCCTTCAGCTAAGTTTGTCACTAAAAAAGTATATATAATAAAAACCATAGGCTCAGTAACAAAAATATTCAGATAAATGGCAGCGTGTGCAAGTCTTAGGTTCATATCTTGCTGCAAGCGGATTTGTGTAGACAAGCTCCTGCACCATCATGGAGCTCCTTCCACATTACAACATTAACCAGAGTCCTCTGATTAGTCTGTTAATAGGGTGTGAAATCTGCATTACTTTTTGCAAAGTAAGAAGGATGTAACATCTAAATAAAGCTCTGGTTTATATATTTTGCTTACATTTGATGTTGATGTCCAAAATAAAGTTGAAAATTAATAAATTTACACAACTATATGGTGTATTGTGTTAATAACTGACCAAGTTCAGACCTAGTGTAAGTAAGCACAATTTGAAGTTAATGGTAATTGGGCCCTCACTTCCTCAAGATCTTAATTTTGTGCCAAAGCACACAGCTAGTCATTTTGAGTATTAAAAACATAGCAAAAAGAAAAGGAGTACTTGTGGCACCTTAGAGACTAACCAATTTATTTGAGCATAAGCTTTCGTGAGCTACAGCTGATAGATGCATCTGATGAAGTGAGCTGTAGCTCACGAAAGCTTATGCTCAAATAAATTGGTTAGTCTCTAAGGTGCCACAAGTACTCCTTTTCTTTTTGCGAATACAGACTATCACGGCTGTTACTCTGAAAAAAAAAAACATAACACTGTTCATAAATTTGAATCCGCCTAAATTAACACTGAACTACATGAAAATATATAATTTAACTGTAAACTTTAAACTAAAGTTAATGACAACACACTTGTTAAGAGTCACTCCAGATTCTTGGGGCTCTTGACATCGGGGATTTTCTGTCTGGATGCTGTTGAATCTGTCTTCCAAACGAACACGAACTGCAGATTTAGATCTAGGCTCAGGAGCTGGTGCTGAATTTTCAACAAGTACAGTTTCTTTATTTGTCCCACCAAAATTTTCACCATGTTTAACTCTTACTAAACTGTGCCCTGTGACTTCTACAGAGTTACTATTAGGTGTTTTATCTACTTCATTAGAAGGGAGATTAGATTCACTAAGTAGCATCATTCTGAGCTCTTGAAAGTCAATGTGCCCCAGACATTGGTTTGAACCCATTAAATTGCTGTCAGAAGACAGACCTGACTGACAGATAACTGGGTAAACTGACTGGTTCCCAGAGTACGATGAATAGCCAGTTTGATTGGTGTTCACTGAGGACTGCTGCTGAGGTTGATCTGCAGGATTACTAGCTGAGAAGAAAGCAGAATTGAGCCTAGCTTCCATTTCGCTTTCGTTTGCTTGTGCCTCCATGTGTGAATAGAGTATGTGCTGAAGCTGGGTGTACTCTATTTCCGTCATTTCCACCAGGTTGAGGTCTGTGGTGGTGAAGCTAAGGTTTTGCTCACCAAAGGAGCTGTCAGTTGGGCCTTCAGGTCCAGCAGGAGCAGGGTCCGGAACACCAGCAACTGTCTGCGGGCTGGAGGTCTGTTTTGGAGTTGATCCTGACATGACTTCAAACTAGAAACTGAATCAATCACTAATAAATCCTTCAACAACTAAGTGTGCTTCCAGCAAATGCTATCATAACCACTCCCTCAAAAAAAAAAAAAGTAAACGTAGTACTCCCCTGTAACAACAGCTCCAAGAGAGCAATGAACAGCACCCTGTAAAAAAAATGAGACATCCACCCCAAGAGAGAGAGTACAACCCCTACTCCAGTCAGTAATATTTCTTCCAAAGAGAGGGCATCACATCCCCACCTGGTGAGCCCCCACAGAGGAGTGTCTCGCCCCCACCCCCAGTATGGTCCCCTCCAAAAAGAGAGGGAATAACACACCAGAAACACCACCTCCAAAACAGGGTGTAATCCCCCAACACCGGGCCCCTCAGAATGGCAGCTGGAGCCCCCAATAATGTCCCCAGAGAAGGCACTACCCACCCAATGATGCTGTCAAGTAGAGGGGGGAGGGGCCCGGCCCCGATGATAATGGATCCCACCCCCACAAAAAATGGAGAGGGGGGTCAGCACCTCCAAAAAACAATAACACCAAGCAGGGGGAGGAATAAATTCAACCCATCCCACTAACACCCCAAAATAGGGTGGGGGAGGGGGTAAACTCGGCCCTAGCGCAGCCTGCCCCCTCCCTAGTGCTCAGTGAGGAGCAACTGTAGCCCCCACCCCTCAAAAGCCTGCCCCACAGGGACCGGCCAGGTGCGAAGTCTGCCTAGCAACAGGCAGGAGATGGGGGGTGGGGAGGGAGTCTGCGAAGTACAGTTCCGCCTAGGGGGAAGGGTGGACGGCCTACCCGTGCGCGTGCGCCGCCGCTTTTTAACCGCCGCGAGCCTTCCTCTTCCCGCCCCTCCCCCCAGTGACCGAGGGCGGCTCGCGCGGACGCCACCCGCTGTGTCCTTGCCTCGCGCCGCAACTGCAGACGCGGCAGGCCGTGATTCCCGCCGAAGGCAGCTGCACGGTCACGTGTCCGCCCCGACATGCGCGCACTAGCGCGGGGGCAAAGAGGGCCGCTGCGCACGCGTCAGCAGGCTGTGGTGTGCCGCCTTCCTTCGCCACCGGCCCAGCCGCTTCGCTTCCGCTGTACCCACAACACCGCACCCCCTCCCCCCCCAGTACACACACACACACACACACGTTTCCTCAGGAACGCACCACACACCGTTACCGTTCCCCCTCCCGCAGAACCCCTCAACAACGTCCGATCGGCTTCCCCCAGTCCGGCCAGGAACACCCACCTCACAGCGCCCCGAACCGTCTCCGCGCCCCCGTCAGGACCACCTCCCTTCGCAGCGCCGGATTTACACCGGACGCGCCCCTGTGCGCCGCCCTCCCCCCACCTACAGCTGCCCTTTGTGTTGTCCCTAGAACCATGAAACTTTTAACCCACTTCGAAGTTCCGCGCACCCTGAGGACGTGCCTGACTGGAAGTCCGGCCCTGACCCCTCAGAGCCACCCACGCACCGCCAGGGACCACCTCCCCTCCCGCCCTTTAGCGCTTTGGAGAAAAACACTACCTCGAAAACAAACTTTTTTTGTTATACAAATAAAAGCACACAACTCATTTTAATATCAGTAGTTTCACCTTTGGAATGAGATGGATGTGCCCTCCTTCCCCCCCCCCCCAGCAGCCCTGGGGCTGGGAAGGGGGGGTCTCTCTTTCCCCCGCCCCCCCCCGCCATAGCCCCCAAAGTGTGTGTGTGTGGGGGGGTCCTCTCCACCGCCACAGAGCTGAAGCTGGGAAGGAGGGCCATCTCCCCTCAGCAGCCGGAGGCCTGGAACTGGGGAAGGTCACCTCTCTCTGGCCCCTGCCCCACAGCCCTGCACATCCCAAATTCCTCCCACCCCCAATTCTCGCCCCACTGCAGCCTCCCACCTACCCCCATTCCCTCCAAGGCCATCACCTCACCTTCCATGTGCGCCTTCCTCAGGGTCCAGCACCTAATTAGTGGAGCCATGCCTGTGAGGTTCCACTAATTAGGTAGGTGGCCCTTCCGTCTCTTGGGTGCAGCCGGCCTGGAATGCACCTTAGGAGGAACGATCCATGGATTATCTGAATGGAGCTTGCGGACTACTGGTGGTCCATGGACCAGAGTTTGAGAACCTCTGGTCTAGATAACACTTTTCTGCCTCAGTAACGTACCTATTGAGGTCGCTTCCAGTCCTACAGTTATATGATAAAAACTCAGTATTGTTTTTAGAGTTTATCTGAATCAGGCTAAATATTGTCATTCTTTCAGGCCCAGATTTTGAAATCTAGGCAACATATCTTGCAGCAGAATTCAAGTCTGGCTCACCATCAGAGTGAACAAGACCATGCTTATGAAATGGAACCAGCACCAATTTTGTCAATGCCACTGATGCTGTTTCCTAGCTCTTGGCAGTACAGACCTACTAGACCCTAGCTTGACCAAATCCCAGCATGAACATTTGCAGCAGCCTATTTGACATTGCTATGGAGACCACCATCCTAGCACATGGGAAGCAAACAAGTCCCTTGTAGAGTCACTCCACCTGCTTCCAAATCACAGGAGGCCTTGTTCTTCACCAATGGGATGAATTTTCCCCCTTCCACCTATGCAAAGGCTGAGAGCAGCTGAGCTGTTCATCAAAGAAACTTCTCATTTGTTCTGCTGATGTACGCTCTGCAAAAGACAACCTCATAATTCAAATAAAAAATCTGGAACATACTAGAAAATGTTTTTGAATGGCTAATTTAAAAAATCAAACAAGCCCAACAAAGATAGCACTTGCCTTTCAGAACCGTTACAGTTAATGTCAGTTGTTAAATAAATTGTTTTGTTTTGAAAGCACCATCCTAGTTCAGAATGGTAGAGAAATTGAGCAATCATATTGGCAAAACATCCACCAGTGCTCAGTAACTGTTTCTTATGCCACTCTTCTTCTCTGAAGCCTCTCAAATTGTAATACTGTTTGTCTTGTTAAAAAGTAGTAATGATAACTAAAATATGTACATGGTTTTAAGAAAAAGACAACAAATCTCTGTAGATGTTTATTCTACTTACAGTAACAAAAACCTGTGAAGTCCCACATTTTAATGTACAGTGATATATTTTGCAATATAAAATACAATTTACAGAAATTTCTATCAAGTAAACCTAAACAAACACACTTGATTTTTGCATACTTTTATGTATGTCTTTAAATTAGAAACATCCCAGTAAAAAGAAAAAGAAAAAAAAATCTTACATCATAGTAGATGTTTGCATTTAATACCACCTCTTTCTGCATTTTATCATTTTGACTACCGGTTTCGAATACTGCCCATCATTTAAATCAGCCGAGTCCTTGATATTTAAGGAATTCAAAGATGCACCAATATAAAGTGTAAAATCTGTAGTGATGTATATGGAATAGTGCTACTTATAATGTAGACTTCAAGATGCAAATGTTAGTAGGAATCTAATTTTACATTTGCAAAACTATTTGATAAAAATATCAAAATATTTACCCAACTGTAAATTTACAGGTTCAAATAAATTAGCAGGGTTTTCTCTGTTTCACACTTCAGAATTATGTACTTGAAGAATACATGAAAAGTAGCAGTGTGCTGTATTGCACAGTGAAACACTTTCCCTCAAGCTACCGCATTAAACTAATATCACCTTTTCCATTTCAAGCTTTATGCAAATGTTTATTTTCAGTGGCCAACATTTAAATACACCATCAGCATTATTATGGATTGCCAAAAAGCACTGACATTTTAGTTTGGGAGCAAAATACTTCTTGTCAATAAATTACAGAAAAAGTGGAGAAAATCCTTAAACCTCTAAATAGAAACATTCTGCAAACAAAATGCTTTGCAAGAATCAGCATAACCAAAAAAATAGCTTTAGTAGTATATTTAACCAGCTTATTTTCCATCCCTTTGGTTTACCAGTTTATTCATTTATAAATTTTAATCATTTGCCAATGTATGTTATTTTTAAAACTTCAGAGTTCCACTGGTACAGAGGTGTTATATTTTCTTTAATTATATTTTTGTAAAAATGCAACATTTAAAACCTTGCAGCCTCATGAAAAAAAAGTTATTTATGTAGAAGCCTGTGTTTCTTGGTTGAACTCTCAGCAGCTAGATTCCATAACTCAAAATACCTTTATATAAAAAGGAAGATAGTGCACTTTTAAACTTGTCATTTCATATTCAAATACTCTGTCAGTTACAAATAAGGAATAACACTGTTCTTTTGCAGCCATTTCTTAAATACACACAACCCATCCATTGTAAGATCACAAGACAACAATATCAGACTCCTCTTGTAAAGCATGTGCTGTAGAAACAACTTTTTACACCGAAATACTACATAAATGAGATGTAAAGATATGGCTCCTAAGGTCTTGATTAGATTCTCTTATAAAATTACAATTCAAGTTACTGGAAAACATAACTTTGTAATCTTAAAAAGCAATATGCTCTTTGTAGACTTTTTCCATTCCTGTATTCATTGTAAATGGAAATTTTAAGATAAAGGTGTAAGTAGAAAAAAAAGAAAATCTCATAACTCTTAACGCTGTGAATTTTTGTAAGAAAAACATTATGCACAAAATTCTGCAAGGTAAAGTCCAGTATGTTCTTGCTTCTTATCTGTTTGAATATTCTCATTCACAGTTGTTAAAAAACTGTTTTGTCAACACATTTTGTAAGGCTTGTTTTACAAGGGCATTCTTGTAAAGATGAGAATATACAGTATATACACAGGAGATCTCGAGTGAGTTCTTGCTTTTTTTTTTGAAAAATCAATCATTTATTGAGTACAATTAATTATGAATTGTTTCTATGTCTGATTAGTGGAAGATGAAGCAACTTCTGTTTCTGCTGGATTTTGAGTTTCCTGCTGTGGTTCGGGCTTCAAATCTTTACCACTTTCCTTACTTTTACTTCGGGCTTTACGATCTTTTCCTCTGTCTCTGTCCCGGTCTCTGTCCCTCTCTCGGTCTCTTTCTTTCTCCCTGCTTCGATCTCGGTCTTTATCTCTGTCACGATCCCTGTCCCTGCTTCTTGATCTGTCCCTATCACGTCTTCTGTGGGAATCTCTCTCTCTGGTTCTGGCTCTCTCTCGGTCTCTGTTTCTTTCCCATTCTTTTGCCCGCTCCAAATCTTTCTCCCTATCTTTGTTTTGGTTTCTCTCTCTGTTTTTATCCCAGTCTTTGTCTCTGTGTCTCTCCCAGTCCCTTTCCCTGTCTCTATTCCAGTTTCTGCCATGATCTCTTTCCCAAGGTCTGCCATATTCCCGATCCCTTCGTCTTTCTTCAAACCCTCTGCCTTGTCGATTCTCTGACTGCTGACCTTCTGGCTGATCTAGTACCTTTTCTTTATTTCCTCCTTCATACCTCTCCCTCTGCCTCCCTTCAAAAGTCTGACCTCTAAATTCAATATTTTTGCCCTCTCGGAAATCGGACACTGGCCATTGCGCTTCTGACTCAGGTCCTTGCCCTGAAAGATTAGGAAGAGAGGTAGATGGCCCTGCTTCATCCCACATCTCCTTCCTGTGTGGCGGTGGATGACTTGGAAGTTCCAGGAGTGGTCTAGGGCTTGGTTTCATACCTTGTGGAGGTTGCCCTTGAAAATGAAACCTAGAAGGGGGAGGTTCATTTTGTTCTGGAAATAATGCAGGTGTAGTTCCTCTTGGTCCTCCAAAATGAGGTGGTGCTGGCCCTCTCTGGTTTGCAAATCTGGGTGGTGGACTCCCTCTCCGTTCTTCAAAAGGCGGTGGCAAAAGTCCCCTGGGCCCTGGTATGTGACTTGGAGCTGGACCTCTTTGCCCTTCAAATTGATTTGGATGAGGGCCTCTTGATCCTCCAAAATGACAAGGTGGTGGACATCTTGGCCCTCCAAACTGAGGTGGTGGAGGGCCTCCTCTCTGTCCTTTAAACTGAGATGGTGGTGGTCTTCTTTGACCTCCAAAATGAAAAGGTGAAGGCCCCCTATTTCCCATAAACTGGGGTGGTTCTGGTCCTTCAAATTGTCCAGGAGGCCTAATCATTTCATTATATTGGGAATCTGGGAAGTCTCTTTGTTCCATGTGAGGT